CTGTGTGGGGAGCGCAGAGATCATGAGTTTCGTTGCGGTATTATTCTGTGTTCTGAAGTCATTTAGAGGATAGGATTTGGTCTGAACAAACCAACAGCATGTTGTATTGCTAGCGGAACTATCTGCCCACGCATGCATGTATGGAGCTACACGACGTCTCGCAATCAAAGCATGCAAGTTTAAATGTGTGTTGCTACTTACAAGAAGTCCCGCCTGATGACACGCGCAAAGATTCAAGTAAGAGTGGCTCATGAAATTCACGAGTCTCTAGTCAGTTCACATGTATTCTACGCACCAAATGAAGTATTAGAAAGCTCCAAAATAGCCATCGTATAAGGGGACGCCTCTCCACTCGTCCACGACGGTTAGGGAAGACTGATTGACAAGAATTTGTTATTTTCAAGTCAGGGGCAATATTTGCCCACATAACATTCTGAAAAACAGAATTCACGAGACGTCAGGCATCGTTACAGAGCAAGGACAGAAGCTAACACGTATCCTCAAGGTGCGCACTAAAACATCGTCGAAAAATGCGATCAAATTAGAATCGCAGATGCACTAGGTTGGTGGATGATTCGGACGAACCTCGTCTGAATGTATGTTCTCAGGGGACCGCTTCAGAGTGAGACTTGTGATTAAGTTAGGCCTGTTGCTTCTATCGACACCTGCATAAATAAATGGACTCCCGATCACCCATCCTCCGAGTCAGGCTGCACATCGTAAGTATAAAGTCTGCCTCAAACCCAGTGTAAGGAAGGTCGTTATTCTTGGTCGTATAGTATCCACTACAGAGCGAGGTTCTGCGAGGCGCTGGGGGCATCATGAAAGGCCAAGACCGGACCAAAAAAGGAGCTCGAGGGCAACAGGTAGTACTATATACAGACATAGCAATTGACGATCTATATATGTAGTTGCCGGTCAACCCGTGCGGTGAGAATAAACTTCCTAAGTTGGGAATAATTTAGAAATGGTGCGACTGGCGATTCAGAAAAGTGGCACGATTACAATAAGCTCTTATAACTGGCCCGAACGTTGCCTGCCGTTAGTCTTTTGCTCTCCTACCGGCAGTAGCGCAGCAATGAATATGGACGGTGAACTTCACGTCGACGACGTTTCAAACGATGAGCTCAGTGACTCGCTCACCATGCTCTTAAATAATCTGTCAGATTCAGAAACCTCCTCATCCCAAGCATCATCTCCACCAGACTGGGCTCAGCTTTCCTCTCTCTGGCCGCAACAGCCCTTGGACTTGAATTCTGACCAGAATTCAAAATTTCCTGATCTTGGCGGCTCTTTCAACTTCTCTTTTCCTATGGACCTTGACCTCAATGCTGCATTGTCCATGGCTGTCGACCCAAGTACATTGCACTATCATAACACATCTCCGCAGACTATGTTCGACATGAATTCTCTTCATATCCAGCCCCAGGATTTACTTTCCTCTTTTCCGTTCACTTTCTCATCACCTACCCTCAGCTCTGCCTCAGCTTCTTCCAGCTCGGCGGATGAGAGATCACCCCGGATGAGCATCTCATCCGGTACGTCCGTGTCTCCGGTCATGGTACCGATTAGCTCGGGTACAGGTATGCGTGGTCTATTTTTTATTTATTTCACTAGGTTTTTTATTCATGAAATATCACAGACCCCTTCTCTGGGGTGATTATGCAGGCAAAATTGCCCATACCCCGGCTCATATCCTCTATTCCGGCATTGCCTTCCTCCAAACCACCAAAACACAAGCCAGAATCTCAACCTTATCTCTCATCTTCGGCGTCATCCTCTCCTTCCCCCGGTCCGACTACTCCCACTTCCGACTCTGGATCATCCGCACCTAACACTCAGATGGCAGGTGCCGCTGTCATTAGCCGCCCAAAGACTAGTCATACAACTATCGAGCGCCGTTACCGTACAAATCTTAACGCGCGCATTCAGAGCCTCAAGGCCTCTGTCCCTGCTCTTCGCGTTCTAGACCAAAATACTACCCAGGAAGGTGATGTTGTAGATGAACGCGGGTACATTGACGGTGTCAAAGTCGCGAGGAAAGGAAGCAAGGCCAATGTGCTCGGAAAGGCAGTTGAGTATATCCGGTGAAATAAATTTATCCCCTTTGTAATCGTACTTGCGCTGATCGTCGTAACAGCGTTTTGAAAAGACGTGAGATCAGGCTGAGGCGCGAGCAAGAAGGGCTGCGTACCCTCATCCTTGGAATTCCCGGTGCTCAACCTCTCCTTGCTGAATGGGACCATGAGTGGGCCAAAAAATTTGGAGGCCCAGAACGAGATGAAGTCGACAATGATGCCGAAGCCTACGAAGCAAGTGATGATGAAGATGGCGATGGGGAAGACGAGGGTGATGACTCTGAGCGCGCCCGCAAGAAGCCCAAGTTAACCAAGGCACCTGCGGCCAAGAAGGATAAATCGCCTGCTGTTTCTGTTGCCGCTGTTACGCCCACACCCATCGCCGAAGGTATCCCCGGAGCACCGCCGGAGAAGCGCAAGCGAGGTCGACCCCGTAAGATCCAACCTGGCGCTCCGCTTCCGATTGTCGCTGCTGCACCTATTTTGTTCGGTGACCCTGTCAGTGCGCCAGTCCAGGGCGATGTTACTATGCAGGCACAGCCCCAGCAGTATCTGCTTGCTGTCTTTGCGCTCTTCTCATTTTTCAACTCGCCCTTCAACTCAACAGGTGCTTCGCATCCTCACACGCACCAAGGTTCGGTACTATCCCAGGTTACCGATTCTACACCTGTTGCTACTACTACGATGTGGTCATGGAGCAGCGCTGTACAAGCCATTCATCTGATCGCATCTGTTCTGGTTCTGTTCACAATCATCGTCCCATGGCTACCTCTTCCAGGATATGTTCAACGTGCCAAGATCATGCGTCTCATACCCTTTAGTTACCTAATCAGCAGTCGAGCACCACTTACAACTCACGAGGTGGCGGAACCCTTTTCTCCCCCTCTCTCCCCTGATATCAGCGACTCAGAGTCAGACGCGGATTCGACCACCACGGAGAGAACTACCCGCCAAGAGCAAGGTCCATTGTCAGATGCACTTGCTCAGAGCGGTTCCCAGGATGAACGTGATGTTCTCATTGACGCACTAGGATTGAGCACCGGTGCACTTGGAGCAGTCCGAAGCATTTTCACCAGGCGTATGGTGAACGAGGTCTCCGACTTTGAACTTGAGCAAAGGGCATGGATTCGCTTAGCCGAGCTCGTTGCTCTTCACCCCGCCTCAGCTCCAGCCCTTCTACGTCTTCGGGTCTATTTGCGTCTTTCGTCCATGTTGAGCACATCTGGCAAAACAACACAACACGCAAGTGATCTGGCGACACTGGCTCTTCTTGCCCATTCACTCCCAGCATTCTACATAAAGGATCGTTCGCAAAGGTTATGGAAACGTGCTCGTGTTGGGGTGGTCCGCCCTTACGAGCGACTAGTGCTAGAAACGCTCTCTCTCGAGGAAGCCGCTCTGACGCTTACATCCTCACCCCCCACCACATCCTTAACGCCACTTGGTGCCCTCGCCACGACCCTCCTACGCCAACGTCTCCGCTCCCACACATCCAAACTTTTCGTGCAAACTGTCACCCATTCGCACATCGATCCACTTTCTCAATCCCATGACGTAGAGCAAGAAGCCAGGTGGAACGAGACCATCAATGCAGGCCGGAGTCTAGGCGGCGTCATCGGCGCTATCTCCGACTCCTTCGCTAAAGTACGGGAGAACGACGTGTTGAATGTGAAAGACCTAGTCGTAGATGATGAGGACATCAAAATCGTGCTGAACACCATCGTTTTATTCCGGCGGATCTTTCCGTCTCGGATTCTGTGCTGCGATAACACTAATGACGAGGTTTCGTTCATATTGTCTCCCCCACCCAGTCCGCCCGCGAGAGGACCACAGAAGGAGGTGGTGATGCAGTTGCGTCGGGCATTGGGGTCGAGTGTATTTGAGGAGCAGAGCGAGGATCGGGATGAGTTGGAAGATTCGCGGGATCGTGCGGTGGATATGCTTGTTGAGTATGAGAGACGAGGGAGGAGTCGTGTTTGATATGTTTGTCTTTGAGATATGTGATAAATGGAGATCTTACAATATATTAGTATTTACCCGCTTGTTGTCGGTTGTACTATGTACAGACTTTTGATTTCGCTTTGAACAACACGTTGGCATTTGGAATGTATACGTATCCAGGAGACATGGAAAATTACATTATAGATAATGTTACTTTGCGTCACCGTCAGTTTTGACGACCGACTTCATAACACCTCAGAATAGTTGCATAGGTGCGTAGTGCTGCCGTGGTCCGGTCCAGAACCACGGTTTGGAACGGACTTTTGGTTTGGTTCCCCGTGGTTCGATCCATGGACCGCATGCTAGCCAGAACGGGACCGCAAAACGGTTCTCGATTCTAGGTCCTGCCGAACAGTTCCGTTCTGGTTCAGCCTTCCTGAACCATTCCGAACCCTGCCTTCGATATCATTTGTCTCGATGTCCTGACCTTCAGCCTTTAACGTTTTAGCAGTAAGTCACGGTTTTTGGCCGATGTCCACCGGCGGTGCTCTGTACGAATGTGATTCTAGGGGACGTATAAGCCCCGCCTGCCTCTTCACTAACTAGGTAATACGGGAAGTATACTAGGTGCCCATAGGACGAATTGGGACTGATAACATGGCCAAGGTGACGAAGGCGAAGGACACGGGCATGATCATTAATGCATCCTGTAGTCCCCGTTATTAATGCATCACACGTGTCTTCTAACTAGCCTGTAATAAGACACTATCGCCTGCGAGGAGACTACGACACACGCGAGGACTACCGACTGCTCCAACGACCCCGGAAAATAAACAATAATACACAGAGCAAAAGAGAGAGAAAAGAAAAAGAAGAAAAAGAAAAAAAAGAAAAAGAAAAGGTGCGGGCTTCGTTGTCAGGAGGTGGAGAAGAATATTCAGGGGTTTCAGGGAGTTCTTCTATGGAGGCGGTCATAATCATAGGCGACTGCATATCATCAATGTGAAGCCTGCGGACGTCCTGAGGGGAAAATCGAGTCCGACAAAGGGGACATGTGTGGCGCAAAAGATGACCGAGACACCTTCAGATAGGCAAGTTAGATGAAAACAACACACGATCCCTGAATCGAGTACTTACTTCTGGCAGAATACATGTCCACAAGGAATCGAGTGTGGTGAATTCCTGCCAGTCATGTAGCCTTCCATACAGACATCACAAGTCGAGGATTTGTTGAGTACCAACATGGTTGGAAGACGATAGATAGATTTCCTTGAGGATGCGAAAGAAGCTTACCGCAGCCCGATCGCCTACTCTAGCAAGGAGGTATCGCGCATGAAGGAAGGAAAGAAGGGACTTGTTAAGGACCTACTCGGGTATACGGGGGAAGGAAGAGATTTAAGCCAGCAAAGGCTTAAGGGCCCGACCTAACGTGCGTAGCGGGGTGGGTGGCGTAATGTTGTGCAGGGGAGGAGCGAACGTTGAAGAGACTATAAGAAAACACGAGGCAACTGAGCGACGTGAGATAGAACTTCGTGACTTCCTTGAGGGCCCTAGACAAACCTATGTGAAATGATCACATACTAGGTTGGGACGATCAATCACATGGATGATCTGAGGGGCCGTTCCCTGTATTTGAAAAAGAACCATGCCCAGTGTTTGTAGACAGACCATGCCCAGTACTTGTAAAGAACCACTCCCAGCGCCTGTGAAAGGATGCACGGCATGATTGTGCACCGAAAGCGAAGCATCAAAATGGAACGAACTGCCACTGAGAACGCGCGGTGTTGTCCCTTCTTCGTATCCCCTGGGTTGTGAGGTATGTCGAGGATGATAAGCGCGCTGGGTGCGATACGAGAGAGGTGATTTGGAGTGCATGAGATGTGATATGAGGTAGGACTGGGAGAAAAAGAAGTATGGTTTCAACACCTCGCACGCCGACACGATGACCACCGTGCGGAGTTAGATATGGTTGGAATACAAGTTGAAACCAACCCTCATTAGATTACCTCGTGTTGTCTGCTCCCCTCAGTCTGTTCCATCAATGCATCACGACTGAGTACCGAATACTGAGGCCTGAGGGCTAACGCTTTGTCTACTATCTAGTCTTTAGTATATGTAGTTAGTTAGAACTCAGTGAAACTTATGCGCAAGCTGCAAGCGAGAAAAAGTCGCAAAAGGTATACGCCGAAGGGGAGTCGAACCCCTGCCGCTTGCTTGGAAGGCAAGCATGATAACCGCTTCACCATCGGCGTGTGTTATGGTCCACACATTGCAACATATTGCAACCTGGGTCGGCGACTTCCGCAGTTATCACGTCCCTTCAGAATTTCACAACATCCCACCGACCACGATCCGCTCCGCGCTCACTTCAAAGCAAAGCCTGATAATCTGTGGAACTTCTGTTCTGCGAATCACGATACGGTGTAATGTCGCTCCAGCACTTTGGCAAGGGTGCTCTCCGTGTCGCCAAAAATTATACCAAGGGTTATTCAGACACGCAGGCAAAAGTTCGGGATGCAACATCTAATGATCCATGGGGGCCATCAGGAACTCAGATGAACGAGATCGCTCAGCTGTCATACAATCAGTGCGTGATCGTTAGGCAGCTTGCCTGGTGGTTGTGGTTCGCCAGCAGTGCTGATGTGTTATTGTTCTCAGGAATGACTTCGTCGAGATCATGGAAATGCTTGACAAAAGGTTGAATGATAAAGGCAAGAATTGGCGACATGTATTCAAGGTTAGCTGCCTTGCTTCGGATGGAGGACCCGAATTCAAACTCCCTCCCAGTCACTCACCGTGCTGGACTACCTCCTACACGCTGGTTCTGAGAATGTCGTCTTATATTTCCGTGACAATTTATACATCATAAAAACACTCAAGGAATTCCAATATCTGGATGAAGACGCGAAAGATTGCGGGGCCAACGTCAGGCAGAAGGCTAAGGATATCTCCAACCTCCTTAGTGATCCAGCACGTCTACAGGAGGAGCGCCGGACTCGGGCAAGCATGCGCGACAGAATGATAAGAGGGCAAGGCAATGGAGAAGAAGACGAAGATGGTGGGAGGAGGAGCTTTGCACCTCCTCCTGGAACGCCCCCGCGGAAGGCCAACCGTGGTGCCGATCGTGATGAAGACGAGCTCCGTAAGGCGATCGAAGCATCGAAAAGGACTCTTGCGGAGGAACAGGGCCGGAAAGCTGAAGAGCAAGACCTTGCCACAGCAATACGATTAAGTGAGGAAGAGGAGGCGAAAAGACATAAGGCCGTTGAAGACTCAAATGCTCACGCGTTATTCGATGATCAAGCGCAGATGTACGTTAGTCCATATCTATGCTTGATTTCAATTGATGATCTTGTTCATTTCAGATCCTCGCCGAACGGTTCCAACAGTAACAATCCATTTCCTTTTATCGATCCTACTCCATATGCAACAGGCTTGCAACCTCAGCCCCAGATGCAACCGCAGTACACTATTCAGCCTCAATACACGATGCAGCCACAGTTTACATCATTTAACCCATACCAACAGCAGGCGCAACAGGAAGCAATGCAGGTATGGTAACACCTGGTTTTACTGTGAATTGATTGAACGTTCCAATAATAGGCAGAGTATTTGAGGCAACAACAAGAATGGCTTCGTCAACAGCAAGAAGCACAAGCACAAGCTCAGCAACTGGCCCAACAAGCGGCGCAAGAGGAATGGTTCAGACAACAACAACTTCAAGCTCAACAACAACAACAGCAGCAGCAGCAAGCCTTATTTGCGCAACCAACTGGATTCGGGTATGTCATCGCTTTGATATGGATGCTCGTTACGGTGACCTCAAATCCTTACTTCAGTTCCAATAATCCCTTCGCTCCTGCTTCTTCGCCTATCCCAGTATCATCAGGGACACCAGTCAATGGCACCTCTGGACCATCATTTAATCTTCAAGGAACCTACTCTAACTCGAATGCACCTTCTTACAACTCTTCACCTGTACCCTCACAAGTGTCGTCACCTTCCCCAGCTGTCAGCAGCACATCCACAGGCGCAGGTGCGGGCCGTGGTGGTCCGAGTCGGGCAGACCAAGAGCACTCGCATCTTGCCAATCTGTTTGCCAATCGCGACGATGGTCAAGATACATTCGGGAATGTCGGCACACTGCGCTACGGGCACACGCAAGCGGGTTTGCTGGCAGCACAGAAGACAGGACTTGGGACCAAAAATAACCCCTTCCAGTTGCAGCAGCAGCAACAGGGTCAGAATGCAGAGCAGCCATTTTTCTCTATCTGAGGAGAGGCCGATGGGTGGACGGTGTAATGATGATTTATCGCTGGATGATGACTTGGATTATGAATTTCCTTTTGTCCCTGTGTCTCGGATTTCTGATGTTGTATTTATTACCTCTCTTCCTTACTTTTTGTGAAACTACCCGATACCAAATTTTACACTTCTGACACAGCTTCTCGACCGTCTTACATAATAACCAACGTCATCGTGTGATGCTTCCAGTCCGGACCCCTCTAGTTAGTAAGATCGGTAGCCCATCAACCTTATACAAACTTTGGCTTTAGCCAGATTCTCAGCGTCAGTAAAATCACACGCCGTCGCACAAATCCCCACCTAGCCCTCACACCAGACCGTGATACCATGGAATCCAATAATGGCGCTGCTGATTGTGTACTTGTTATCGTACGCCGCTCTTGTGCAAGCAAGTCTACTTGATATACTCACACAAGGAATGAACAGGTCGCCATTCTCTTTCCCCCTGCCGCAGCAGCTTTCATCTCAGGCTGCGGCTGTGAGCTCATCGTGAACATCTTGTTGACTCTGTAAGTACTTCTTCCCCGCGCTGCAAACTTTGCATTTCACTCATGTACTGTCGCTGTCAGGCTCGGATACCTTCCCGGACTCCTCGTGCGGAATTGTGCTCATCTGTGTTTGTTGTGACTAACTCCTTCTGAACATATATGTAGCACGCGCTCTGGCTCATATTCAGGCGTGTGAACGTTCAGGAGCGACGTACTAGGGGTAGTTATCGATGTGAGTACCTGAGAATTTTGCGCATGTCATGTGTGTAACTTGCCCTTGCAGACACTGGTGCGGAAACACCCGCTCCGGCGCCCCAGCAAAGTGCTCCACAGCCACCTGAATATGGTGCCACGAACCAGCCAAGTGCCCCACAGCCGACCACATACGCAGCAACGAGCCAGCCCGTTGATGCTCCTCCGGTCGTCAAGACTTGAAGCATAGCATGATTCAACCCATGCACGTGGTGGTTGAACAAAGTTCATTCCCAGGTCACCTGGACTGTAATCCGAGTCATACTAGGAACGTTGAGAAATGTCTATCCACTTTCGTGCTTATCACTTGCAATATATTTGTTTGAATCGCCGGAGTGTTGCTTACTGGATCTGGATCTCAATATAGATGTGACCGTACCATGGGGGACGCGTCATGGGAAGTCTCAAACGATGAGAGGTGCTATAGCACCTACCTGGAATGAAAATAGACTTTATCGGCGTGCTAGATCAGAATTCAGTGAGGAAAATCGCCGGTATCCCCCCTGGTCATCCTCCAACCATGTACTGTAGCACGAACTTCCTCTTCACCTGGATCTTCCGGGAACATGGGCTGTACAGCATCGAACGGTCAGAAAAGAATTCATCAACACGTGGATCAAGCAAACCGGATATTTGCGCGTCACTATCTCCTCACAAACCCAGCCTGCACCCTGAGCTTTGCGGAAAAACCCAAGATCCCGATCTGCCAAATGCGGTCGATGATGGGAGTAGAAAACCAGCACGCATGGTGCAATTGAGGTATCATCGTTTGCGGAGCGAGAAGCCAAGCACATATCGCATGATTTCAATAACGCATCATGCTATGTGCGTTGAGACACCGATGATTGAATGGACCATAGCGATCTTACCTGCGAGTGATTGAAGATTAAGTCTGATAATATGATTAAGTGAAATCCAGTTGAGGCATCCTTTGGGAGTGCCCGCATTATGCTGTCTACAGGGTGGCCCCAGATATATCCCTGAAAAATAAGCAATCAAGAAAGCCACGAATGCTCCCAAAAAATACCTGAGTTTCAACATGATCTTTCTCTTCAGGAGACAGATTTTGTCTCGCGTTGAATTCCAAGTTATCGATGAGGACCGCCTCCGGGTAATCTGTCAGTACAACCTGTTCAATGAGTGAGGCAAGGCGATGGAACTGGCGTGGATATGTTCAGACTTTTTTTGCGCCATTTTGTGCTGCGACGAGTCCTGGGAGACCTCCACCAGCCCCGAGTTCGAGTACGCAGCGATCGTGTGCTATCTTTGGATTTGAATCTATATATGATGCAAACGCTAATGCTGCATTCCATCTGAATTGAACGCAAGAAATTAGTAGCGTCCGGTGGGTGCAGAGTCCAAATAGCGTTACAGATGATGAGCCCATAACGGATGCGATCCTACCAGGCGGATTTTGAGATCGGGGAAGGCGTTTCGAGTGCATGTCGCAAAGGTTGGCGGAGGTGTTGGTGGACGTGGAGGTTCCTGTAGTTGAACAAATACATTAATCTTTTGGGTGGTGGCATCTAATATATTAGCACAAACCGTGAAAACATCACCGAGATAAAGATCCTCTTCCCCGCCTTGCATTACTAATGATGAAGAAGAAAACCGCAGTGCAAGAAGTTGAAGAACCACAACGGTGATCGGATCAGTGTTTTGACGATCCAAATCGAGAATATGTTTCACAAGGATAGTATCCGGTGATTAAATATTTGTACAGACTTTCTCTCGACGTTGCATTAACGCTACGGAGGCTACCGTGACGCATATGTTATGGATGGCCAACATCTGGACAGCCAACATCATTCATCTCTCAGTCATTCAACCCAAAGTTCTTCTTCTTCTGCTATCGACTTGACCATCACTATCACGGGCCTTGCCACTTCAGCTCCTCCGAGTCCGAGTCTTTCTCCAACACTTCATCCTTCAGTGGATGGTGGTCGTTCCGTCACTCGCAGACGAGCCAGCTGGGCAAAGTTAGATGCAGGGCAGGATCCCTTACGCCCGAATCTCTCAGTAACTATGGAGGCGGGTCCTTCAAGAATATCGCCCCGGCCATTTACTGCAGACGAGGACCCGGTTTATTTTCCAGACAACGGATTCTTTGCAAATGCATTAGCTTACAATGGGAGTTCGATTTACAACGAAATACCCTACACTGCTGCACAAGCTGGTCCATCCTCCGCCTCGTTAATTTCGACTCCGGAGTCTGACTTTGACTCATCCAAGGACGGAGACGATGTCCATCTCACTGGCACCAACTCTCAATGGAAATCTACAGATGGAAGTTGGGCTAGTGCTAATGATTTGACCATTGACACCGAGCGCACGGGAGATGCTACAGGCCCCACCAGGCGGAGGACGCTGCGTTACAGTTCCTCACCTTCTCCTCTCAAACGAACGGGCTCAGCATTCATGGTAATGTCGAAGCACCTTCAACGCGCATCTCTCCGCGTTGTTAATCTTTCAGGCCACGCCTTGGACAATTCAATCCGCATACCAGATGAAGACTTCGACGATGGCGAGTATTCTCCCACACAAGATAACAAGGAACCTCTCGAAGAACAATGGAACGAACAACAAGTGTTCCTTACCAGAAAGCTGACTCCCTTACGAGGGCGCACTCTCGGTTTCTTAGAGTCCTCCAGCACGTTTCGTCTTCGCTTCTATGGCTTCCTTTCTCACCCGTATGCCTCTTCCAGGTTTCTCCCGCCCGACAATATTAATCATCCTTGCAGATGGACCGAACCTCTGATACTTTGTTTAATAATTCTGACTGCCTGTGTATTGATATCTCAAGCGTCTCACTCAGTCCTTCTTCCCTCGGATCAGTCTATGCCGACCTCACTTAAGGGTTTCTTTTTTGCTTGGGAGGATTATGTTCTTTTTGGGTTGTTCACCCTATTCACGTAGGTTTCATACTGGTCACCATCCCCTCAGCCTGATCCCTCCTGTTAGGTTTGAAGCAATTGCGCGAATATGCGTTTCTGGATTTCTGCTGGATCCTGAAGTTCCGATATCAGCTTTCTTTGTAAGTTCGACATCATCAATAACGTCGACTTCGAGGTTAGGTCCTTCCGCATCCGGTTCCTTGTCACGCGGCCTCTCCTTAAGGCCCTTCTATGATCGTATATCGTGGCCTTTCAAACTTTCCGAGGCTACCCCGTCACGTTCGATGCCTGACATAGTAGTTGGTCCAAGCAATTTGCCTCACGACGCTTCGCGTCAAGAAAAACAGACCATAGTAGATGAACCTTCTTCACGCGCCCATATCCGGAATCCCTCACAGCCAACTTTCTTCTCCCGTGCCCTTCGGTCAGACCAAACACCTTCGGACGTGATCTCACTACCATTCCGATTAAACATCGATAATGCACGCGACAAGGTGTATCGTAATATGCCATACTTGCGCCAAAGCTGGGGAAGAATCGACTTCATCGCCATTCTCAGCTTCTGGTTGAGCTTTGCACTCGCGATGGCAGGCGTGGAGCGTGGGTCTCATCATGTCGCTGCGTTCAGAGCGATGACTGTGCTGCGAATAGCAAGACTTCTCGCTATCACTTCTGGAACTACTGTGAGTTTGCGGACGGGATTTTACCTATGGGCATTTACACAATTCTACAGACAATCATGCAATCACTGAAGATCGCTCGGCCGCTACTTACTAACGTGGCATACTTTGTTGTCTTCGCTGCGGTGCTATTTTCGTGAGTCTATCCGGTCTCTGAATGCTTATCGAACATGAATTATTCTCGAAGGATAATTGGCATCCAATCGTTCAAGGGTTCTTTTCGACGGAATTGCTATCTTCAGCCCACCCTCGGAGAAAATCAAACGCAAATATCCCAATCTTGCGGTGGTTACATTGATCCGGGTACCTTAAATGTCTCTCCTTATTTACAATTGGATGGTACATCAGCCTCCGCGGCCAAGGGTTATATCTGCCCTTTGGGGCAGGTTTGTCAGGTTCGTCGCTTGGAGTTCCTTCGACAGACGACGATCTCATAATTTCGGATCAGGAGGGAGACAATCCAAACAATGGCATCCAGAGCTTCGACAATATTTATTATGCCGCGCTTCAAGTTGTCGTCGTGACTTCAGCCAATGGCGTATGTGTTTGTTTATTCATATTTCTGTCGCGCTAATTTCCTCTCAGTGGTCCTCGATCATGTACTCGATCATCGACGCCGAATTTTTTATCTCCTGCTTCTATTTCATTGTCTGCATCCTCGTGTTGAATATCTGGCTTATCAATCTATTCGTTGCTGTAATAACGAACTCGTTCTCTGCCATACGTGCAGATACACAAAAGAGTGCCTTTGGTGCTGCACCGTGTGTTTCTTGACTTTTCCATATGCTAACGCTAATGTTGTTCCAATTACAGACTAGGACTTGTCGTCGAAGAGCAAGAAGAGGGTTGGTCAGACGGGAAACACATTTCTCAGAGCAACTCGCTCAAGGAATTCTACACCCATACACGCTGGTGCTGGGTATTTCTGGCTCTCACGTCACTCGTGGTACAAGCCACCGCCAGTGCTGATATGAGCGACATGCATCAACAGATACTTGACAAGTCAGAGCTAGCGCTTACAGTGGCCTTCGACATCGAGATCATCATGCGCATTGTAGCAGAGCTCCCAGCTTGGCGAAGATTCTTCCAGCATGGGAACAACTGGCTGGATCTTGTGTTGGCTGTGGGGTCGAGTGTTATTCAGATTCCGGCTATTCACAACTCGGAGCTATACCCCTGGTTGACGATATTTCAACTAGGGAGGTTCTACAGGGTGATTCTAGAGTTCCCGAGAATGAAACCGCTCATGGCGAGTCTAGTCACCATCTGAACATCTTACAGACAACTAAACCATCTCAGCTCACGGTCTTTGGGAATCTTTATGGTCTAGTGAATATGACACTTTTCTTGCTGCTCGTCAACCTCCTTGCCGCGTTGGTCTGCGTGGAGCTCATTCGTGGTGATATGAACGACTCGATTGGGTTGAATTTCGGACAGTTGTGGAATTCGTTCCTCGCCATGTATCAGATCTTTTCCTCCGAGAATTGGACGAATGTCTTGTACTCGACAGCAATTGCAGAGATTTCCCTGGGGCAGGCGGTGATCGTGATTATTTTCTTATGCTCGTGGCTTATATTTGCAAATTGTAAGTCGCCCAAAGTGCTCATGCATATTGCCCTCCTTCGTTGACGCGCATTGTTTTCTCCAGTCATCGTGATGCAGATGTTCATCGCCGTCATTCACGAGAACTTCAGCGTCGCAGAAGAAACGAAGAAGAGTAAACAGGCATCGGACTACTGGGTTCAACACCACCCACAAAGGGTCACGCACAATAGTTGGACTCGCAAGTTGAATCCGTATCGATGGATCAAGGCGGATCCCGTTCGCGTCAAGGTCGAAAACCTTCCTTCGAACCTGGTCTTACCAATGCAGAAAACGCTTGTGCAAGATTACGGGGTTGTTAGACAGCACAACCGAAACGGGGCTGTATGTGTTTTTGAGTGTCTGAGATGACAAACTGCTGATATCCTGATGCGAAAGAAACCCGTTCCGTTGAAGGGTGCGAGGCATCTGCCTTCAAAATCGTTGACGATGCTTCAACAACTGTTTTCTGGGACTACGGATTCTAATGATGTGCCGTTGGCGGACTTACGACAGAGCCGTCGTGAGTCGACAGCAGTGCAAAAAGAAGAGACGGAGCGTTATCTGTGAGCTTTCTAGTACATATAAGTGGCAGCTTTGCTGACACGAACTTGTAGCGATATTCTCGCCAAGGCGGGCAACGGCACCGACACGACTGAGAACGACCATGATGAGCATTCCGAGCGGAAGGCGCAGAAGGCGGACTTTATCATTGACCACCCGACATATGATAAGACCTTTTGGCTTTTCTCGCAGGAAGATCGTCTCCGGAATATGTGCCAGAAGGTTGTCAAGCCTGCTGGCGGAGAGCGCCTATTCGGAGCCCCACCCTCCGACGTTGCCCATACATTATTTCAGCTCATGATCTTGTTGACTGTGCTTGGTGGTATCATCACGGAGGGCGTAGCCACCCCTTTGTACCGGCGCAATTACTACATGGAGCACGGCATGGTACGTGGTACTTGGTTCAACATCGCCGAGATTGCGCTCGGTGTTCCTTTGCTAGTCGAATTCATTATCAAGATCATCGCCGATGGTTTCTTGTTCACTCCAAACGCCTACGTCAAGAGCATATGGAATATCCTGGACTTCATTATACTCATCGGTATCCTAGTAAACTTGTCATTCACGCTTATTTTTGTCAGTGGATTGACTCGTTTCATCCACGCACTCAAAGCTCTTCGAGCTCTCCGCCTTGTCACCTTGATCGAGAAGATGCGAAACACATTCGAATCACTCATTATTTCCGGGGTGACTCGTATCTTGGATGCCGCCATTTTGGCGATCCTGTATCTGATTCCCTTTAGCGTTTGGGGCGTCAATATATTTGCAGGATTAATGAATGAGTGCAACGATACCAGTGTCCAAGGCCTCGACGATTGTACCAACGAGTTTGTCAACACAATATACGGCACTTCTTTCGGATATTTGGCCCCTCGTGCCTGGGACAATCCTTCACCTTCCACGACGTTCTCCTTCGACAACTTTCGATCTTCGATGCTCATTCTTTTTGAGATTGTATCGTTGGAGGGGTGGATTGATGTGATGTTGGCCTCGATGAATATTACTGGGAAGAACCAACAACCGCGGGTCGACGCTTCGCAGATCAACGCTATTTTCTTCGTCATCTACAATTTGCTAGGAGGCGTTGTAATTCTGACTCTTTTTGTCAGGTGAGACTTGTCTTTTGTAGACCGCCGGCCTGTTGGCTTACGACTTGCTTAGTATTATCATCGGAAACTTCTCATCCAAGACGGGTTCTGCATTCCTGACCCAACCTCAACGAGAATGGATTGACCTACAGAAACTGATCAAACGCCAGAAACCGTCGAAGCGTCCTCAGACTCGGCCTACTCAACTGTTACGAGGATGGTGCTACGACCGTGCGATCCACAAGCACGGCTGGTGGACGCGAATGATGACGTGCTTCTTTGTCGTACAAATTATCGTTCTCATGTTTGTGCCTCTTTCTTTCCTGGTTAGCGATGAACTCATTTGTTTCAGGACACAAACATTTACCGTCCACGTAGCTGTTGCAAAATTTCAAGGTTAGTAGTCGGTTTGTTTGTACTTCCGTTCGGTCCCTCAACGTGACTCCTTTCAGACGACTTCTCGCTGATCATCACAACGATGTATGTCGTCGATATCGCAGTTAGGTTCTACGGTGTCGGGTGGAGGAGTTTCCGAGCCAACGGGTGGAATTTGTTTGATGTTGTGGTGGCCGGCGGCAGTTTCATCACGACGTTGGTCGTTCGGTTTGGGTATATGGGGTTTGCCGTTGAGCAGCTGCAGAAACTGTTCCTCGTCAGTATCGCGTTCAAGCTCGTGCAGAGGACCAACAGCCTTAATCAGCTCTTCAAGACTGTCATGTAAGTGGGGCGGTCATGTTTTGATTAACTATTGACTTTTTTATGCAGGGCGAGCTTGCCCGTCATCTTGAACCTCCTGGGCCTGTGGTTCATACTTTTTATCTTCTTCGCCATCATGTACATGGAGGTCTTCGGCTTGACCAAATGGTATTCTGCAGAAACTCACACTCAGAATTACCAAACCATGGGTTCGGCGCTCGTGATGCTCGCATTCATGAGTACGGGGTAGGTATTTCCAACATTTTTCTGGTGATGTTTTCTAAAATATCTACTCATAGCGAAGGCTGGAACCAATACATGCATGACTTGTACGTGAACAAACGGTCCTTTTTGTTTTGAAGTTGACGCTAGTTTAGTGCTCTGGCATATCCGCGGTGCACTATCAACACTAGTGGGCTAGTGGAAACGGATTGTGGAAGTACCGCTTGGGCGTTCTCCCTCTTCATCGCTTGGAACCTTCTGAGCATGGTATGTGAACCTCAGTAATTTCGCGCGTGCTTCCTGATGCTATCTCGAACAGTATATATTCGTGAACATGTTTACTGGAGTCGTCGTGCAGAATTTCTCCTACGTTTTCCAGTCGACTGGCGGAGCAAAGGCCATCACTCGTGAAGAAATTCGTTCGTTCAAGAAAACGTGGGCGGAGTATTCCAACCCAAAGACTGGGCTGCTCGAACAAAGGCGATTGGTTCCGTTCCTAGGTGTAAGTTCCGTGCGACGTAATGTTCACGAGATTCATCAAGTTCTTTTTCAGAAATTAAATGGGATTTTCGAGGTTCGCATATACCCGACTGAGTACTCCGTTCCATCCATTGTCTCGACGTGCAAAGACCTCCGGAAGATTGCGACGAAAGCAGGGACGAAAGTGGAGACGACATTGAATCCACGGAAAGTAAACAAGGTACTGAGAAAGGTCGACTTCGACATTATAAAACAGCGAAGAGCAGTGTATTGCCGGCTATTTCACGAAGCCAGCATTATTGACAGCCATCGCAAAGGCATCTCGTTCACCGACATGCTTTTTCTTTTGGCCCACCATAAGCTGATTGTGGACCGCGACGCACTAGAGTGAGTTACTAATTTGCGTTGATGCTGTTACAGTTCTGACCACAAGGCAGGCTGAAGGATCTAATCGTGAGACAAGGGACGAACAAACTTGTGTCAGATTTGGTGAACCTCGACCGTGTTCGTTCTTTGCTGAAAATGATATCACTGCGACGAAGATATTTGGCCAAGCGAGAAATGACACTCAGTGCGCAAAGAGGTAAGCTGCTTTTCGGCGTCATCAACATCGTAGATGATGATCCAATGTGTATCGTAGACATCCCCGCTATTCAAGTCGACCCTGCACCATCCACTCCACCCCCATTAACTCGCGATATCACTTCACCTCGTAGTGACCACGGTCGTTTAGACAACAGCCCTTCTAGTCCAACTCCCTCTCCCCGAACACTTGGCCCTTCCCCAGAGCTTAATGCCTGGGATCATTCCTTCCGCAGTAGTCTGCAGCGCTCCCGCAGAACAAGCGATGTCAGCATGCTTTCTGCCGACATGGGTCATGGTTACTGGTTCGTGCTGATAGTCGCTCATACTAAATGGTTTATTGATAGGTTTGACGCAGGAGAGATAGTTCATTAGACATCGGTGATCAAGAAGGCATCGTGTCATCCATGCAGCGTTCTATATGGGGTGGTACGTTATCGGCCTCTGAGATCTGAGCCTTGCCGATTACCTGACTTCCCGCCCTCAGAGATCATGCAGCAAGCTGCAGAAGAGGATGCTTAACTCGATCTTATTGTTTCAACTAATCATGAACATTTTACGGACACTAACTATATTGCATGTGTACCTCCAACAATCAACACACTCGCTTGTATGGTATTGAATAGAAATAGATGCATATAATGGTAACAACATGGGTGTGACGAGCAAGCATACAGTATCTATGCCTGGCCTTGGGCTCTCCGAGATTTCCACACCTTCTTCTCCTGAACAGTCTCGAATCCATCATCACTCCTCTTGTGTTCAGGCGGTGGGGCATTACGAGATGCGAGAGGGGCAGGAGATGCGAGAGGGGCAGGAGATGCAGTCCGAACAGGTGCGGCAGCTGGAGGTTTCGCTTGGCGATCTCTCCAGCCTCCGGCGGTAGCACCAAATGCACCAGGCCGGTATGCACCTGTAGTAGCAGCAGGAGCAGGAGCAGGAGCAGGAGCAGGAGCAGGAGCAGGAGCAGGAGCAGGCAGAGGGCTTTCAACCCGTGGTGGTGTGGATATAGCGGCGGTAGCACGGGTGGGCGCAGAGGGCGCTCCTCCACGTCGCCAAGCTCCTTGGGGCTGCGCTGGTTGCGCTGGTTGCGCTGCTAGTTGATTGCGCTGTTCCGCGCGGCGTTGAGCGGCATGTGCTTCAGCCTCAGCCTCGCGTTCGGCACGTTTCCTTGCCTCCTCTTGAGTTTTGGCACGCTCTTCTTCCCGTTTCCTACGTGCTTCGGCGGCTTTCTCTTTCTCTTCCCGTTCCTTGGCCTCGGCCTCTTCCTCGGCTGCGTGGCGCTCTGAAGAAACATGAGGAAACGACTATATGCGATCAAGTCCACTCACCAGCTTCTAATCGAGCTTCTTCTTCCTCCTGCTCCCTGCGAATTCTCTCAGCCTCAAGACGCTCTTGTTCTTCTTCGTCTCTCATCTTCTGATGTGCAGCCCGCATCTTCTCCTTCTCCTCCTCGATTCTCTTGTGTGACTCCGCGAGTTTGGCTGTGTGCTCTTCACTTCGCTGTGCGATGATGAACTCTTTTCTCTGTTGATAATCCTGCATCATGCGGCTCAAGCGTTTCTTGGATATCATGTCCTCCTGGAACGCCTGGCGAGCACCCTCAATGCGCGAGCGCTGAAGCGTTTCGAAGATTGTGCGGTCGGTGGCTTGCTGTTCCGCGTAGTCCTCTGCAAGCAGCGGCCGCTCTTCTTTGCGGTACGCACGCTCGATGTGATCGATTCGCTTGGCAGCGGTGCGCAAACGCTGATTGAGCTCTTTCTTCTCGCGTTCGAATTGCTCGACTTGCATGCGCATGAGTGAATCTGTCGATAGATCTTCCATTTCCTGTGGACAGTCATATCAGTCACCCTGTAGTAGGCAATTTGAAAAAGGGATACGCACGTCCACCGACACTTTCAAGTTGCCCTTCTTGATCAGTGTTTGTGCGAGCTTCTTGGCTTCCTCCGCACGAATAGAATCCACCTCCTTCTGTGCGCGTTCCCGTTCCTTCTTGGCTATCTCGAGCTTGGCGCGTCGCACCTCCTCGTCCTTCTCGCGTCGCGTCGTTTCCGCACGACGGCTGGCCTCCTCCTTCTCCTTACGAGCGGAGAGCTCAGAGAGGAGCTCGCGGCGACGAGCAACGAGCGCACGACGGAGCGATAGCGCATGCCGCTCAGCGTTCGCAGCCGCGACAAGCTCCACAAATTTGACATGCTGTGCAGCTTCCTCTTCCTCGGGAGAGAGTTGGGGCGGGGGGTACAGAACCGCAAGGGAATTATGCAATGTCACTGCGAGCGTGCTCAGCCGTGTGCGCACGAGCTCTGCAGCGCTGGGCTGGATGCTTGCTTCTGAGTTGGTACTCGTGGACGGGATGGGGTCCTCGGAGCTGACTACGAAACCCTCGTCGATGAAGGTGATTGTGCCAGTGGCGTGGTCGACATACACACTGCGTTCACCGCGACGTGCACAACCCATGAGGAACGCCTCTACCTGCTCTGGGCCGAGGCCCTCGAGGGGAGAGACTAGTTCAAGGAGCGAGGTGATAGTAAGCGTGGAATAAACTTGAGAAAGCTGTGCGAGCAGGCGGGAGAGCAATGCACGTTCCAGGAGGGAACGGTAGCCAAAGTATGGTGTGTCCGGTGCACACAGTTCTGCGAGAAGCGGGGCGGTGGAGGAGCAAAGCGTCAAGGGGTCGAATGAAGCTTCAAGGAGCGTGTACAGAGACTTGATGGGTGCTGGGGAAAGACGGAGGACGTCACGGGAAAGCTATGAATATATAAACATACGTTCAGCTCAAAGATGGCGAATATACATACGGCATCTTTGATCAGCCCGGCGCGAGTAGGTGCTCTGGTGAGACCAAGAAGAGCAGTAAGGCGCGATGTCTTGCTTTTGCCATCCTCATCTTCATTTTGTAGGCCAACAGGGACGGCCAAGGCACTGACGAGTACTTGACCGGCGAGTTTCGTCATCTCCTCTTCGCTCTTTCCCCCAATGCTGGTAACAATTGCGTGGTACCGACCCCATGCAGCGGCATGATAGAGAGCATTTCCGCTCATCAAGAAAATCTTAGTCAACTTTTCATAATAGTTCGCCATCATCGCCGGACGGGGAGCCTTTTTTGCCATTGTGAGCAGATTGTGCACATCTTCGACACTGCGGAATGCCTCCTGCCAAAGCTCGAGTTCGACGGAGGTATTAAGCTGAGCAAACCGAGTGTCAAGATGATGTTGCAGTGTCTCCGCATCCGATAGGTTGATAGCATGTGTTTGATGCGCATATTTTGCGACATTGGAAAGGTGCAGTCGAAGAGTTTCACAAAGTCTCCGGAATTCGACCTTCCGTTGGTGCTTTAGGCAGAAACGGAAAGCTTGCTGCGCAACTTGCTAAAGAATTCATGTCAGAAAATATGGAATCAGGGTCGTCCCGCATCACGCCTGAGGTAATCATCATGAACACCATGAGGCGGTGTTACCTGCCTAAACCAGTAGCCTTCCCTTTAGGAAGCATATGAAGAATGACCGAAAATTAGAGAAGGAATGGAACTGCTTGCCAAAGGCACATGCGGGTGGTGGGGAGGAAAATGAGCTCACCTGATAGATGACTTCTAGCCGAGCATTATTCTTGAGAGTCTCGAGTGATGTACGATAGCTCTCCCACAGGAACTTGAGCCAGGGCGTGACGAGTGCACGATCCGTGCGGTCCTTGCTCTGATCACCACTAACCGCGCCGAGGAGAATGCTCTCAGGCGTTTCGCTTGCCTCAAGATCGTCGACATCGACAGGTCCGGTGACTTTGTCCGCTTTCTCCTGCGCCTCGGAGACTTTTGCATCTGAGAGCTGAATAAACCGGTTGATGACAACCTCAATGCTTCCGACGCTCGAATTTTGAGCGATATTCTTGTATTGCATCAGGCCCTCTTTGGCAGTGCGGCCTTTACGCATGTCGACGCAAAGCTCCACGAAGCGGATCACGATTGGCTCGAGTGTAGTGAGAGGTGTCGAGCGGAAGCGTTTTGAAGAGAACATCTCTACGAGCGACTGAAGAGCTGCATGAGACTGACCGACAGAGACGAGGCCCTCTGCTTGTTTGAGCACGGCCTCAGGTTTTGTGAACGGTGCCATGATTGGACTATGGGTTGTTGGTTGTGCTCGTCGAGCAGGATATCGTACGGACTGTTCAAGTGTGTTTCGAGTGTGACTTTTCCCGCTCGAGTGTTTTGTACAGCTCTTTGAGTTCGCTGTGAGTCGGGGTAATGGGCTTACTCGATATCGGTACCGTTAATGACAAGGAAAAAAACTAAGTTCAGTGGCCCCGTGAGAAATATAATCTGTTTTGAAGTCCGAGCTGCGACGTATTGAAATCTACTAGGGCACTTTTCTTCAACTTTCTGTGGACATCGTAATTTTACAAGGCTATTGAATACATCTATCTCATCGCCAACAAGCTACTTTTCACTTCAAACCCATCGTTGAACAATGACACTGTTAGCTAGCCCAGCACCCTCGATTGTTTGAGTATCATCTTCCAAGGTACGATTAGGGAATGTCGTTCCAATCGTATACGGGCGTGACATATTCTCGGGACGAGAACTACCAATAAATATTTAGTGTCTCTGGCGAATTTTCAAGGGCTAAACGCAACGTACGCATTGATGAACGAGCGAAGATCACCAACGGTATGCGTGAGATTCATCCTGCATGGCATACGCGTACCATCTGCCAGGCGGATCTGCACGCTCGTGGTAGGCTGCGTCTGGTCGACCTCAAAACGGGTGCTAATACTGTGCCTCTCGACACTAGCACTGGAATCAGCAGCACTGCTGCTGCCAGACGGAAATGATCCTGGCATGAAAGGTGCTGCACCAGAGGTAATAACAGGAGTTGGTGCACCAAGCCTTTGTCCAGATCCTGAAAAGTTGCCCCTCTTGGGGGGTACATATTCCTCGCTAAGTCGGGTTGCCACATTAAGGTTGACACGTTGCCCAGGTGTGACGTCCATGAAGGACATAGGCGCAGTACTGTAAAGAATGAGGACGGATATATCATGATGACAGAATGTAACATACCCTTGCTGGATGGACCTCAAAAGCTCTTGATTACCGGGTTCGTCATATCGCATCAGTGGTCCATCCTCAAGGCTAAACCCGTCTCTCCAAAGATGCAAGTGACGGACAACGATGTCATCTTCGTCTTCATATAGAGTACCAGATCAGCCATAGTAATAACCACTAGAACAACAAGCGGTAATAAAACTCACCATCTTTTGCGGTCGGATCCGGCACATATGAGCTCTCCACTTCGTCACTTCCAAGTACATGCCCGCCGCCACTGAAAGGTCCAGCTGCTCTGCGGGCGTCAGGTGGAGGTGCCATCCCGCCCCTTCAGAATAAGGGAGTGTTTGTCAGGATTAAAAATTTGATGCAGACGCTGAACGACGTACTCTGCGGCTTGCCTCAAGATATCTCTCACGAGGCGCCCACCAGGACGAGCACTGGCAGAGTTAGGGTTCTGCACTGCAATGCCACTACCCAGCTGGTAAGCTCAAGTACTATCATGCAGGGATCAAGCTTCACACACCTCCGCTCGCCACCTGCAAACCAGTTCTCACCCTCTTTGTCCTCATCGTCGCCGACCTGTGGTCCTCCTGGCACTCTGGCACCACCAGATGTAGGGAGATTCGAAAGACTTCCAAAGCCACCTCTATTTACATTTAATACTTAGATGGTTGTCAAAGATAACGGTGCTGGAAGCGCACCGAGATGAGGATGAGGAGTTCCTGCCGGGGTTGTTGGTGCCACTCCAGTCTCCAACCCGACCTACACGAGGTGCAGATGGCCGGCCCCATCCAGCGGGTAGAGGCTCGCTGTTCTGGTTTCCTCCAAGAGATTGTCCTCCGCCTGACATCGTTCAAGTTAATGATATCGATCTATATAATCACGATGAGTCCAATACGTGACGCGTCCTACCGGTGCGTATTACATAAGAAAATAAGTTCAGACGGACGTGACGCGTGACGAAGGATTGTGACATCGACTATTGGTTCGGATTGCTTCTTCTGCTATATATTATGTTTAATGAACAGATCACTTACTTAAGTTACATAGTGCTACTCTGCATCAACTTGCTGAGTCTCTTCGGGTGTAGTTCCAGACGGTTCTCTGGGCACAGATCTTGACGGATACAGGATATCACAGTTTGACGCCGAGTATGGGATCTCACCAACGTCATCTGTCGCATGCCTCAGCTCGGTCTATCCCATCTTCACTCCAGATGATGTGAAACCTGGACGTATGCAGGAAGATTTCTTCTGATTAACGGGTGAGCTCACATCGGAACAAAATGATCGTCGGCATTCATATCGGCGCTTCAGGTTCGCTGTCCATGTCAATGCTGATCAATCCCGATGGGACCCTGCGGACCCTGCCTGGTTTGGCAGCATCAAATTTTGTGGCGAGGCCGTTCTCGCTTGTCAGAAGACTTCCGAAGATTGGCTGGTGGATTACCCAAGGATTACCTCAACAACGTTTATTTCAACGACCACGAGACATCATTTTCCCCTCGGTGAATGAGAGTGAACTGCAGCCCCGCTAAATAATATCATTTGTTCATCGAGAGCCTCATTGCATGCATGGACAGCAATATGTATCCTCGTTTACGTCACGCTGTTCACAGTACCCGGTCACCACCGATGCCAACGGTCGGACATGGTCCTGAAGTTCTCCCCCGCCATCCTAACCGTGATCTGTCTGTGATCAGGTGCAACTCCCGCCAATGATGGTTCTGACTACTTCTTCCATTATCACCGCGACTTGTGCTATCTCGAGCTGATTTTTGCCCTTGCGAGCAATTCCAACTGGAATCCCCATTTATTTGTGGATCGCCATATAAATTGATGCATTAGCACTGTCTCTAGTTCCTTCCTATCCTTACGGACGGCACAAAGAAGTGTATACAGCTTACTTCAAAATTTGATTTTAAGATGCTCGTCGGAGCTGTCAGCCGCGTTGAAAATTACGGTGACCGGAACCATGAGAGTGGGAAGCATATGATGAAACCCGTGTCAACTTTGAGAGCAGAGTCAAATTGTCTGCTCTTCGTTTTAGCCAGCTAGCAAAAGAAAGCGCATGTATCTTGAACTGGCGACAGCGAAAAAAAGATGTGCATGTGTTGGAGGATATCGTATTGCAGCATATTGATATGAGCTGTATTGCAAAGAGTTCGCTGGCGGCTGAATGGCACGGAAGATGGGGTAGGAGGCTATCCAAATCGCGAAACCAATGACCATGGGCGCATCAGTAAACCGGCGAGTTCTTGCTGGGGATTATGCTGATTATGGTGCTTTTACATAGTCATATATTCCAATGTGACGAAAACCTTTCCTATATATTACGATATCTTCTTCTCACAAGTTCTCTGATGCCGCCATCACCATCGTACAGCCTTGAGGTTTCTCAGTCCCCTCTGAACGTCTCTAATATCAGATCGATTCCAGTCGCCAACCCAATCGAGAAAGACGGACACGAAGAGAGTGAAATTGAGGAGTCAGTTGATACCAGCCGAAAGACAATATTAGCGATTTTGAACCGATGCTAATTTGGCTGACTGCGCTACTGATGCTAACTCACGTACTACATATATAGATGTGCTTCGTCAGTTTACGAAGATTTGAAAGTGCTGTCGAGAAGTTCAGACGACGAGATGATATAACGCCAAAGTGGCTGAGATTAAGGTTATTGCTTACGGCAAGCAGAGTGTTGGCTTTCTCCATTGCACGCCTCTTGGCTTATGTAACAAGGTTATTGTTTGAATTGTCTGTTACACTCAGTGCGCACGCCGTGCGCTTGTTCGTCGACGACGCTTCGGTGTGGCCCTTGCGCGAGACTCGCTATTACTTGGGAACTGTATCTGCGATTCAACCACCAGATCAAGTAACCACTGTGTTGGCGACAAAAATAGCGCACGCGTGGCACGTTGCAAGTATTCGTTTGGCAGGGCAAATCTGGCCCGGGGGAATGTACATTGTAGCGTATTACGAATCCAATGGTCAGAAAGGCTCAGCGTGTGTTTGATTTGCTTAGACATACTAGATGTCCACGGGAGTCCGCGCATTTTTGGCAAAACGTTTATTACTCCACATCGCACAAACAAACAAAATTAATTCTTTGACAGTCCGACAGCGTGACATCGAAAGTACAACGTCTGCTAGTTTCTTTTTCGAAAATCGACGTGTTGAGTCCAGCGGAGAGTTACCGCGCAGAAAAGTGCATTTTCCCTAGAGTTCGCGCACTTTGTCACACCATGTCACACGTCTGCCGCAATGCCTTTTCACACTCCGCCCGTTTGTACAGTGTGTTGTGAGTTCGTGCGCACTTAATTGCGGAGTTTCGATTTACAGTAACGCTTTGGGTAGACTGTCACGTCTGGGGCATATTTCTTTTATTGCAGATGATCCTGGCAAGCATGTGGCCCCGGAGACATTTGTTTTAGTATTCTCTCATCGTGTATAACAATTGTACCATATTCCACAATTTTTTGTGGTGATCTGACCTTTAGAGCGAGCCTTATATGCACAAAAGTAGCCTCCAGCACTGATAAGTTGCCCATGGGACGAGATCTACTTCGATTTTCTTCAAAGAAAATATATAGCAGTGTGTATTATGTTTGGGGGAATTTAGATCTATCATGGATAAGGATTCCGTGCAGAATTGCGTGTGCTAGAGTCAATGCGCGGACTCTTGGGACACACGGACTCGTGGGACCATCTAGTATACGGCATTTGCAGTCACATTCATATAATACATTGGCTATGATCATGATAAATTTCGAAATTCGAAGAGCTGACGAAGCACTTCTATATGTAGTACGTGAGTAGCGTAGTCAGCCAAGTTAACATCGTTTCAAAATCGTTAATATTGTCTTTCGGCTTATATCAACTGACCTCTCAATTTCACTCTCTTCGTGTCCGTCTTTCTCGATTGGGTTGGCCACTGGAATCGATCTGATATTAGAGACGTTCAGAGGGAACTGAAAAACCTCAGGGCTGTACGATGGTGATGGTTTCGCGATTTGGATAGCCTCTTACCCCATCTTCCGTGCCATTCAGCCGCCAGCGAACTCTTTGCAATACAGCTCATATCAATATGCTGTAATACGATATCCTCCAACACATGCACATCTTTTTTCGCTGTCGCCAGTTCAAGATAGTCCAAAATACGTGGACCCTTTTCTAAATTTCCTTCGCAAAGCTTCCCGCCCTTCGCTCCAAAAAGAGCTTCAGGCCTTCACAATCAGACGAAGCAAGACACAGGTGGGTAAGCGCAGGGGCCGGGCTGCTGGTTTTTGGATCGATATTGAGTGCATCGAGGAAACACTGCTCCGGGTTGATGAGAGCGAGGCGTCGAAGTCGCGAGCATTTCTGTAACATGCGGTAAGCTAGAAAAACAGGAGCCTCATGCAATTTTTTCAGAGGATAGTCGTCTTGCCAGAAGAGGTTGGAGACCAAAGGTGATGGACTAAAATGTCCCATCCGCCGAGTCTCGTTATTCCTACATAGGCAGAACTAAATTCTATTTTTAGAATGATGACCCACTTTACTTCCGCCGAACCTCTATAACTGGCAATCCAATGGGTCGTCGAGAACGTGAAGATCTACCTTAATCTTCAGGTGGTGTCGAAATGTCTTGGAACACGCGCATCCACTACTAACTTATCACCAGGGTGGTCACATCAGGTTCCTATACTATACGAAGACCGTACTGATACGTGAACTCACGCAGGTGACCCGATTAATTCGCGCAGGTGTCCGATTCGTGTCTGTATAAATACAAGTCAGTGTAATCATGCACTCTAATCCCACCCTACCCGTCGCTCATCACAATAAGTCACCACCTCTCTGTTTTGAAGTACTTAACGTTTTGCAAAATAGCGGAGTGTCTGAATCGTGACTAGCAACAAGCCAGACCATTTCAATGGCGATTATCATTGCCGCATGCACCCTTATCATTATCTTAGCCAGCGTCTGGATAGTGAAACAACGATACCAGGCCGCAGGACGGTTGCCGTTGCCGCCCGGACCACCTGGACGTTGGCTATTAGGAAATGCGATGCCAAAGTCATCGTAAGTCATTTTCAAGGGACACCAGCATGAGCTCTATCTAACCCCTCACGCAGCGTGCCTTTTCAATTTGCGAGATGGACAGAACAATACGGACCTGTGTTCTCGCTCAAACAAGGCCCTAGGATTTTCGTGATTATTGGACGTCATCAGGTCAGCATAAAACAATACATTGTCTAGTCAGGCATGAAGTAGATCACGTCACAGGCTGCAGTGGATATCATGGAAAAAGAGGGAATAAATGTTGCCGACCGCCCACGTTCTGTTGCAGTGCACGAGACGTTGTCTGAAGGGTTCAGAGTGATCCTTGAGGGCGATACTGAGAGATGGCGCCGGATGCGCAGGTACGCATCCTGTCTCTACCAGGTGCGATAAGTGAGACTAAATGTAAAGCAGGATCTTGCATGCAAACTTGCAACCTAAGGTTGTGGAGACCCACGGGCCCATGCAGACCAGGCATGCGAAAAATGTGGTTCTGAATATCTTAAATGATCCAAAGAACCACCAGAGACATGCCATGAGGTAAGAACACCAGCTCTTAGTCGCGGTACAGGTGGTAATCCGAGGATTTTAGTTATTCGGCTTCCGTGACCATGTCCATCACCTACGGAAAATTTACTCCGACTTCATCTACAGATCCTGAAGTCGTTGACATGAATAGGTTTTCTGCGCGTCTTGGTCAAGCTGTGAAGCCGGGAGCATACCTTGTGGATGCGTATCCGATCCTGCGTTTCGTACCAGGCTACCTGAGTCAGCTGAAGGCATGGAACAGAGAAGAAATGGTTTTCTATAACGAGCAGTTAAACGTAGTGCGAAGACAGATGGTTCGTGATTTTCTTGTGATCATAGATATGCTCGCTCACCACTGTGAAGCGTGAGGGGAATGCAAGGCCATCCTTTGCGAGGTTCATGTTAGAGAACCAGAAACAGTACCAGATCGGAGATAAGGAACTGGCATTCCTTGGAGGAGTGATGTTTGGGGCCGGTACTGATGCGGTAAGTTCTTACATTGCATCGCGTCTTCACCCGACAACTGTTGTAGACTACGTCCGCAATCACAATTATGATGATGGCTGCTGCCACTCATACAGATGCGCAGGCTCGCGTACAAGAGGAACTTGATAACGTCGTGGGGCGTACGCGGCGTAGGTTATCCCTTTTCTTTATTCGTCTACGGACTGAGATAGCTCCTGATTAGTGCCGACGTTTGACGATCAGGAAACGCTGCCGCAGGTTACCGCGTTCATGCTCGAGAGTCTCAGGTGGAGACCTGTCAGTTTTGGAGGTACGTTTTATTTGAGTTGTGATGACGCGATGTTGAACGACCACTTGCACTACAGGCTTTGCGCATCGCGCGAGTAAGGACATCATTTGGAAGAACTACCTCATTCCTGCAGGTGCGACTGTTATTGGCAACCATTGGTCAGTACGCAATCATTTTCGTCCTCTCACCTTTGGGTCTGACGCTCGTGCTTCAGGGCTATCGCAAACGATCCTGAAGTCTTCCCCGATCCACACAAGTTCGATCCTCAGCGTTGGATTGACGATGCAGGTCGTGTGCGCGATGATCTCCGGTTTTTCACTTTTGGCTTTGGCCGTCGGTGAGTAGTATCGTTCATCTCTCGACCATTTCTTATGCCTTACTTGAAAATGTCAGAGTGTGTCCCGGTCAACACATCGCGAATCGGTCGATCTTCATCAATACGGCTCTCATTATGTGGGCTTTCCGCCTTTCGGAGAATCCTGCAGCGAAGATCAACACGCTTGCATTCTCGGACACTTCGAACATACAAGCTGCTCCGTTTGAGATATGCTTTGCGAAGAGGGTCGACGAGAAGGTAATCAGGGAACTATGCGCACCGGGCGAATAAAAGGTGTTTATTGAATTTTTGTGCAAAGGAGTTCGTCTTGCGTTTTTTCGTTGTCTATCCGACAGATTTTTTTTATCCTTGATTATTGTCCTTTGGGGCCGGGCCCTATGATGGACATTACCTACACCTATGTTCTTTTGTTCGTTCACTATGTAATCTGTGTCAGTCTTTTGCAATGGTTCTGGCGCGAGCGAGAACAGTTCGGCCTTTTTCAGGCGTTGGGTTATTGGTGGGTCTTCCTCTGGGGGCGATACGTCTCCGAAAATGCTCTCCAACCGCTTCGTTCTTGAGTACGGCTCTCATGCATTTGCGTGAGCCTACTTCCTATCGGACTCAAACCCATCGTTACACTTAACTTTGTATATCTGTAAACAGGCACCATTGTAATCATGAACTGGCTCCACTTGGTCTTACCATGCATCAATCTCTCGATACACTGCGATACTCTCCAAGTTGCGTGGCTGATCGTGAGCCGTTTGCAGACAGTCCCCGGACAAAATAAGGTATGGTACTGAAGTGTTATCCTTTTACCATTCAATTATTCCGCCACCCCACATGCGCTTTCTTTTTCTAGCTGGTTAAAACGAAGAGCAGACAACTTGACTTTGCTCTCAAAGTTGACGCGGGTTTCATTGTGTGCTTCCCACTCTCACGGTTCCGGTCACCGTAGTTTTCAACGCGGCTGACCAATGCAGAGTACCGGGAATGATAGTAAGTAGCAGCTGGAGTAGAACGGGCCTCCAAGTGTATTTCAATGTCCGACGTGCCGTCTGTTAGCCACCAGCTTTGCCGTAGTGCGCGCCGGACTTTCTGCGCCGGAGGGGCGGTTTCAGGGATGTTGCGCGTCATTGTCACGTGTTTCCAAAATCAAAGCTTTCAAACCAAGTACTTTAAATTGGACAACGCGTACGCCGCGGTCAGGTTTGCCCTTTGACCGACACTACATTGAGCCTGAGTGCCGCTCGAGAGCCTCAATAGCATTAATGCGTGCGCCAACCCCGCAGTTGTCTCTCACATCTTCCATACCTTCGAGCAGGAGACATGCGTTCAAGAAAAGAAAACTCGGCCATGCTATTCAATCGTCCACGCGCCACGACACAGGGTCATGTCCCTCGAAGGCAGACCAATCACCAACACCAAATGCACATAAAGCCTCGACTTTGTCATGCTCTTCATGTCACCGTGTGTTATCTGCATCAATGAGGTCTGGTGCAGGTGCAGGCGCAACTTGTGCAATGTGGGTGGCCTCTAACTGTTCGTCTCTCAAATCTGATAAATTTTCAGGTGTGGATCAGCTATATGTGCTGTTTGTTCTCGCACATGCTCCTCGATGTTACGACAATCCTCGTTCCCGCCAACACCGGCATTAACACGTTGTCCCTCTCTGTCAGGATCGCCGTCGCCGTCACCTTCCGGATCTCCCAAACGAGCTGCATTAAGTCTAAACATCTCCACTATGAACTGTAGTATACTCCTCTCTCCATCTTCTGGCAAGCGGAAGAAGTCTTCAGAAAAGGATGACGTTGATGTAGACTATCCTTCGAAATCTCGAGGCACACTTTTCGGGCTAGACGATGGAGCTCTCCTTGTTCCTGGATGTGGTCGACTTATCTGCAGAACGTGCTGCGTGGAGAGTGCTCAGAAGTAAGCTTTTGATGACTAATGTTGCGTTGAACAACGATTGAGGTCTTTTCTAATCGCAGCGATGGGACTCTTTGTGTAGATTGTTACGCCGTTGTTGAAAACGTGCTGTAGAATGAGGAACAGTCTTATCATGAGGAGCCTCTCATAATTTCCGGAGGACCCTTCGATTATACCGACATCACCTGCATTGTCAATGCTTTGCTTTGTTTCTCAGATTATTACACGCCACAGTGATTCCTCATATTGTATACTATGCATTCATTACCCTATTTTTACAAGCACTCATACACTAGATGGAGAATGGAAACATTTTGGCGAAGCTTTGTGATATTGAATTGTTGAATTGCGAGTTTTAACTGGTTTTACTTCATTATCCTTGGAACGAGCACGGTAGATTGGATGAACGGGATGTTGGCATGCGGGGGAACGCAGAGTCCGTGCATCCGACGGACGCATTGTCCTAGCTGGAAGGGGCAGACAGCCTCGCGCCAAGGGTGCGTTTGATGCTATCATTGCTAACGTTGATTGCCGTGATGTACGAGATCACGATAGCGGTTCAGATGGCCCGAGAGCTGTTGCAGAGATGCGGCGCATGGGTATTCACTGACAGCTCTCGAGGTGATGCTGCAAGAAGAGGTTCTGCAGGATCTCCGCAGATTCTGTTGTCAGGTGAAAGAGTCCTTAATGGTACATTCCACCATATAATTCCCGCGATAAACCCTTTCCCTTGATCAAGCCCACCCTACTAGTATTTGCAGCAGGCTTGCAACCGTGACCTCGGACCAGCGTCGAGTTATCCTGTTGATGTGTGATGAACGATGCCAAGAGTTGCACAAGAGCTTAGGGCATCAGCCACAGCAGTACTAGCTCCGAGCTCCGGCTCGTCGGGTTTGAAGTGGTCTTGACCAGGATCGTACCAAATCCAGACGGAAGAATGTTCAGTCGCATTATAGTATTATTCCAGGACTTACGTGACGAAGGAAGAATATTTGATATCGGTGAGCTGTGACAAGTCTTCGTGGAACATGATAAGGCACGTCGTTCTAACAATCAATAAATGCGTACTCACAAAAATAGCCTGATGTGCACCATGGAACCTCAGGCTGGCGGCTTCAAAATTGATGTAATAAAGAGTATGGAGCTGATACCGCAACATCCAGTATATGCCAACGAGTCCTCTGCGACTTCCGCGCGACACCGCATCATTAACAGCACGAAATCCGAGAGCATGATGTACAAGATTGGAGATACAGAAAAGTTCACGCATACTATCTACCCGGTTGTTCGGACGGGGAAGATCCCCCAGCACTTGTTGATGGGTTTGGATGCCATTGAGATGCTAGCCGCTAAGACCAAACTTGAGTACTGAGTAACGGCTGAGGCGACGCCATGGTGAAGAGCTGTGAATAGCATTGCCTGGAGCGCCAGTTACAAGTATTATCCTGTTTTGTTTTTGTTTTTCTAATTAGTGGGGCCAGAGAATCAAACCATAGATGAATGAAGATAGTTGTTACGGAAATCCTTCTTTACAATGGAACTTGTTATACGCAGTGCTTTTCAGACGTAGCGATGCCCCGTGAAAACAGTCATGCAGTTGCAGCCTTCACATGAGGCCAGTGATCAACCAAATGTACCGCTTCAACTTGCTCCTCATTAATAGGTTCTAGCGCGTCAGTTGCTCGCCATGTCCTCTTGGCATGCTTCAGCAGGTAGATCGCAGAAGTCGGAGTCATGCCTTCCATGCGTTTGACAGCACCCTAACGCGCGATCAATTAAGCATCGCACTACATCGTCAAAACAGAGCTCACCAAAGTTGTGGGCCTGACCCTCTGTAGGCGCTCCCTCACCTCCTCGCTCAATCCTTGCACTTTGGAGTAGTCCATATCAGGATCTAGTTGCAGCGACTCATCGGCATGGAATAATGCAAGGTCTGCTTGCTGTCGTGGGAGGTGAGGAGCGTAGGATGCTATTTCAAAGTCCATTGGCATGTTGAAATAAAGAACGGCAAGACTGTTCACCTTCGATGTCAATCCGCGCTCTAATATGAGGTTCCACAAAATCGAGACCTGGAACAGCTCCGGAACGTACAAGATCGGCCGCGGTCATACCTGGAATCTTCAGCATGTCGTACGCACTATTGCAGAATTCCAGCTGAAGCTACATCATAGAGACGCAACCACGAACCTCCTCATGATACCATCTCGTGAAATATCAAATCCGTATCTCCCCCAACCCTGAGCCTAGATGAATAAAATAATTCAGACAAGCTCGAGGCGGCGCTCACCTGCGGACTGAGTACAACGCTTTTGAAGAGCTCAGTGCCTCGCTGTATAGCGTCTCGGTCACCCAAAAAGGCTAACCATCTGTCAGGGGAGATAATTCCAGCAGAATAACCTATATGAACAAACCATTAGATCGTAAAAAACATCAGAATAGGGTCTGCGGGATGTACCAATCTCAGTTAACCGCATGTCAGCGTTGTCGCTCCTCAGTGACATCCGGTATTCCGAACGAGAAGTGAACATCCGGTCTCCATAAGTGACCAAAATTAGCTTCGCATCAGAAGTGGATAAATTAGAGGTCACTCGTACACGGTTCCTCCGCTCCCTTTCCTATCAGATCATCTACCATCACTCCCAGGAATCCATCCGCTCGGGTGAGCGACATCGGGGGATGGCCTCGGGCTGAAAGACCTGCATTAATTCCAGCAAGGCAACCTTGCGCAGCGGCTTCTTCGTAACCTGTCGTGCCATTTATCTGGCCAGCGAGGTAAAGACCCTATAACAAGTTGCCCCTTAGGCGACAATGACAAGGTACAGACACCGTAGTTACCTTGATGCGTTTTGTTTCCAATGTTGCTTGGGAGATCATGAGTTGATATGAGGTCACATTCTTATCCAACTCACAGGTCAGCTCGCGGGGATCAACATGATCATATTCAACACCATATGCTGGCCGCAGCATCTTGACTTGTTCAAGACCCGGTATTGTTCTCATCATTGCTTCTTGGAGCTCCTCAGGCATAGAACATGACAACCCGTTGGGATATATCAGGTCTACACAGAAGATTAGAATGCGTAATTTGCATCCGATACTAAAGCACACCTGAATCATATCCTTCTGGTTCAAGCCAGATGGTATGACTGCCCTTGTGTCCAAAACGGGTAATTTTGGCTTCTAGTGAGGGGCAGTATCGCGGACCTGTGATATCATGGTAAGAAGGGTAGACAATAGCTAAGGGCTAGAAACCTTTCTTGGTCTCCTGAATATGTACACTGAGATGCATACTCTCCTTGATGAGGTGATGCGTTTCCAGTGTGGTGTGAGTCTGAAAACACGGAATTTGGTTGTTCTATAACAAACTCAGTCCTCATATCTAGTTCATGAACGTCGAAAACTTACAGCATGGTCTACTTCCCGGTGAAGAAATGAAAACGGCTGAGGTTTTTCATCTCCATCTTGCCGTTCCATCTGGCTGAAGTCAATGCTGTGTTTATCTAGCCTTGCAGGCGTGCCAGTCTGCAGGCGTCCAAGTTTGAACCCTGCTGCATTGAGGGATGCAGAAAGACCTGTCGAGGGTGCCTCCCCGATACGTCCCGCAGGTATACGACGCATCCCTAAAAAGTGAAAGACAATTCGAGATGAAGATGAAAGCATAAGTCATGCAACATAATTTGACTTGAACCACAACCTTACCGATGTGAATTTCACCGCCCAGAAAGGTCCCAGTACAGATAACGACCTTGGAACACCTGATTACATCTCCTGTCTCTGGAAAAATAGACTGGTGAGGACTTTTGTTATGCGGGCATAGTGCGCGCACCTAGTCGGACGCCCGTCACAGTCCCCCACGTTGACGAGGACGTGGATGTGCAAGGACTGTTGTCAAATACGAGGTCAAATACGCTTGCAGCACGTACGTCCAGGTTCGTGTAGCTGAAAAGGATGTCTTGCATATGACGCTTGTAGATTTTACGGTCTACCTGTGCTCTAGGTCCCTGTTGTTGTTTGTTTTCAAATGTAATCAGACAGGGCAAGCATCATGCACCATCACTCACCCAAACAGCTGCACCTTTCGAAGCATTGAGCATGCGGAACTGTACCCCAGCTTTATCTGTACAACAAGTTTCAGGTATTTACAATTATGCCCATCTGCAAGAGACGCACCCGCGATCCTCCCCATAAGGCCATCCAGAGCATCGACTTCCCTCACCAGTGTACCCTTTCCAACACCACCAATAGAAGGATTGCATGAGAGCTCGCCCACAGTATCAATCCGCTGGGTTAGTAGTACTGTTCGTGCGCCTGTACGGGCAGCACCTGCCGCCGCCTCGCAGCCCGCATGTCCTCCACCGATAATACACACTACAGAGAATGTAAGTTAAAACATACAACTTGATAACACCCTGCAAACCATCATATGTATCTTGAATTGAGTTCGAGTTTGAAGTCGCTGCGTGTAGGGCCCGAATACGTGCTTCTCGAGAAGTACGCGAGGGTAGTAGTCTAGTAGATGTGTCCGGTGTGCTGGTATACAGCGATTTCAACGAGCCTCCTGCGCTAAGAAGCCGTCGCCCCCGCAGTAGGGTAGCCCAGCTTCTTCTCGATAGCATTAATATGCACCTGGCGAACGGTTTGCTGGGCAAGTGAAAATTTAGGGATACAAAAAACAGTCTATACGTAGATAGTATCGATCAGTCTTTGGAAGGCCTAGGGGTAGCTTGTTATGATATACAAATTCAAAGGCTTGAGACTGTGTTCGAGAGAAGCGTGAGTCGTGACACAAGTTCAAGTTGTCAAAAGTTCTAAATTCCTATAGGCTATATCTCACGGGGGACTCCGACAACATATCCAAAACAAGTATCTCTCCGAAATTTCTAACTTAATACAACATGCAACTCGCGATGTGGGAACTTTAACCATCATGTACCACTTTCTCGCATAGAGGATTGATTGTCTCTCAAAGTCTCATAGAACTTCAATTATAGCCTGTAAAGTGAGCAGAATGCAGTGCGTCGCGTTGAATCTATTTGTCTTATCGCAGGCATATATAAAGCCTGTATGCCATCCACATGACTGGAACAGGGCACCTGATACTTGTAGTATAAGGTCTAGAAACGATGCGATAGAGTGAACAATGGCAAGTTATAAAGTATGCCAATCGTACAGCTTTTTCGGACATACATATAACGTACCTTCGAGGCTTCTAGGTCAAGTTCATGGTACCCTGTTAGTATCAGTCGGACCTCACTCGGTTCCTTCGAGTTTCCCTGCGCAGACAAAGCGAACACCCTCACGTCATTCACAACGAGAAGACCCCAGGCCCTGCCCAATATGTTCGCTTCAGCTTAATGCTGCAATTATTATCGAGCGGTATATAACGAATGGCCTCAATATATCCTTGCTCCCCGCATGTTTCGAATTCCCTTCCCTTACTCTGTCGGTTCGATCTTGCGAGTCTCTTCAACGCATTTTCAAAGTCTAAATGTCCTCAACTTCGTACCATTCCCAAACCATTCCCATAGGGTGTTCGGACTTTGTCTGTGCAGGGTTTGGAGAAACTCGAAAGAACTGAGTAAGGTCCAACTGATAACAGGGTACCAGAAACTGTTCTAGTTCAAACCTTTAGGTCCCAAACTATAAACCGTGGTCGCCATGCTGAGTTATTCGGATCGCAGTTAATAATTAGGTTTAAAAACAATCACCTTGGTCTCTGTTTCAAATCGTTCTTTGCCCTCGATTCCAACTGTTTAGCTTCCCCCTATCCACAATTCACAATGCAGCTCACTCTTCTCGCATCCCTTGCTGTCCTTTGTACCTCTGCTTTCGCTGCCCCTGTTGAGAGTCGCGATAGTTCAGAGGTTGAGGTCCTCGCCTGTGTGTGCCCAAACTCATTCTAAGCATACGAACTGACAATGGGTAGATGTGGAGAACGTTTTGAACGATGCAGATATCACCGTTGCCAAGTGTGAGGGCTTGGTTGACGTCATCGTTGGTATGACACTTACTGCAACTCACAATTCGCTGCTGAAGGTTTTCCAGACGTCGAGGATGATTTGAATGACCTTGATGTGAACGTTCTTACCAAGCGGCAGATTTTGTCCAATGTCATTGCTGGTATGGGATTTCCTGAACCTCACAGTTTGCCGCTGAAGGTTTTCCAGACGTCGAGGATGAATTGGAGACTATTGAGGTGAAGTTTCTTGGCGACTGAGATGCTGATGTCATTGTTGGTATGGGATTTCCTGAAGTTCACAGTTTGCTGCTGAAGGTTTTCCAGACGTCGAGGATGATCTGAACGATCTGGATGTGACCAAATGGAGTGACACATTGATCGGCACTAGTGATGTGCACGGCCCGGCTTCAGGCCGTGGGCCAGGCCAAGCCGGGCCTGAATAGGCCAAGCCGAGCCGAGCCAAAGTCACGGCCTGGTGACGGCTTTGGCCTGGCCTGGGCTAATGAAAAGCCAAAGCCGCCGGCTCAGGCCGCGGCTTAGTCAACTGTGCCTGCAGCGCCCAAGCTCAAACTGTTTGACGATCGTCGATCGAAAATCTGACTTCTGTCTCATTTTAGCTTTTCAATCACTTACATTGTGTGCATGTTCATGTGGTAAGAATCACAGTGAGTCGCAGACATTCTTTTCAAGCTCGACACAACTCACTTGCCACAGTGTTAGCAGATAGCACACTCGTCATTTTCAGTACCTGTCAATTATGGCATCGTCAGTTTCAAGTGAGCGCGCGTTCTCACAGGGCGGTATCACTATCAGCAAGCGCCGAAACCGTCTCAAGGGTGACATTGTTGAGGCACTTCAATGCGTCAAATGCGCCCTCCGCCACGACGTACTCTTCCGTGAGCCTGGACCATCATCATCAACTGAGGAAGCTCTCGAGGACTTGGATATTGAGTCAGACACTAACGACTCCGAGAAGCTGAGTGATGCCGAGGATGAAGGTTGGGACGCTCTTCTGGAGGGAGATGAGGATCTCGTAGAATCAGACAGCGACTTCGTGTAAATAGTATGTCATCCTTGTCTGAACCATTTTTCTGTTTTCAGTGCTCGGGCCGCGGCTCAGGCCGAGCCAGGCCAAAGCCAAGCCGTCATTGACGGCTTTGGCCTGGCCCGCAGTTTTTCAAAGCCAAAGCCGTCTGAAGCCAGGCCGAAGCCACGGCTTTCAGGCCAAGCCGGGCCGTGCACATCACTAATCGGCACCGACGTCAGTAAGTACTATTCACATGATTTTGTTTAGCTTTCTTTAAAGTAAGCCCACAGTTGTTGACGATTTTATCAACGATACCGAGGTCAATATCCTTTAGTCGGTTGAAGTGGGATCTCTGGTCATGGATCTTTGCGTCTGCTTCATCACACCCACTATGCACTTATTCCATAGGTTACGTATTCATATAGTCATTACATAAGATGCGTGGTGGATCAATGAGGTCGAAGCTCCACTGGAAATTACCGTGCGTTCACAATTTGTACTAGGGGTTCGCTGTGCGAACTTATGACCTTGCTCCGGAGAATTTTTAATTCATGGGAATCGGCTTTGTCGACCTCTTCTAATACTCGTCGTTTTCGGTCCCCCAAATCTGCGTGACGGCAGTCTTAAGTCTGCTTGTTTTTTGTTTTCACTGCGACAAGTCAAATTTTTCAGCCAATTAATAGGTTGGCCTTTAGCATATTCGATGTCATCTTCAGCTTGGTCCTAATACCTTTTGAGCACATGTAACAGGCTGAGACAGCATGCAAAATGTGGTAACGGTACGAAAGTTCAACAAATCCAGATAGACCAATGCAGCTTCAAGTATGCATTAGGTTGTGGTTCACGCACTCTACCGCATCTCACTATATCATCCTGCAATTTTTGTATCTGCTGAAACGTTTTGTGCATGTAGCTCCGCCCTGCTCACTTAGTAACTGCCTTTGGTGTACCAGGTGGCGAACAGTGTCAAAAGGTGGAGCTCCAATGTGTCCTCTCTAGTCATGTTGCCTCACGCTGACGTTTACTGATTGTTGGCTGTCTCATATCTTTCTTTCTTGCTTGCGCCTGACAAGACACACGGCAACTTTGTATCCGTGTCGATGATGTATGTGGTCTCTCTCAGTTCATCCTATCCTTGGGTGTTTCCGTTTCCCTCACATTTCTTTCGCCTCGTCATCAATCTCAGGAAATCAGCTCATTTGGGATCGAGCTCGTGCTAGGTGGACTTTCGCACCGGATATGACAATTCTCATTGTTGTCTAACTGGCATAGTCTCGGACCAGACATCAATATACTTAACTCAAGAGAGGTGCTATGCCATTGTTGAAGTTCACCTCATATTTGGACTGTATCTGTATTTGTATTGTGTCATCGAGACCGAGCTTTGAGTTGACTGTATCAGTATTTCATCGAGACCGAGTTCTGAGTAACTAATTGGATACTTTATGAAGTAGTTTTGTATATTCATATTGACGCAGTTCTATCATTTTCGGACTCAGGTGACTGACAGATTATCTGCCATCCAACATGACCTTGCTCCGCAAGGTAACTTGGACCAGCCTATGAACATAATGATAGCAATGCCTAAGAAGCCTGAACTTATTAACAAGTACTCCTACGATATATACAGTCCAAAATACTGCGTCTTGGATCACTGCAGAGAGGTTCGACAATGGCTCCCCAACAAGTCACAGGTAACGGTCTTACCGGCCGAAAGTCAGGTAATGATGATTAGTGATGTGCACGGCTCGGCTTGAGGCCCTGGGCCGGCCCAAGCCGGGCCCAAATAAGCCGGGCCCAGCCCAGGCCTAAGTCACGGCCTGAGGAAGGCTTGGGCCTGGGCTTGAGTTTCGAAAAGCCTGAGCCGGCGGCCTAAGCCGTGGCTTTGGTATGTTCAGTGGCACTGCCATAGAAGCCTCACCGGAGGTACGTTTCCCGACTCTATTTTTGTCTTTTCGACCTTCTGACTTCCATCACTCTTATCAGCTTCGACGGTCCATATGTCGCAGTGAGTTGCCATGTCTTATTTGTGCTTCGGTTGGTCGACGTTACTCACATCGAATTCCGGCACTCGAAACTCTTCACAAGGCTTGGTCATCACGCGCAGAAAGGTCGAAATATGCGAAGTTTGCTCCCGCGCTCAAAGATGCAGCCGCAAAAGTAGATGAGTATTACGAGAAGACGACACACTCCGCTGCGTATGTATTGTTAATGTGTACGTTGTTTATTTTTTCATGAACGACTGCGAGTCTGACATTTGCACTTCAGTACTCAACCCCACAGGGAAAATGTCATATTTCACGAAGCATTGGCCAGAGGATCTGCACGATGACGTGCTTTCTACTGCGGAGACAGTGGTGAGTCATCTTTTTCATTTTATCAACTTAATCTGAATGTGCTACAACTAGTTCAAAGCCCGTTATCTTCAGCTGAACCAAGTGACATCATTGACGTCGCAGCACACAACTAAGCCCAGCAGAACTGGCAGTCTCAAGAAGTTAATTCGCGAAGTCCTCAACGACGCAACCAGCTTAAGGCCGACATCGTCGAAGCACTCCAGTGTCTTAAATGTGCACTACGACACGATCTTCTGTTCTGGGAGCCTGCGCCATCGTCTCTCGTTGAGTTGGAGCACCTGGACGACGATGATGAAGAAGTGGAAGTGGAAGAGACTGGTGATGACGAAGAAGGTTGGGACATTCTGCTTTTGGGCGATGATGCTGAGGATGTGTCAGACACTGAGACGGACATTTACTAGATATATTGTAATTATGCTGCCTAATGCCACAGTGGTCTTGAGCTGTCTGTTGGCTGCGAAAAGCCGCGGCCTGGTTGGGCTTAAGCCCCGGCTTTGGGCTGGCTTGGGCTCACGGCCTAGGCTCAGGAATCTTGTGAGCCTAAGCCCCTCGAGGCCAAGCCTAAGCCGGGGCTTTGAGCCTAAGCCGGGCCGGAACATCACTAATGATGATGATTCCAAAGTTGTTTCCAAGCACCTCCATCATGTCTACCAATGTTGTCAACGCTTCTGGCGAGAAATATACCCCGAGATCCAATCAATCAATTCAAGCTACTATTCAAAAGTACCTCGTCAGACTCGAGGAACAGAAGCGAGCATACGGGGTTCTCGCTCGCCTACTATTACATGTTACCAGGACTCCGAGTTCGTGTTCTAGATCCCAACTTGAAGCAGGGAGTTCATTATGAAGTTTGAAGACGAAACCCAGGAAAGATTATTAAAACTCGTAAGTCACGGTGACAGTGCATCCCCATGCCTGTTTCTGAATTGCCAAGCTTCAATCTAGACAGTCCCTTGGACTTTGAAATTTGACCCTCCATGGGAGTACGAGGGTGGAACAGGTTCCTGGTCAGTGAAATTGCTGATATTACAAGAATCACCATTTCGAGCAAGGCTTACTATACCTCACGGCAGAGTCGTCACCCCCACAAGTCGTCACGACCTAAATATCTCACTCAATTCTTACTTCCACACACAATTCACAACTTAAATCAATGTTTCTATCATGCATCTTTCATTGCGAGGTTGAACGACCAAACTTTGTTAAGAAATGGTGAAGTTCATTGAAAGCCGTCAAAGTCACGCTGGTGACAGCCAGCCGAGCGCTGCCGTAGCGGAGTTCTAAACAGATACTACCACTGGCTGTGACGAGTTGTCAGTGAGCCGACGCCATTCGGACATGGCTCGACGAAATAGCCGCCCAAAAGGCAAATCACGAGAGTCGCGTGATCCCACACTCGCGAACATCCAAATAGTTCTAACTCAAATAGTCCTGATCTACGCCATGAAATACCTTACAATCATCCTGTACATCCAACTCGCAGCAACATACAAGCATCTCAGCTATTTTCCGGACATTTTACATCACACCAGCATCAAGTTCATTTGCCCCATCATCACGGACCACATAGTTCTCATTCTCATGTAGCATATCCTGCACCATACAGCCATTGTAATTACAACCACATCCCATCTATATTCCACATCGCACCAACCAATCATAATCATCATTTTTGACCTGTCAAATTTCTTAGGCATTGCCGAGCGGATTTTGAAAGCGGCAGCAGCGGCCTGCTGTGACAAAAGCGTGACCTGACGACTTGTGGGGGTGACGACTCTGCCGTGAGGTATAGTATTTCTACTATACACTCATAGTGGTCTAGCGTGTATAGACCGGGTCAAGTTGGGACAAAAGGATACTACAAATGACGCTCATGTATGAGGCTGTATAATTCAAAGAACGAGCAGCCTACCTTCCTACACATAGTCGTACGGTCGTACAGGTGCGTTTAATCCGTTACTTTCTCGTTTGAAGCAAGGGACCACAATCCCAAACTCACTAGACTAGTAGGGATAGAATATCAACTAGGATGTATCACCTGGTTGTAGATTGATGCAGTGCCGATGCTTTAACTTCTTGATGTAACTGGAGCGCATGTTGCATCAGTTTTAATCAGCGGCGCACTATTCTTGCTGTATCTTCTTGCATCCTTATCGCATGATAGCCCCGAAATCTGGGCCAGTAGGGCGTGATTGGAGGCGCTGCAGAACGATGTTCGCAACCCGGGTGGGAGAGGTGAGTTGGATTTTCGACCTATTCTATACCTTATCTCTCAACTCCCCCGGACAGAATGTGACTTGTTAAGAAACTTTGGGTGAATTACATCCGCAGCTGGAGCAGCAAGGCGGAGAGACTGTAGCCGCTCATTGAATATTGAGTGCTCACCCCCGTAATGCTTATTTCAGCGACAACAAAGCTGGATGGTGGTGTATATCCAGCACGAACACGATCATTGTGCGTCGCAACGTTCTCTGCCCTGGAATATGACCGTAGTCTCGAATAATCCCAGTTTATGGTCGCTGAATAATCCACATCATTCTATCAATTAGATGATGTCGGTGATGTGATCTTCACTGCGTTGCAATGGCTGCTGCGAGCTTGTTCATCCGAGGCTCGTTACCAAAGATTTTTTCTTGAACGCGCTGAACTGGATTACTGTGATCGTAACTGTCATGCTGGATGGTGAGTTAATCAGCTGCAATAGTTCAATGGTGTTCGCTGAAGCATAATGCAAATGGTTACGAGCGATCCAGAAAGGATGGATCGAGTCATTCATGTCCTAAAATCGCGATGTGAAGTTGAAACTCAATTACCCTTGATTCAGAGTAGCTGGTGACCACGTGTCTATCGTGATCCCCGTTCTCGACTACAGATGATTTGCTCATTGACTCCCTCGCATGTCATGGTAAACGTCATCCTCTGAACACATCAATGTGATCGTCTAGAATATGTTATTGGCGAGCCGCATTTCCCTCCACGTTGAAGAAGGCGAACGTTCTACCGATTGTCGCGGGCCCATCAGGCATGGTCCCTTTGCTTCTCGTAAAGTAATACCTGACCAACAATGCGTGGCGTCACTGACAATCTCGGGAAAAAAAATCTTGGGCTTAGCTTGTGTGACCTGCTTGATCGGTTGTGACAGCTTCACCGGTGCGCCCAGTCTGTTCGCCGGTCATTTCTGATCTGCATATCCTGCGCAGCCGCGATTGCGACAGTGATTTATCGCCGATCGTGTGGCTTTAACATCTAATGATTACACGCTTTTTCAAGGGACATCTAGGGGCAACCACGAGGTGAGCATGATGCCATGACGGATTCGGGTATGACGGTCACCAGATGGTGCAATTTTTCATTGCGAGGCCGACATGCCACTTTATGATACCTTGAATGCGACCAGTCCATGTGTATCAGGACCCACACGTCTCTCTATTTTAGGTGATGATCCAGTAACCTGAGTTGTGATAGACCCACATGGTGAAAGCAGGCGCTTCAATCTTTGACTGTGACATAAGTGGAATCATTCTGTTATCGGACACATTATTCGTATATGTCCGAACGTTGTACCATCATGGTGGGTGATGGGCCGGGTCATCCTCATCTATACACGTGTCCCCGTATGTTCTGATGGAAATTATGGATGTACTTGTCCCAGGTACACGGTAGACTAAGGTAAAGCTTATCGTCCATTCTTAATGGGAATCTACATCCTGAAACTGTCCTGAAACGTGATGGGAACACGGGGAGGCGCCGCCGACGCCAGATATGTCTAGATTATCTATGGTCCATATACCAGTACAAATGATCCAGTGGGTATGAGATATGCAATGATGACAATATAAGTGAACATCCCCTTAAAAGAGCCCTATAAGTGCATTTGCCAGCAAATAGTGATTACATCAGTGCGGGTGCGCGTTCTTCATTCTTATCCATAAGCCACCCTATGAGAGGTAAGATGATACAGCTGAAACACAAAGCGAAGATAAGATAACGCACTTTGATGAAAAGCGTCATCGTAGCGTCGGGATAAATCATCTCCACCCTTTGTCTGCCGCGACCTAACTTCCACTCCGCAGGTGGCAAGGAGGAAGGGGGTTGTGCATCCGTTGCGAGTGTAAAAGTGTCGAACCGCTGAAGCAGTCGCACAAGGAAGAATGATGCCTCATTGTATGCATAGTTCTGACCAATGCACTAAAAGAGTCAAAGGGCCAAGGAGTCAGGATTTCTTATCAAATTGTAATCACGGAAATCCTACAATGCGTGGTCCTGCGCTAAATGGAGTGAACATCATCGGATTCGATGTGAATCGGGCCAATCTCTGAGGATCGATCCATCGCTCAGGATCAAACTCGTCTGCATCAGGCCCCCAAAGTTCTTTGTTGCGCTGCGTCAACAGTGACGAGTACCAGATTGTCGTAGACTTCGGTAAGTATAACGGTTGCCGAGATTCGGTGAGATAAGTACGATCTGGCGGAGGGAGCGTGCAAGGCTGAGGTCTGGTCTGTCGCGAATTCAATGGAACGGGTGGGTACAGGCGGAGAGTTTCGTCAAGAACCGCTTTGACTGACGAAAGAAGGTCGTTGAGCAAAATTCCACCATATGAAATATAAACTCACCATATTTGAGTTTACGAATCCCTTCGTGGGTAGGAGGATTGTTGCCACACACGTCGAGTACCTCTCGCCGCATCTTGGCTGCGATGCTCGGATATAACGCCATGAAATATGTCACGTAGGTTAAAAGGCACGCAGTCTGTCAAGCGGAGCTGTGTCATCAGAAAATGAGCGCTGAAGGAAGAAGAGGTACACACAGTGTCTCTAGCAGCCAATAGGACATTGAGTAACTGATCACGAATCATTCCAGCGTCTATAGATTGTCGGCGAATGAGGCACAGAATTCGGGCAAGGAACGAGAAAAACACAGACCTTCGGTACTATCAGCTAGGTGTTCTAAGAAAGTCCTCTCTTCCATGGTACTCCGTATACCACTTTTGTGGGCTAACGCTTTACGATCCAACGTTTGTTTTACTAATGGATCTAGCCATCGTTTGATGACATCCACGTGCGGGGCAGTTTTGTCATCGAAAAGCTCAAAAATGGGCCAAATGAAACCAGTACGACCTCTCATGGTGATTATGCGTTGGACTGCTTCAAAAGCTTGAGCAAATGTTCCCCACGAGTCATCTGTAGTAGCTCCTCTATCACTCTGGAAGCCTGAAGTAGAAACAGGAAGCTTCTTGGACAAGGTATCCAAGTTATGCCCAAAAAGAAAGTCCGAGGCAGCGTCGATGGTGAACCTAGCAAAAAGGTCTTGGACATTACAGGGCTCGTTGCGTGAGGCAAGATTTGATAATACAGTCATCGTGCGGTCCGTGTATTTTTCAAATAACTCGAAATCAGATATGCGATTGCGGGTGAAAAAGGGTCGTGCGAGTGAACGGTGCTATAACGATAGCCTATCAGCCATCAAACAGGTGTCAGGTGGTCAGCTTGTCGTACATATTTCCATTTCTGCATAGTTGTGAGCAAATTGGGACCCAGGTAACAAAGCAGGTCTCGTTTCTCACCTCGTCATCCCGGTTGAATATTCCATCGCCTAGAAAGTTTTCTCTGAAATAGAGTTAGGATTTTTTTTTCGGGTAGAAAGTTGCTTACAATCGCTCTCGTTGTGCAGTGCCTCTCCAAAAATGACCAAATCCTGTTGCTAGCACGCATTTGGAATGTTCTTGATCCATGGTAATGATCTTTCGATAATGAGCGCGCGCTCATCAGCACTTGCCAGAGATGATATCTAGACAAGACCACATACATTGTCAACCCAAAGAAAGCGAGTGTTGAGGGTTGTGCACTGATACTCTTCGAACAGATCAAGGAACGGCTCGCAGATGTACTGAGAGGCGAGCCCTTTCTTGAGTTTGAGCATCACGTCAATGTTCCCTGGCCATTTCCCGACAACTCTGGGAATTGGTCTAGCACCAAGCTGCCGTGCTTCCCGTGCTTGAACAAAATCAGAATATTGCACCCTGATAAATACCGCGAGCGGGATGGCCAGGAGATGGGCAGGTATCGACCACCATCCAAACCGAAGGTTTAACGTCCTACAACACAATGACACAAGCACGGGGGGTACAACTAGTGCTTGAAGGATGTCCTTCAAGATACGGAAGCGATAGTTGGCGTGGCCGGCGAGAGTCATGTGTAGTGCTAGCTGCTAGGGACAGATGAGGGGGTGAAATGAAACTACATCTAACTTGAGCCCTTTATGTGCATTTGGGAAATTGTTACTTCTCGCCAACACCTGAGGAAATGAAGAGAAGATTATCGACCTGAATTCGCGACATGATTAACTCCACGCCGATGCGCATGTGAAATTTCTCGATCCGCACCGCTAGCTCGGCGTAATAATAGGTTGAGTCGGTGAACTTCTGACAGCGGTTAGAGGACCCCGGGTCCCACATTTCTTCTCACGGTTTAGGTTGAAGGCTAGCGATGGCCCGGCGCCGGAAATTTTGCGCAAAACTTAGACTATAGTTACGAAAACTCAGTGTGCTTGGTAAGGATATGCCTTGACGGGCTATGACGACAAGATATGTGTAATATGAGATGGGACGGAGGCATAATATGCGACACCGTGTTCCTTCAATAAGGAGGAGTACGAGTACGGCTCTCCGATCTAGGGTTGTTCCATCACAAGATGGTCAGATTCGTGAAATCCCAAGGACCGGTTCAACATCAATGAAAGCGCCCACTGGCACAACTATGAAACGGGAGCGACACAGCGGGCCCCGGATCCGGGATAACGTCAATCCTTGGATCAGATCCGGATGAGTAGGAAACTGCCCACCATAGATTCAGATCCATGCAGGCACAGTCAACTGACGACCTATCGCAGCTCACTTCCGATCCTCGTGTAAATTGACGACGTCGTAGTATAAATCAGGGTGCTTTGATGAACCTGCTGCGGGCGGAAGTAGAATCAGAAGGCTGAGCACTGTTTCAAAAGCTAGAAATGTCAAGCAAAACACTGTAACACAACGTCTTGCAAGCATCTGATCATCCAGATACTACAGTCAAATTGTGAGATTTACGAAGTTAATAATACACTAGCAACCAAGACTACTATGAGGACATACCTATAATGCCACGGACTCGGATATGTCGGCCGTCCTTCAGGATTTTTACCAGCAAGGAGAACACATGCCATTTGAACTACCGCTGAGTGATTCGGATGATGATCCCTTCTATCTCAGGATAGCTTAGGTGGGCGCTCTAGAGTTCGGAGGCGAGCGGACGAACCAGGAAAGAACTAGAGCGCTCCCTGTCATGGCATATATCAAGTCATTCCAAGCTTAAGAAGCGATGAGAATTGTACTCATCGAGAGTTGCAGATTCGGTCACACAACGGTAGTCCTGAGCGTCAGCGTCAACAGGTGCGCATGGGGGGTCGGAACAAAAGTCGGAGCTTGCAGTTGCCATATAAGGTAAGTGCTCGGCAAACTCAGTACTGAGTGTTGCCGTGCTATGTAGTACTACGAGATTGTCCATCATCATGTCGGAATCTCGCTGGATCCCGCTCGAAAGCAACCCAGATGTAAGTTCTCCATGCCTCAGATATTCTCATTCTGATGCGATAACGAGCAGGTCTTCAACAGTGTAAGACAAAACCTCCTAGCGGTGCAAAATGTCTTACATCGTATGATGCTCTCGTACAGTGGGCCATAAACGCTGGACTAGCATCCCAGGCGCAGTTTGAGGACATATATGGTCTCGATCCAGAAGTTGGTCTTCTCAATTCACTCATGCTCACAGGTTCACGACGATACAGCTTCTAGGAATGGTATCGGAAGATGTAAAGGCGGTCACACTACTCTTTCCCTGTTCAGGGACCATTGCGACCAAGCGCAAAGAGGAAGATGAAAAGATTGCCGCTCAAGGGCAGTATCCGATCGATCCCACTATTTTCTGGATGAAGCAGACGGTATGTTCGATCAACCGAGTGTCTTTCGTACTCATACTACTAATGAAGGCTAGATTGTAAACGCTTGCGGAACTATGGGCCTTCTGCATGCTTTAATAAACGTAACCCGCAACCTTTCCCTTTTATTATTCTCTCATGCTAGCATTACTCTAGTCAAGTGTCGCTTTCGCTGATGAAAGTCCATTGGCTAAATTTATTGAAGAATGCAAAGGTAAAAATTTTATTCCTATCAAGCACCCGAAATGTATTAATCGCGGAAATAGACAAAACACCATTGGAACGTGTCAAAGTTCTTGAGGAGACCTCCCTGTTCGAACAGATTCATACCTCTGCAGCCGTCTCAGGACAAACCACGGTGCCTGAAGATCTGGATACATATCTCCATTTTACTTGTTTCGTTAAGGCGCCCGATGTCACTGCGAGGGACCAAGTCCGTGGGTGGCGCGTCGTAGAGTTGGATGGAGGTCGCAATGGTCCGATTGATAGGGGCGAATGCACAAACTTGCTTCAGGTACGGCTTTGATCACTTCTATGATACTAGGTTGATCTCAGTTCTGGATCTGCAGGATGTGGCCAACTTCGTCAAAGAACATTATATCAAGGAAAGCAAGAGCGTCAACTTCAGCATGATGGCGTTATGTTCTGGACAAGACTAGATTAAGAAATACGGACAAACCAATGTGTACAACAGCAAAGCAGCTACGTATTCAGTTATTTCAACTGGCGCTTTTAGATCAGAAGTCAAGTAATGAAACAGTTGGTAATTGAGGCGGTATCAACCCAAGACCGAAGTCCATGACAGTCACGAGAAAAGTGCTTCCGATATGGCAGCAGGAATTTCCTTCTGCATTTTGGCGATGAATCTAGCAACGTGGAACGCATTGTCAAAGTCAGTGATATCTTGACCATTTCCAATCTCCGCAATCTGCGCCGCAGATGCTACGAACTGTGTGATTAGATATCAAGGCCGTGTATTGACGTGAATGAAGACCATGCGTACTCGCAGCATCGGGCTTTCAGGAAATTTGTCTCCCTTGGCTTTGTTCTTCTCCCCTCGTAGGATGTCTCTGACCAAAAATGGTTCTGCGGTTAATGGTCTCGCTAATCCTATAACTGCATCACACCAACCGCTGAGTAAAAATATACAACCGGCGAAAGAACACTCACTGTCCGCGGCCCCTCGCGAGACAGCATCGGCCATGCCCTGCGATGTTTGGAATCCACCCGTGGCGACTACTTTTGAGAGGTTTAGATGGGATTGGAGAATCTCTGCATATTCGACGAAATACCCTTCTCGGGTTTCAACAGTATACGGCTTATAATTGCTCGGCATTAACTTTAGATTGATCATCAAGCGTAAAATGTTACCTTATCCCGAGAGCTGCGGATATTTTGTTCGTACACCCCCCCACTGACTTCAATGAAGTCCACTCCTGCAATTTCGAGCAGTTTGGCAACCATGATCGATTCCTCGATACAGAACCCCTGGGGGGCAGAATCCTGTGCGTTGAGCTTTACCGAGATGATGAAAGATGTGCTCTGGACCGCTTGTCTGATTGCGGCGATTATCTCGAGAATAATCTGAGCTCTATTTACGAGCGATCCACCATATTCATCAGTCCGCATGTTTGTCGTCTTGGTTAAAAATTGTGACAGAAGGTAACCGTGAGCGACGTGGAGCTGAGTCTGGTTAACTAATATGCCGGCTATATGTTAGTGAAATAATATTACCTGGACGCCATCAAATCCAGCCCTGTGCAGGACGAAGGCTGCATATGCAAAGCGATTTACGATGTCCTTGATGCCATCTTTTGTTAGAGGCGTAGGTTGCCCGAAGAGAACGCCTCCAGTCGAGGGTTGCTCGACGTCAGATGGTGCCTCTGGATATGGCTGTATGTTAATGGAAACCTGACGCCCTGGATGGCTAAGTTGTCCGATGACCAAGCTCCCTTGTGACTTGGCGGCTCGCGCCACCTCCGTCCACTCCCGGAGATAAACCGAGGGGAGATCTCTGTCGATGATAGTATTCCCTACACGGACATCAACGTCGCAATTATTTTCGCAGAAAATTATGACCACCTGTAGCTTCGAGATGATCTTTTTTTATTTGTATGTTACCAGTGACAATGATTCCTTAGAGAATTTTATGATTAGAGCTTCATCAAGGATGGGATGAAAATCACCGATATCCCCCTTTGCCCAGGTTTCGTACAGTCGTACGAGTTCCTCTGTTGGTTGTCCCCGACCACAGGGATCAAAATTCGAGAAAGTGGCCAAGCGTTCTGACATTGCGCTCTTCAAGAACCTATTTTTGGCTGTTCGTCCGCTAAACGGGAAAGTAACAGGCTGCCTAAGTAGCTCAACCGGGTGAAACATTGAAACCATGTATCGGGATGTCGTTGTTTCTTCGGGCTGTTGGTGAAATGGATATTGGACAAATGGATGAAACGGTTGCATAGTTGAATCCAATATATTGCAATCCAAATTTCACAATATGATTTTCACGGGGGTGATTTTGGGCTGAGGAATCAGTCAGCCAAGAATATCACGCAGGGCTGGATATGAATTAGGCTAAGCAAACATATGTATGATGAACATGTTTCTGATGTGAAAGAAGGCGAGGCCTACTATATATCCCGAAGACCCGGGAATTAACAGACGGCCAGGAAAATCGACCGAAGATATTAGCAAGCCTTGACGTATCCAAGAAAGGTTTATCTAGTAGTGGTGAGTCTGTGCTGGCAAGTCGGCACACCTATTAGTGGCTTTGCTGGCGTTAGCAGCTTGTGTGGACAGCGTAAATAACTCACTTATTCAAATGTAGCTTCTGGGAATGTTGAAATTGAAGGGTGTGCACGAGTTTTCTTGCAGCAGGTTACACTGTGGAACATATGCTGGTTGTCGTGCTAACAATGTCAACGTAAATGACGATCTCGAGTACGCAACCTCTGAGATCTCAGAATTCAGTGCGTAGTCGTCGTTATCGAGTTGCAAGTGACGACAGCATCATGTATTTCGCTCGCCATCAAATGAGAGGACGGTGATTGTCATCCTCCGATATCTATATATACATAAAACTGGACAAGACTCACGTTCTGGGGCCACCTTGCACCATAACAGGTTAAACTGCTTGCGGAATCAGGGCTCAGAGCGACTGAAATTGGGAGTCGGAGGATGATTAGGCCCGACCGAATCCCTGACGTATTAGTTCGAACTAATGATCAGTTGACGAAGCGAGGTCAAGTTCCGTCATCAGCTGACTTGTCAACGTGTCAACCACGGTGTGGAGCTGGTACAGTTGCTCGCCGCAAGAGCTCTACAACGCAGTTGTTAGGGTCACCGAACCTATACAAGGCCCAAAGATTATCATTTCTGATCCTGATGTTGCCAATGAACCGGTCTCGTACTACTTAACTCACGATGAAGTTATTGGGCGGCGCCGCAGCCGCAGTATCACTGCTCACGAAGTTTAGGGTTTGGAGCATGTGGTGAAGAGAGCAATGTGGATTTTGGCAGTCCATTGTCCCAACATTCCCGGGCCATGACCTCAGCGCTAAGCATTCTGCGGCGTCAAGTTCTTTAGACTCCTCATGTGCTGGCTGAAGCTTGAAGAACAGAATAAATGTCATAGACGCTAGTAACCTTGGAGACTCGGAAGCAATCGGGAATTGCCAGATTATGTTCAACGTATTGGGTCGAATCTTATCTCTAAGAGTCATCATGCTCTCTTCATCATCTTCCAAACCACCGACGCAGCAACTGCTACAGTCTGCGGACCTCATTTCACAGGGCGCTGAAGCTGCAAGTCCCTCTTCTAACTAATTTCTGCTTCGCCCCATGCTCACTCGAACCCCCGATCACCCTTCTAATGCTCCACGCAGAAAGTCTATAAAGCATATTTGCGTCAAGTCTCGACATCGGGCCTTAGCACTGATCACGGTGCAGTTCTTGAGGCGCTGGAGCCGGTTCTCTTGAAGTACCGGTTCCACAAGCACTACCGCCACCCATCGCTTGATGCATCACTCACCCGGCAACGCATAGCCGGTGAAGCCCGCGCGTTGATGAGATGCATGCGGTATGTCCAATTTTTGTTGTCCTATGGAGAAAATTTGGGATGAGCCGACGTGGGACCTCGGCAGGTCCGGTGTTGCTGTACCCGGAATCAGGATGGTGGATGTGAACGAAGGTGTACTGGGTATCGAGTGGATAGATGGCAAGAGTGTGCGTCAACTTCTACCCGGTGGAGCTGAACTCGAGGACATCAGCGAGCTTGATGAGCCGGATAAGATGGATGAAATCCATGAAAATGACGCTGCAGACCCAATCGCTGATTACGGAATTTCTCAAGGTAGGACTGTTCGTACGCTGATTAGATTAGTATTACTCAAGTTCCGTAGATGCCCTGATGGATATGATCGGTGTTGAGATTGCAAAGATGCACTTGGCCGACATAATCCATGGTGATCTGACGACCTCGAACATGATGTTGAGGAAACAAACAAATGATTTGGTACATGACAGGACTAGAAGACATGGTCGTCTTTTTGATATCTATCATTTTCAGGTTCTTATAGATTTTGGACTCGCTTATCATTCTACTCTCGTAGAGGATAAGGCTGTGGACCTTTATGTCCTGGAACGCGCCTTTGCTTCAACTCATCCTGACTCGGAGCCACTGTTCGCGGGTGTGTTGAACGCGTATGAGAAGCGTATGCGCAAACATTGGCTGCCAATTAAAAAGAGATTAGATGATGGTGAGCTGAGCTTAATGCATGACCAGATCCGTGTACTCACTCTTTGTCTAGTGCGACTGAGAGGGAGGAAACGGAGTATGGTTGGTTAGCATACATGCTGGACTGTCTCAAAATGTGTGGGTGAGTTCAAATGAAGGCTAATATTAGCTCTTTGATGTGCTAGATCGGACCAAGGTGATTATTCACCAGTCCTGTCAGGTTTGATTCGTGTTTGAACACGAGCACGTCTTTTGGGCTAAATACGACCTCTCGACATTCAGAATCTTCTCTGATTTCTGTGTTTACAGCAGATATGGTTACATTTCAATAATTAGGCGCAAGTGCATTGTCCGGCACCCCCTCATCACATCCGCCCTGGCATTTGTTTACAGCCAGAATGTTGCTGGGTCTCAACCCTCAACATCCCGACCCTTTCCCCACCATCTTCCAACGCAAATTGAAAGTGCTCTTTTCTCATCCTCGACCTCAACGTCTGGCGTTTTCGCAAACGTGCCGTGGCTTTTACTTCGAGAGCCTCGTCTTGGGTGAGTATTGAGTCGATGTGTATGAGGTCTGATGGGTGCATCGACGGGTTTGTACTGTCTCTGGGGCTTGTCGGGGATGATTGATCATGTCCACCGTGACTGTTCTCTGAGTAGGACGACAGACGATCTTGAAGAAGCTCATCTGTGACCATCTTCAATCTGACGAGGGCTGCCAACCTCTGCGCATCTGATTGAGGGGTCAGAGGTGCCGTGTCTCCATTCTCTATGAGCTCCTCGCTGTTTGATGTTGAAGGCTCATCAATGGTGACATACTCAGTCACGCTAGATCTGGAATCATTCATCGCTATAGCCACTAGACTATCAGAACGCTGATGAGTGTTTCTTGAGCACGAGGGTTACGAGAGCGCCGACAGGAGTATCTTGGTGGTCTATGGAGCTTTTGAGAAGAATGGTGTTTAGCGCACATTACATGATGCAATCGACGGGAATATTGGGAGTGGTGACGTACCCAGTCCTTCACATCCGGACGATGGCCATGTGCGCGCAGTAACCTTAGATTCGAGGATCGCATGCACCTCATCAGTCACTAGTCCTAGTCAGCGCTCGGCATGCCTCTCTATGCATAAGTTTCAGGTAGATCAAATTTCAGTAAGCAGTTTGTCTATAATTATGGTGACATACCAAGTCACTGACACTTGTGATAGGCTCTGCCATCGCGGCATGTGGCTCCGCGGTCTGTTACAACTTGAATGAACAGCTCGAAGTAGATGTTGTCTAATATTCTAATTCTAATGTTCAACAGTCTGATGCTATCCTACCTTTGAATTGGCGCTCAGCATGACAGATTTGGAAGTACGTATTTTTTTGGCCAACTTGAACTTAGCTGAAATAACTACTAGGGTCGAGATTTGGCCATTAGAAATTTATAGTATGATACGAAACGACCTGGAACAACGTTCCAGAGTCTCGGGTTTTGTTCCATAGAACATTCATATTCTAATCTACCTACAGGCACCGTGCTAAAATCTCGTCAGACCGAAGATCCGAATAACGCTTTCTGTGTTCTTCCTAGTTCTTCATCCCTCCAGTTTTGTTGTCACGTTGCTCCTTTTGAAACTCTACTCCTTAGCATGCAACAATCCGCTTACCGTCTTTTTGGTGGGTTCGCACCCATGCTGGCAGCTCCATTAGCAAGTAAGCAGTTCTCGGTCAACGTGTTATTATAGTTGACGAATTTCTGCTTCGAATGAGCAAATAGCGGCGAGCATCGGTAATGATGTCGTGTCAATTGTTTGGTACGACCGCTCACGAAATTCTTGCTCTGAAACAATAGCTCATGGCCTAAGAGATAGGGCATTATCTTATTTTTGACTGCACGGCGACTGTTGCCCGTCCGGCCGTTAATCCTCACGAAGTTGTGCTTCGATGGCTAAGTCGATCTCGTCGGGGAGAAGCCTCGCTCATCCATGTGGGCTTTTTATGATATCCCCGTTTTTCTCCCCCCACCATGGCGCCTGATAAAGCCTTTTAGAAAAATTAGTACCCTATGAGCGCTCTAGCGTTCTTCCATTGCAACGCTACATTACAAGAACCCGATTATATACGTCAGATTCTAGCATGGGGCACGTAATAATAGTATCAGATCGTACACAAAGGATAAACGGCAGGCAACCATTATGGCATGGGTTTCACATATGTTGAACTCGCTGTGTGTTATTTCGACTTTGCCGTCTTAAGAAGACAATTTTATTATATACGCGCCTGCCGGATACAGGTCGTATAGTCCAATAGCGCGTATGAGAACGACCAATGACGATTGAATATTGAAATGCGTATGAATACGTAATGTGTGAATCCTGCCAAACAATCGCCGAAGTCTGGAATAAGTGTACGTCATAGTGGGTATACTTACAAATGTGATGAAGCAGACGCAATGAGCCATGACCAGAGATCCCACATCAACCAACTAAAGGATATTGATATCGGCATTGTTGAGAACATCGTCAACAACTGTGGGCTTGCTTTAAAGAAAGCTAAACAAAATCACGTGAATAGTACTTACTGACGTCGACGCCGATCAAAGCATCATCACCTCGTTTCGTAAGAACGTTCACATCGAGATTATCCAAATCATCCTGGATGTCTGCAAAACATTCAGCGGCAAACTGTGAACTTCAGGAAATCCCATACCAACGATAATATCAGCCAAACTACCACGTTTGGTCAGAACGTTCACATCAAGATTATTCAAATCATTGGTGACAGCTAGAAAATTTTCAGCGGCGAACTGTGAGTTGCAGTAAGCGCCATACCAACGATGACGTCAGCCAAGTCCTCACGCTTGGTGAGGACGTTGACATCTGCGTCGTTCAAGACGTTCTCCACATCTACACATTGTCAGCCCGTGTGCTTAGAACGAGTTTGGGTACGCACAGACGATGGCATCAATCAAGGCCCCATCATCACGCTTGGTGAGGACGTTGACACTTGCGTCGTTCAAGACGTTCTCCACATCTACGCACTGCGTATCAGTTCATGCTTATAACACAACAAGGTTAGATACTCACAGACAATGGCCTCAACCAACGAGTCATCGCGGCGTTCAGCAGGGGCAGCGAAAGCAGAGGAGCAAAGGACTGCGAGGGATGCGAGAAGAGTGAGCTGCATCGTGAACTGTGGATAGGGAGAAGCTAAACAGTTGGAATCGAGGGCAAAGAACGATTTGAAAAACAGAGACCAAGGTGATTGTTTTTATACCTAATTATTAACTGCGATCCGAATAACTCAGCATGGCGACCACGGTTTATAGTTTGGGACCTAAAGATTTGAACTAGAAGCCTCGAAGGTACGTTATATGTATGTCCGAAAAGCTGTACGATTGGCGTAATTTCGCCTATAACTTGCCATTGTTCACTCTATGGCATCGTTCTAGACCTTGTACTACTTACATGCGCCATAGAGAGACTGAATGGATCCAACGATTTGCTTCTGGACTCGTCTCAATTGCTGCTGATACCACCTGTTCACATCGTGGATCATTCGGACCCTGAAATGCAAACGTCACGTCAATATTAATCACACTCATCAGCTTCGAAACGGTCTCCCCGAGGTACTCGCCGACGTAGTATGCGCATCACCCAGCTCTACAACGTGCAAGGGTCCACTCGCTCGTTTCCACAACATTCAACCTGCTCGCTCATCCTAGTTTATATTCACTCGAAACCACATCCACTTCTCGCTTTACTCATTTTTCTCCATGTCCTTTCGAACTGTCTTTCAGTCCCGATACTTATCTGCACCGCTTAAGGCGCGCTCAATGATACAGTAAAGAATCCATCCACAACTAGTACCATGCCGCTTTTTTTTAATCCTTGATTCAAGGTCCCCGTCGGTTGGGGCGAATCCCTGTGCTGGACACTATCTGTATCTTACTAGCTCCGCATGAGTCTTGCCCTTCTTGTGGCATACTATACAGTCGTTCAAGCTTGCACGAGAACCGGCTTGACGCGTACGGTTAAACTCTTGGTATGATAACGGTTATTGGTGAGTGTCCTCCGGTCATCCTACCTCGCTTCTGCCAGGCCTGGACCATCGTTTATCAGCTCCTTACGTGATTCGAAGCTCGGTGCCTTGGAGTTAGGGACCAGTGCATGTTTCTCCCGGTCTATTCCTTTTCAGCCTTTGCCGCACTCCTCTGCTACTACGTATGGGACATTGTGCTACGCTCAACCTTTCCGTTTCACTATTCCTTTTCTTGCCACCATGAGAGTTCGCCTTGACTTTCTTTAGCAGTGCTCCGATCTCCAGCACATTTCATTTCGTCTCAGCCCGCATGCCGCAACTTGAGTTCGCTTTTTATTAGGTCATACCCCTGTTACATATCCCCTTTTACATATGCTTATCGTTTGTTCCTAGGGCCATCGTGAGTTGCCCGCTTGTTATTGTTGTCGCAGACCGTGTCCGCATCTATCGTTGTCATAAGCTATGCATTTATCGTCATGGTCCTGAACTTTGCGATCATTGCCACTTGTCGACGATGGGCTGTCTGTCCGTTATCACCACTGCGAACTGCATGCTCATCCTTAAGCCTCACCATCGTGAGCTGCACTCACGGCACCGCATCACAGGATGTATGTTCATTTTCCACAGCCATAATCCGTATGCTTACTTTCTCATCCAAGTTGGTGCTTGTCTCTTCAGCCCGTTTCGTGACTTCGGTCGGGATTCTCCTTGCTTATCAACCATGGGTCATTGAAATTCGTACTTGTATTCTCCATCGCGCATGCTTGCCTCATCTTTCATGCATTGTGGGCAGCCCTTCTCAGCCCTGGTCCTAGCGACTGTCATGTATAGCACTCTCGTCGTCAGTAGATTAATCGAGGCCCTCCTGTGGGCTCTATTCACGCATCGTACTGGTTAGTCACTTGTCGCGATATTTGAGTATCGCTTTATCTTTATTCACACTCATTGTTCCGGTGAATACTTCTCTGTCGGGCATGCTCCCGATTCTCATTCATTCCCACTCCCACTGTTTGTGTTTTTGTCTCGCTTTTTCTGTGAAAATAATCAGATACCACACCTAGCTACCTACATGGCATATGCTGCTCGCTCTGCTGGTAACTCTGTCCTTCCTCTCCGCTGGCCCCAGGCAACCATACTTGTCTAATGCTTTCCGGCTGAGTATGGCAGTCACACTAAGCAGATATCAATGATCGCATCATCGAGCACTATCTCCGGCTACCTTCAGCGCTTGTATGCTGACCGACAGGAGTTTTCTATCTAACATTCTATTGCTCGAGACACTAGAATCCACGGCCTGCAAATACATAGCGCATTCATGGATGTGGCAGACCAGACTGTTGCTGGTCTGCTGCTGGTCTTAGTATGAGAGCGAACATTCAAGACGGGGCGGCCATCGAAAGTAGATGACAGATTCACTGCGATGGCACGTCAACAGACGGAGTGCACAGGTGCCAAACAAGATGCTCAATTGAAAGGGCAGACCACAGAACACGAGAACAATCAAGCGAGTCGCATAATAGCCCGGAGGGAGGCGGCGAAGGACCTCGGCAACCTCATCTATATACACAGAGAGAAAGTGGGCAGACAGCACCAAAAAGCATTCACACCTTGGACGACATCCGAAAAGATTTCGTTGACAGCCAAACGGAGCAAGGCAGTTAACACCAAGCGTGCATGCTGTACAATGACGTTCACGTGATCTACCTTCATCCGGCCCCTGTCACTGATACTGTGTCACTAGGTGGAAGGGACCGAGCAGGTTTGGCAAGAACAGGTGTGAAGAGACCCGGCAGATGATTTGAAATAGTCAGTTCAATGTGGCTGAGCCAAGCCAGAAAACCACTAAACTTCGATACAAGGGAGGAGATCGCCTCGTTGTGAGTTCGAGAAGTGTTGGCAACTGGAGCGGAAGCCCAGAGTGGCAATATCCGGATGCCTGAAACTTATGCCGTCTCAGAGGTGGGATAAATCATTTATGACATGTACGATTAAGAGTGGCAGGCAGTCGAACTCGTTGATCACTCGAGCGGCACAGCACGGAGCCTTCACGATAAATATCCTGCAAAAACTTTCAGAATGAAGAAAAAAGCGAATCTTACATTGTAGGCCTAGGCCGGGGCAAGAATGCAGAAGAAATGTCAAATAACGCACGCAAGCTAGCTAGTGGAAAGGAAGGACCTTGGATGTGTCAAATCAAGACCGAACCGTGAGAACATAAGCGTTTGCAGAGAAATAAGATGCGACAGACCTCTCCACATTTTGTGGTCGGCGTCGGAGTATTAGTAATGTTCTAATATGTTCAATTGTGAGTCTGATGTATCGTACCTCTGAATTGGCGGTCGGTATGAGACAGACTGGGAGCCACCAAGTTGTCTAGTAGTAAGTATTTTTATGCCGACTTGAACTTAGGTGAAGATAATTAATCAGGGTCGGAATTTGGCCATTAGAAACAGTATGATACGGAACGACCTGGAACAACGTTCTACAGTCTCTTGCTAACGTTAATATTGTACTTTCTAATCCAGCCAAGCACACAGATCATGCCAAAATCTCGTTATCAGTGTTTCTTAGTTCTTCCTTCCAGCCTCCCTCCAGTTTTACCATCAAGTATCAAAGTCGCTCGGGCTCCTTTGAAATTTCACTGCTTAACTTGCAGTATTCCTCCTAGGCATGCCGTTTTGTGGGCTCGCGCCCACCCTGGCAGTTCCCTTAGAAAGTAAGCAGGGGATTTCTTCTGTGTCGTTGCGTTGACGAATTTTTACTTCGGACGAGTGGTGATTATTCCAGTTCTGCGTTCGGTAATGATGTCGTACCAATTTTTTTGCTAATATCATTACCATTCACGAGACTCTTGCTCTGAAACGATATCTCATGGCCTCAAAGGTAGGGATCTGTTGCATGTTCGATTTATTTTTCGACTGCAGCCGACCGTATGGTAAAGAAAAACGAGTCTGATCACGGGTATGGTCATTGCGGTGGCGGCACTCTGGCATATATATTCGCCTTCTAGAAGTTATATGTCGAGCTCGTTTTTCAGTCATATAAAACCTTCTCGACAACGTCACCATTAATATTCTCAGCCAGGATGCCAACAAAAATTACTAGTTAAATCTTTCCGTAGGTAAGGTCTGTCAATATGTAATGTATCTTGGCCGCATGTTGTCCGCCGTGCACCCGCTGTACAACGCGAATGCCTGGTTACTACTCTTGATTTACTAGAATTTCTGAAACATCAAGTACTGTCGTTACCGTGGAGCTTCCTGCTCAGTCTTCTACCAGTTGTTTGCATGACCTTTTCCATCATTCTGTAGTATGCTTCATTATCATGTATGTAAATAGTGCCATGCATTAAAGCAGCCGCTCTGAGTGGAAGGAATTCTCGGACAGCTATTCATTTAATGAGACTATATAACGCTCTAACATCTCTTAGAGCAAAATCCAATTCATGTCCTCGCAGAGTGGTACTCTATGTATCCTACAGCATTCTTCCATAACAATGCTGCATCATGAAAACAACCGAAATAAGAGACCATCATAAAAATTGGGCACATCCACATGGAACAAGGCCTTCAAGCTGGATCCCCTCCAAGGTTGACTGAACGCGTTACAACAGCTTCGCTCTGTAAAGACGGTGAAATTCACGCTCACACCTGCATGGCACAACACGGGTAATGTAGTTGAATGGACCGCGAATGATCGAGAATGACAAGGTTCTAATCATTCAAACGCACGCTAATTAATACGTGACATATGGATACTGCGACATTGGCGTCGAACAGCCCGCAAGATGTACTATGAAAGACGTGGACGTGTGCTCCGTAATGGGTATATCTACCAAATGGATGATGCAAAGGTTGGCCAAAGTGGAAAGTAATAAGGGCACACAAACCAGCTCAGCGTGTGAGTACGTTGAGATCAGCGTTGTTGAGAACATTCTCGACATCTGAGGGGTGGGGTTAAAAACTACTCAGAAGACATCATGTAAATGGTACTCGCATGCTATGACGTCTACCAAGCCGTCACCGCGTTTGGTGAGGACGTTTGCATCAAGATTGTTCAGATCGTCCTGAACGTCTAAGAAAGCTTCAGTGGCGAACTGTGAGTTGAGGTAAGCATCTTACCAACGATCACATCAGCCAAGCTTCCACGCTTGGTGAGGACGTTCACATCAAGATTATTCAAATCGTCCTGAATGTCTAAAAAAAACCTTCAGCGACCAACTGTGAGTTGCAGTAAATGCCATACCAACAATGACGTCGGCCAAACTACCACGTTTGGTCAGAACGTTCACGGTTGCGTCGTTCAAATCATTGGTGATAGCTAGAAAATCTTTAGCGCCGAACTGTGAGTTGCGGTGAGCGTCATACCAACGATGACGTCAGCCAAGTCCTCACGCTTGGTGAGGACGTTCGCATCGAGGTTGTTCAGGACGTTCTCGACATCTACCCATTGTCAGTTCGTATGCTTAGAATGAGTTTGGGCACGCACAGGCGGTGACATCAATCAACCCACCATCACGCTTGGTGAGGACGTTGACATCTGCGTTGTTCCCGACGTTCTCCACATCTACGAAAATATCAGTTGGTATTCTTACGACGAGTTTGGGGACGCACAGGCGATGACATCAACCAATGATGCATCCCGGCTCTGAACAGGAGCAGCGAAAGCAGAGGAGCAAAGGACAGCGAGGGATGCAAGAAGAGTGAGCTGCATTGTGAATTTTTAACGAGAGGAAGGGTAAGCAGTTGAAGGTGCTGGAAGAGGGTAAAGAATGATGGAACAACTAGAGAGGAAGACGACTGTTTTTATACCTAATACTGAGATTATTTTCTGCGATGCGAACAGAATTATCATATTGACTCAACATGGCGACCAGGGTTTACAGATTGGGACCTCGTGTGCCGTGAAAATGATGGAAAGAATATTTCTCTTCGAAGTAGAAGACCCGGAGGTACGTTATACGCAGGTACCCATCTGCGTAAGTAATTTCGCCCATGATCGCGATTGTTCAGAACGTTCACTGGTGAAGCGTTCCAGAGTCCAGACCTTGTACTTACATGGCGCGATGGACTTTTGGTCGAGACTGAACGCATCCTATGATTTGTTTCTACAGTCGTTTCGAATGGGCCACAGTCCGTTCACGCCGTGGATCATCTACCCTGAAATTGAAATGTCACAAATGCGTATCAGCTTCGAACGGTCTGCCCGAGGCATTCGCCGACGTAATTGCCATTACTGATTTTGTACATATTACGGGCACGGAAGTATAATTTCGGCTCGGGACAATAACGCCGCCCGGCCATTGACATAATAAGGCGGCGCATGTGTGGTCTGCAATAATATTCCAAGCTGAAACTCAATTTACAGTTGTGCAACGTTGCAACAGTCGAGCGTCCATGCTGAGCCTGCCATGGAAGTAAGTCGCGGAAAACTATTCATTGAATCAGACCACATAAGCAAAATCCAATCTACTATGTCCTTCAAGCTTCAACAGTTGTACCATATGTATGCTCCAGCAGATCATGACAAAAATTGGGCACCTCTAAATAGAACATTGTCACGATAATAATCACATACCGCGCTTCGTGCACAACAACAGACAACACGTGCATGAAGGTGTCACAATCCTCATATCCTGGATGCCTTTGAAGATTGACAAAACACATCTCAACAGCGTTGCCATCTTATAGTGAATTTCACGCTCACACTGGGCGGATACAACACTGGTAGTGTAGCTGAATGCACCGAGAATGATTGGGAACCAGGTTCTAATGATTCAAACGCACGCTAATTAATGCGGGTCATGCAAACACTGCATTATAAGTAGCAACGAACAGCCCGCATGGTTGACTAAGGAAAACGTGGAAGTGCGCTTCGTAATGGGTATATATCTACCAAATTGATGATGCAAAGGTTGGCGAGAGTTCGACGTAATAAGGGGATGCAAATCGACTTAGGTGAGGATGTTGACAACAGCATTGTTGAGAACATCGTCAACAACTGTGGGGTTGTGTTAAAAACAGCTCAAGAATCACAAGGATGGTACTCGCTTGCAGTGACGTCAACCAACTGACGCTTGGTGAGAACGTTCACGGTTGCGTCGTCCAAAACATAATCGACGTCTGGAAAACTGTCAGCGGCCAACTATAAGTTGCAGTCAGCACATACCAGCAAATACGTCGGCTATGGACGCCTGGCGGGTGAGGACGTTCACAGTGTCGTAGTTCGCGACATCCTCCACATCTACGCAGAGTCAGTTAGTATACTTATGATGAGGTTGGGCACGCACAGGCGGCCACATCAGCCAAGGATTGACGCTTGGTGAGGACATTCACAGTTGCGTAGTTCGCCACATCCTCCACATCTACGCAGAGTCAATTTGTATTCTTACAACAAGTTTTGGGACGCACAGGCGGCCACATCAGCCAAGGATTGACGCTTGGTGAGGACGTTCACAGTGTCGTAGTTCGCAACATCCTCCACGTCTACGCAGAGTCAGTTAGTATGCTTATGATGAGGTTGGGCACGCACAGGCGGCCACATCAACCAAGGATTGACGCTTGGTGAGGACGTTCACAGTGTCGTAGTTCGCAACATCCTCCACGTCTACGCAGAGTCAGCTAGTATGCTTATGATGAGGTTGGGCACGCACAGGCGGCCACATCAGCCAAGGATTGACGCTTGGTGAGGATGTTCACAGTGTCGTAGTTCGCGACATCCTCCACATCTGCGCATGTCAATTTGTATTCTTACAACAAGTTTTGGGACGCACAGGCCAAGACATCAACCAATTCAGGAGAGCGACTGTCAACAGGGGCAGCGAAAGCAGAGCTGCAAATGACAGCGAGGGATGCGAGAAGAGTGAGCTGCATTGTGAATTGTTAATGAGAGGAATGTAAGCAGCTGAAGGCGGTGGAAGAGGGTGAAGAACGATGGAACAACTGGAGAGGAAGGTGATTGTTTTTTATACCCAATACCGAGATTATTTTTATTATCTGCGATGGGAACAGAATGTCATATTGGCGACCAGAATTTGCAGTTTGGCAGCGTGAAAATGATGGAAAGAACGATTTGTTTCTAGTACAGTCGTGTCGATTGGTGCCACAGTCTGTTCACGCTGTGGATCATCTACCCCTGTGTCAGAAATGCGCATCAGCTTCGAACGGACCGTGGCCGCATCCGCCGACATTACCAATTTTGGACAGATTACGTACACGGAAGTGTAACTTCAGCTCGGCACGATAACGCCGCCCCAGTGACATAAGGCGGCGCATGTGTGGTTTGCAATCATATTTCAAGCCAAACTGCCGAAACTCGAGCTTACAATCGTGCAACAGTCGAGCGTCCATGCTCGGCCTCACCGCCATATAGTGTTAAGCCTGCCACCCACTCGAGTCGGGCCTTTAGCTTCAAGCTAATAGCTGCACTGGTGACCCTGCGTGTCACATCACATCATCGTCCCTTTATTACCAGATCGTAAAATTTTGCATTGAATGATGCGAGGACTCCGGTACGGTGTGAGAATGATATTGGAGCGGGCCGCGAGGAGCACAAATTGGAACGGGGAATTATGCGCCGGAAAACGTTGATCATGAATAGCGGAACGATGGGACATCATACGGCATGACAAGCCATGGCCCTGCAGGATGACGGGTCTACCGCACTACATCCGAGACCAGAACGCCGCAAGGCAGTAAACAAAGACCTAGGCGCCAGCACCGACGGGTTGGATTGCACTCTGTGATGAATTACGTTTCCCTGATGCTGGCCTGGACGCTGCATAGGTAGATAAAGTTAGACAAGATATGCGACGTCACGCCACCTACAAGGGCCGTACGAATTCGAAGCGCATCAGCTCTGAATTGAGGCCGGGGAAGATGGAAAAGTATCTTTTCCATGACTCTGATCTGGAACAAATTTCAATGTGTCGCAAATTGATCGCTAGAAAAAACCTGCCTTCCAGATGCCGGCATGTTAGCTAGAGCCGGCCGGCATCAGCAAATGATTGCTTTACGTACATGCCACACACCGGACTTGGATGAAAAAAATGCAAGGCTCGTCCCGAAAGAGTTTGATGGAAGCCGGTTAGACATTTGATCATGTCGCTGATCGCGGCCAGTCTAGCCCCTACCCTAATATCTATCTATCCCCGACTCCCATGTGCAGGGTATGCCGTAGACTTATAGGCTCCAGGCCAAAGCTTCCAAGTTCCAATGTGCACATTTCGATTTAACCGACTCGCATGGCCCGCAAGGCTCGTTGGGTCGTGTGGAAGTCATTTGACGTGGGACCAGTCGTTGACTATGTACTGGTGCCGCATCGAATCCTGTCGATATAGAAAACCTGCGCACGAAATAATAAGCGAATCAGTGACAGGACTCAGCATGTGCTAACGCACCTCGGGTGGGTGTTGTAATGTTCAGTACTAGACTGGGGACCGTCGTGACGACAGCCTTCACGGATACGTGAAACAAGGAGCATACCAAATCCTGTAAAAGTGAAATGGGGTAGACTACTTATAAGCCAAAAACCATGTAGCTTCTGGCGCTGGACCGAACAAAACTCTGTTAACCAGAGGAAGTTCGGAACCGTTGTCATATAGCACTCATACGTATATGTACTATACGCTTGGGCTTCGCTTCCAAGCAATTCGCTGCGTCAAACGGTAAAGTTGTTCGGCAGCACTGAGGCGTTGGTAGCCCCATTAGAATCATTGGAAGGAACAATTGTCGCAAGGTCATGCTAGGAGGTGGAAACAAATGTCCTGTAACTCGGTGCCGAACAACTTACGAACCAGAACATGAACCAACGGACTGACCTAACACACCAATCTCATTTCACAGCCTCGACGGCAAAAGATGGGAGCTAAGATTTCGGATCGAAGCAAAAAAAATTATCATCCAACCACAAAGTATTGAAATATGATGCATTATAATATACTTCTCCGAATACCGCAGCCGCGGATCACCTTCAGGCTGTCTGGCTTACTATCTGGGAGACAAACATACATTTTAGTTCGCCATCTAGGGACGGTTCAACTGCCGACTTACCTCCGTATAGCGTTGTCGATTTCTCCCCATCTTAAGTTCTGGACACCTTCACCCTCACGTCCGACACGCCGTGGCCCCATGATGGCACTGTCGTCGAGACGCTCCAGTCTCACAATCTCACGGCGGATGTAGGAGACAAGTGTGACCATAAGCTCTGGATAACCGATATATCTGGGGTAAGTGACGATTAGCAAGAAATAATATGAACACAAGATGAGGGATGCCTTAGCACAAGTGCCACGGGTGGGTACTGCACTGGAGACAACATTGTCGCATGCGCACCGAGTGAGTGACAAAAGAAAAATAATACACATACCGGTCATTTTCCGAAGGAGCAAAGTCATGCACACCGCTGTTATCGTCCTTGAACTCTTCTTTATCTACGTCCACCTTTCTCACGTCCTCGACAAGTCCACCAACTAGGTTAACCGCTCTCCGATAACCGCTACCGTTGGCCTCGTGGTCCAACGCAATCCCACTTGCACCCCGTGCACCTAACAAATTTCTCCAGACTGCCGCAGCCATCTCAGCATCGCCCCTTACGAGGCCAAGGTCCAAACTCATTCCCATCCCGGCCCATTGCTCTTTTAGAATTTTCATCTGCCTGGTGATCAATTTTTCTGGTGCACGAGAGCGTTTCTGAAGTTTTACGGCCTCTTGGTATGCTTTATTCGAAGGAAAGGTACTTTTGGGCGCGAGGGCGGCGGGCGTAGTGTAAAAAGAACTGTGTGGATAGTGTGAACCATCCTCGGTAGTGCCTAATAGCTTTGGCGATAAAGAACGAGGAGGTAGGACGCCTGGTTGAAGGACAGCGCGCAAGCGTTCCTCGACGTCCTGAAAGAAATGGTCAATGAGCCCTTGCACATGCTGTATCCCGTGTGGTGCAGGGAGAGCACGGAGTCGGACAGTGAGCAGCCAGACATGCAGGTTTGTGATCGTAAACCAGGACTGGAAAGTTGGCGGAAGAGCGTATTCTTATTTAGGAATTAATTAAGCGTCACATAGAGTTACTGCGCATACCTTCTCTCCAAAATGCAGACGCTTCATCGGCACGCGTAGCACATAGAGTGTTATATAAGAGCAGAGTGCGCCGATTAGCAAACTGTTGCGGCGAGCCATAGCCGAGAATACGTGCTGCAGAGAGGAATATTGAGAAAAGGAGTGGAGACGCCTTGACTTTCGTGGTCAACCATGATTGCTCTCGCTGTGGCGCAGACTCGAAAGATGGAGGGGGAGGCGCTGAGGTCGGTGTCGGTTTCAGTTTCGGTGCAGCCGCCGCCGAGCGCGTCGCTGAAGATGAAATCACGCGCACATTTCTATGCAATTTTACAGAGAAATCTGATCTGACTCGGTCATACGCCCTGGCTTGGCGCGCTGAACCAACAGCATGACGAACGAGAAGTTGTGAAGACATGGAGAGCTTCCGAGTAAACTCGAGCCTTCAACGGCAAAATGTTAGCTTATGTAAGCGACGATCTTTCACCACGCTCCTCGAGCCCGTCGGACGCGATCATCGAACTGCAGCATATTCGTTTCAAAGTGATAGGTTCGTACACTAGGACACTGACTCATCGTACTTTGCTCATCATACTAGAATAACACTCATCGGCATTGTCATGCCATGGCCCAGACCGTCATCCCCGAACACGATTCTTCTAACATCTCACGTAAAACCTTGCACAAGGTTTATACGGGTCGCATTGTTGTCCGACCTTTGGTAATGATGCTGAACAGGCTGCAGCCGTTCTGAGAATATACTAATATTCAATAACTTCTAGTTCCCCCCCTGAATCGACCGATTCAATGGAAGGGCAGATATGTTATTCCTTCTTGTATTAATGGTGACATCACATTACAGCAAGTCTTATCGTCCAACTGCTACGACACACGTGTGTGGGCCCATCTGTACATACACAACATGAATTTGCCCGCCATGCCACGATGAAGCTCCATATTATCTCCACGCACGAGGGTAGTACCGATCACCCCCTTGTTCTAAGACCATGCGGCAACAATCGGTTAAACCGATCACCGACGGATCTCTTAGGCTAACTCGGGCAAGCTTCGACACATCTGCCTGCCTGCAAGTATTCTTCACATGGTCTTGTTCATATGCAACCATTCCAAGCTTATGTATATATTTATCACAGCCATGTAACTAGGATGTAACTATGATCTATTGTTCCACTGTTGATTGATGACTCGCTGGCACGTTCATTCTGATGGATAATGACTTTGATCACGTGCTTGATTGTTAGCTCCACGGCAGATATCAACAAATACTGGGCCGAGTTTCTTGGACAAATTTGCTCTTGTAAATGTTTCTTCATATAATAGGGATTGAGAGGAAACAGTTCATTACACGCGGCTAGGTAATAAGTGATTTAACGAGTGACAGTGGTAAACGAATGGTGGTGGACGGGGTATGTGTGCTGCGCGTGATCGGGTATGAAATACTGCTTTGCAAATCGTCCAGTTATTTACGCGACAACCTTCGGATTGTTTAGATTGTTCAAGAACCGAATTTAATTCATGACGATCACATTGCAGCCATGGAAATACTAACAGGCAAACACGTCAATGTCCGCTGATAACGTTGACCTTCGCATTGTTTGGTTCATTCTCAAAGACCTGAGCTTGATTTGAGAGTCGTTTACACCGTAGTTATAAAATTACTCACCGCCAAGGGTACCAACGTCTTGGGGGTTCACATAGAGTACGTCAACAAATTTGTCGGCGAGAGCCTGGACATCAGAAGCGCTCGTGTCTCGGCGCCGTGATCCCTGTTGTGCTAGGGCTTGGTTGATTGCTACAACACGACATCAGAATCTGGCGATGACAAAAATAGCACGTGCCATACCGCCGACAATTTGGGCTTGAGTAAAGGCAGACTCCTTGCCCCGCGCAGCAATGCCCTGGTACCGTTTGAGGATGTCATTTACAGCCGTGGCATCATCGAGATTAGAGCGTTGTGCTAAGGTAATACCCTGACTTTGCACTGCGTTTTCAACAGCTATGAAGAACTATCAGAATGGTAATACAAAATGAGCACAATAATGGTATACCGTTTACGACCTCTGCATCTGTGACTTCACGCTTGGTGAGCACATTGACATTGAGGTTGTTCAATATATCAACGGCCGCTGACAAGTCATTCAACATTTGAACCCATACAGAGAAAGAAATACTTACCAGCACTAACTCCGACAATATCGCAGTCGCTGCGCTTCAAGATATTGATTGTAACATTGTTAAGTACGTTGCTGACAACTGTTCAACGCTTGTCAGGCTGTGCACAACGACTCGTGATAAAAATCACTTACTAACGTCTACATCAGCGACGTCACATCCGCTGTCTCGTTCCGTGAATTCAAGCCTTTTGATCACTTCGTCGAAGACTGAAATGCCATTCTGGTCAACATTGCGGGCAAGTCGTGATAATATCTCTTGCTTACCTGCGGGATTCACTGCATCGACACGTTTTGTCAGCACATTGACGTTCGCGTTGTTGACATCGTTGGTAACAGCTACAATGAAAACGCAATGAAGAGACGAAACACACACACACACACACATGGGACGTGACTTACCGACAACCGCGTCGACTAGGGTTTCAGGAACGGGGGCTGCAAATGCCGGGGTGAAGGCAGCGAAGGCAGCAAAAAGAGCGAAGTATTTGGAGAGCATTGTAGGAGTGGAGGGCGACTGAAGGAAGTAGGGAGGATGTACGCGGAGGAAGCACAGAAAGCTAACGATAGCAAGCTGGTCTTCGATGGTACGAGCGCTCGCATTTTATACTACAAGGGCTTGCCGAGATTTGCTCTCAGGGATAGGGTCCCGAGTAATACTTACATGCGGGTGCGGCCAGTAGCAAATCGAAGAAGCGAGGAAAAACTACAAAAAAAAAGTTCCAGTATTTGCATTGAGTAATCATTTTGGGATAGTGAAAAAGGACATGCCGTTCGCATCAATCTGATTGCTTGTTTAAACGTAATTTCTACGTAAACGCAAGCTAGGCCAATTTGCTTGATCGGCTTTACGACGAGCTTTTTTTGAACAGAAGGGTTGGGTTATATAAATCGCGTAATATGTGAGACCGCGACGGCGCCGCCTGTGATGGGCCTTTCGAGGATGGGCTACAGATGCCCAGTTGAAAGTAGCAGTGGCTCGCGATCTTTAATTCTTAAGAATCTTTCCTCCTCTTCATTTCTGCAAAACAGTAGATGGGCATTGTTTCGTCATCGTGTCGGGATGTTAAGGCCTGAATGACACAACTTGTGACGTTCCATGATCGTCGGGCCAAGTAGGCGAGTAATCTCCGCGTCATTCGGTTAATGTGTCCACACTAAGCGCGATGAGCACGATCTGCCACTACCAGCCTGAGTGTGTGTGTGTGCGAGCAGTACTAAATCCTGACCGACTTCCCTGAGGGTCGAGGCCCTCATGCCGTGTCTCGTATTAGGCGGTGTATCAAGTCAAGTGCGGCTAGATATAAATGAATTAGATGGCGCCTTTATGACGAGTGAGACATGGGATAGAGAGCCAGTGTTTTTAGTAAAATGCATGGTGATTGGATTGGTCAGGCTGAGTGCGATGAGTACTGAATCTCACCAATCTGAGGTACCCGCCGCAGTGCATACGTACTTTTGCCCGTTTCCTTGACATTTAAACGATATATCATGAAAACTTCTTGATTTAGCGCGGCCTTTGACTCATCAACTCAACGTTCATTGATATGTCCATGTCAACATGCGCCCAATCTGATGGCGGCCTACTTGCTGTGTCAACATATGGGGTGTTCTAAACAGAAGAAGGAAGCTGATCAGCTACTCAGTCGCCTACAAAATCACAAAACATACGTGACAACAGCCTGAGCTGCCAGTGAGCGGCATTGATTTGACAATAGTCTAGATCTCCCGTAGTCGAGTCCAATTTTGGTCTTTGCTAATTATTAGGGGTAAGGCAGATAACATAAATAATTATCATTTTTTAACAACAGAACCTAGGTCTCAGGCCTCGACGTTCAACGTTCAGCTCATTGCTCGGCGCCGCACAAGAACGCGAGTAAGTATCTGACGGTCAACTTCTTCGTGAGTAGCACTCATGTAATTACAGTTCGTTCGGCAGACGTGATTCGTGAACTTCAACAGCAATTGATTAGGACGCTACAAGTAAATATCTCAGAGAGTATGTACAGAGAAAAATATGGAGCTAATTGCAAATCATTTGGGGGAGGCAAAAATGTGTGAGCGAGTGAACATATGATTATGAAAAACGAGCGAGCGGGTCATATGGAGAATAAAAACGCGAGGAAGAAACGGGCTCCAGACGTGTGATGCCGAGCCTTCCGAGCGCTCAAAATCCGGCACCTTTCACATAGTAGCGCAAATAACCGTCTATATCAAATTCATCATTGCGCGAAGCTGCCCTTCTCTCGCTGAATTCACGACTTCGAACGAATACTGGAAAGGCTGCGGGCGACTGCGGACGACTTAAACTTAGCTGTTATCTCGCGCATGCATCGAGGCCACTTACATCACCATGCCGGTGGTGAATTCCGGCTTTACCTCAATCTTCTTGCCGTTCGAGTCTCTGGCATGATCGATACGCAAGACGGCGAGGATGGCAGCCATCGCATGCCACAGACTGTTCTGGACAAACCAACGACCTGCCCACGGTATGAGCATGACATCCTTAACATTGATAAATCAGTAGTCATCCTACCGGGACAAACGCGCCTGCTCAAGTCAGTGAACAACTAAAAGTGATACTAATCGCGAGATATTCACCTGGCATGACCAAAGGCAAAATGGTTGACAAAATGGACCTTCAGCTGCCCATCAGCTGTGAGATAGCGAGTGGGATCGAAGCGTGATGCATCCGGAAATATGTCTTCGTCCCGAGACAATGCCCTAAGTCATGCTCAACTCAAGCATTTAGATACGCTGCGTCGTACAGACCATTGATTAACCATCACCACCGTGCCTAATTAAACTGCAGGTAAGTCGATGTAACCCCGAGTCATACGACGAACCTTTGGGTATAAAGTATCCGCCATAACAATCATCATTTGTTGTCGCATGCGCCATTCCTGTGCAAGGGGTTAGCTACGCAATTGCATAAACAAACACCAAGGCACATTAATGGACCGACCTAGGGGTATGGAAGGATACCATCTTAGAACCTCACAGAGAACGGCATCAAGGTAGGGTAACGATGGTCTATCATCAACGGACGGCATTTTATCATGCGTCACGACTTGATTTATTTCTGCATGAATCCTGGCTTGGACATCGGGATAAAGTACCATGGCCATCAGAAATGTGTGCAACGTGGATGCAGACTGCGGGACATCAAGGTAAGGGAAGAAGTGATAAGGATTCCCTAAACCAATGACTCACCGTGTCTATGCCGCCTGGGACGTCGTATTCGCATCAAATAATGATTCATGTGCCTTTAAAAAAACCGTTACCTATGTATCCCATCAATGCAACAGCTTTCATCGTGTCTTCGTCAGCATCTTCGTCAGCTTGACTGAGAAAGTCGGCGACTAGTGATTTTGAAGCAGTACCATTTGCCTACAGGTAAGTAGATCATGCAAATCATCCAGCCACAATGCGCGAACGTACCATCTGTGCCTTCACCTCGTCAAAGGGCTCGTTCAAAAGCTGTGGACATAATTCTCTAGTGCGTCCCATCAGGGCATAAGCTCCACGAAAGCACCAAACTGGCAGCTTTGTAACTGTAACCGACACGCCAAATGTTCGAATCGCCATCGTCGATAGCATTGAAGTACTCACGGAAAGGAAAGGCTGTGAATATGGCAGCCCTCTCTGGAGAAAGGAGCTGTTTGGCAATATCCAGAAGTTCTTGCGTACGGGTAAAGAATGGGTCTTGGGTTCCGCGACTGGTGTGTCCATATGTCACGGACATGATCAGGGATGCGGTGTATCTGTAACAATTGTATGATTGTCAGTAAGATCGGAGGTTACAGTATCACTGAAAAAGGCACAAACGCTTGAATAGGTTTCTGGAGGTCACCGGTGGCTTTCAATAGATCGAAGACTAATTCATTCGCGTGGGGAGAGTACATTTCGTGGTAGGAAACAGAGGCTTCGGCCCTAAGGACCTGATGGAAGATCTTGCGATGTTGTCGCAAAGTCTCGCCATACGGAAGGTGTACAGTATTGAATCCCAGTCCAGCCCTGCCTCGTCAGCTGATCAGAATAGGCTGGATGAGAGCAAAACGTACATCTCATTGGTGGGAATGACAGGTCGGTCCGAATAAATTGCAGAACGCTTGTCCAACAACTCCCGCGCGATCGATTCAGAGTTTATGATGATCATATCGATCCCAAGGATGCGAGAGTGAATGATTTTGCCTATGAAGAGGGATAAAATTAAATCCAATCACTTGAAGAGACCTTGGGCTACCCACCATATGTCTTTCCCCAAGCAATATATGTGAGCCAAGGTCGTTTGGTGTCCAATTGCAGTGCGTTTCCCAGAAATGGTAAACCGCGAGGGCCAGGCGGCAGAGGTAAAGGGTAGACGCGTCTGCGACTCAGACGCAAAGCAACAATCAGGGAAATAATACACGAAGCAGCCAGAGAGAGAACATGAGCGGAGAACATGAGGGATTGTTGTTGAAGCCATAACGTTCGTTCGCCTTATAACACAGGACTTTGGGGCATAACAATAGGCTATAGCTGCTATCAGGATGAATTCGGGAAAGTCTCGTTGTTTTCTCCTAACCAGATCTGTCTGTATCGACTCTCGAGCTGTAACTTCCATCAATGATATTTTGAACTTTAGATCTCGAGCGCTGCCACGCACGCAATCGTGATGTGGCGTGGGTGTTCGTCGTCTCATCGGCGATGACGGGCACGACACAAATATTGCTACTAGCACTCAAACCACTCACTGCACGGACACTTTCTACGACGGTGAGAGGCCTTGTTCATGTACCTGTGGCCAGTGCTCTTTAGCTGACCGTGGTCAACTCCAACAGTCAATAACGACTCGCCTGTTGGGAGAGTCAGACTTTGTAATCCACGCTGATGTTGTTCTCGCAAATCATCGACCTGCTTCATGAGCCATGTTAAGGTTTACTCGCATGTGTGTGTTGAATCCGTCCGCTATGGAGAAGTAACGGAAAATCTACCTGCTGTGCCTACTTCGATGGCCGAGTTACTGTCGAAACTCAATGGGTCTTCAAAATCGACATGGAGTATGACAATCAGGGTCAAAGTTCCAAGACAGTCGCATTCGCTCATCCTTTTGTTATGACGACAACATGCCAGCATTCCCATGGGATTCATGGTCTGTCTCGCACTTGTAAACACTAATTTCGCATTTGACTGTCACTGCATCCTGCTAGGGCGATTCATCTTGGTGTCCAGATCTGGTACGGGAATGCCCTTGGTGATATGGAGGTCGTTGAAATCGAACTTGCGTCGGGACAACTCATACTCATCCCCATTACTATTTCGGATGCTGACTATTGGGTGACGATAGCGCACAATCATGTACGTCTATTGTTATTTTGATATCCACTACTCATGACTTCGTAGAAGTGGACGTGGATGTCAATCTTGAGCTTGGCGAAGTTGAATAGTAGAGCATTGGAAATACTCATCGAACGTGTGACGTATTGCATTCTTTGCAAAGGTAAGTGCATATATCAACGAAATGCCTTGCATGAACTTACATTCAACACAATGTCGTATATCGCTTTAGTTGCTGTGTCAACAGGCTCGACTGTCGGCAGTGCAGTTCCTGCTTCATTTGAGGTGGGTTTATTTCCTTCAAGAAGTACGCTGCATTCATACTTGATTTGGAGTCCACATCCCTTTATTCATTGAAAGGGATCGTTTTTACAAGATGATATAAAAGTCTCTTTTCTTTCAAAGGGGTGAAAACGTTGCTCAAAAGCAGTGTTGGCTAAGTGACGCGCACTGTAAGTCAAGCAAGCAATGCCACCGCATCGAACACCTTGAAATTAGAGCATCCATCTGAGACTCATCTACAACACCACGGTACCAAATGATTAGATTGCCATAATATCGTTGAAGATGCCAGTTTGTCTGAACGATTTGACGCCGTATATCTACATAGTGTAAGTATAAGATAAAAAAGGAATCATGTGCCAGATATACAAGTTAGGTATTGGACGGAAGAACCACATCCATCTCGAGCTCGCTGACTTCAACGTAGATTTCTCCTTCAGTGTGTCCCCTCCTCCATTGGACACGACTGAGTTCCGCATGGTTGAGCAACCATGCCGGATCGACATGGTAAGTTGCAGCCAAGGACCGGATGCTTAGCATCGCGTGACAGATAGAGACAGCCGTAGCTGCCATTGCTATTCTGGGTGATAGATGTTGCTCGTGAACTTTAGTGAACTACCATGGACGGAACAATCTTACCCTCCCATATCAATTGGATTATAGAAATTCTGGCAATGGTTACGAGTTTTTCGTGCAGCTATGGTCATAAAACTTACGGCTATGTCCTCTGAACTAGTCAGAGAAAGACTGATGATTTCGTACAGCAGCGATCCTGTTATTTTCTTGAGCGTGTGCTAAACGAAAAGAATCAAGATATATTCACCGGCTGCAAACGAATACAAGAACATCCCCCTAAGCAAACATTAGCTTTTGTGGTAGAACTTGTGATCAATGAGGGGCTTACTCTTTGACGAATCGGTGGATCATCCCGTGTTGCTGCAAGGTTCTGGGGGTGACGTGAAAGCGACACAGCGTAAGTAAGAACATAGTCGTATGGACAACCAAGGCTGGCACATAGATGATGAATGTAAATGTAAGGCGTGCCGAGCTTAAATTGCTGTTCGTGACACCCTTGATTGCATTATACTCGACGGCGCCCAATATTGCAGTTACTACCAAGCAAACGATGAAAACAGTGACTGCCAGCCATCTGATGAGGCAACTCCGAGGGAACAGATGCCATACTCGCAATGTTATAACACCTGTATACCAGTCGATTCAGTGGGATCGATATCAATCGATGCGCAACGGACAGACATTGGCATAGAACCATGACTGTTAATCTAACAGCGTAGTCCACTGTAGGACACCAGCCCAGTCTACATCAATCTGTAAGCCGGTCTATTGCCTTGTCATATGAAATAGCTCACTCCTGTAGAACGATGCATGTAAGACCCCAACGATGATATGCGCAGCTCAAAAACTCACCAGATAATTATAGATCTTGGCTGCTCCAATTTGTGCCAGAGCAGTAAGACTAAACAATATTATCATTTCTAGTGCATTTTTTCATTAAACGGAGTCAAACATACCAAACTTGCGCGAGAGCCAAGTATCGGATCTGTCGAACCTAAAATCAGTCACTGACAAGAATAATCCGTAATGGCCTTACGCTGAGATACAGTATTCTTGACGGTGACCATGGACTGGACCAAAAGAAAGCCACCTAAAGTAAACGATGGCAGTGAATCAGAGTTAGACTGTCATCGACCATGAAGACGAAAGTACTTCTTGAGCGAATGTGATAGCATGATCGTACACCACAAGAGTGAATGATACAATTGTAAGAGTCAATTGCTGAATAGCAATGCTCGCTGACTGCTGCTGTGCGGACATAGCAAAGTATGGGGTGCCCTCGAATGTTGACAACGTTGAGATTTGAGAGCTCACAGTACCCTCTGTGGGTTGCATCAAGAAAAGCTTATCAGTGTTATATACTATATATCCACCGTGATGAACACGAGGCGAAGCTGAGCGCTGATGGATGGCACTTACTATAGGCATAGCTGTACTAGAGATGATGGCATCACTGGCAGGCTGAGCCTGTCAACTTAAGTTACAGATGATGCATCATCAATCCTGCTCATTCATCATATCTCTGTCAGTTTTGTGCCAAAGTTCCTCTCATGCTTCTAAATTTGGTGTGATGGTGGTGAAGTGTCCTGCGGTCAATGAACATTCACCAAAGTCAGCGTCCGTTTATGCATATGATGGACGAAGTGACGTTTGGAGTACCAGAAGTCCTGTCTGGATATTATATAATCACATCAGACAAAGCAAAAGTCGTTGGTCAGAACGGCGTCGAAAGACTCTATGATATTCATATCATATTCCCTTCCACACATTAAACATTTGATCGCGAATAGGCTGAGGTTCAGGCGCGGCGGGGCTTAACGATAAACGCCATTGATAACCATTAAAATGATTATACATCACAAAGCACAGCACTGATCGAGGTCCTCCAGAATCTGTCCAAAGAACTCGAACGGTGTCGGTACACTGCCAGATATATATGCACCAAGAAGATAGTCTCACAAGGAACATAGTTGAATTAACCAGGAAGCTTTGGGAAGCTTGATGATATGCGTAGGTGAGCAAAGGTTGGCCTATCAAAACGACGTGATAATGGAAGCAGATCATGTCCTATTGAAGTCATGCAAATCTGTTGGCATGAGACAAACATAGGTGAATGTAGTAGTCGGTGCGGTTCTGTTGCAAGGAACTTGTATAGATGACCAGAGTCACTCTGCTCTATCGCGAGTGGATGATCAATATCATATCCTCACATTCAAGTGTATTGCTTACCCATCGTATCAACTATGAAGGAATCAACCCTTTTTACGCAACCTATCGTCACTGAAGACCCCACAGTGGACCACCTGTCAAAATTGGTAATCAAAGCGAGATGAACAAAGACATGCCACTAAGCTTGTACACCGACCTATCATAGACACTGTGGACAGCTGTGGACGGTCGAACGCGCCAAAGCCGTCCACAGTACTGGAGATATAAAGATGCACCTCGCAGTGTCAATAGAGGCTACCACAAATCGCTCACTCTTCCCTGCGTCTTTCTTGACTTCGGCCTCGCAATAATATGGAGAATATGTCCATCCAAACAGTCACGAAGTGCTCTGGTAGCGCTGTTTCGACAAGCATCACCGACAGTCCGGCACTGTCCCTCACAAACAGACTCACCCCCGCCGAGCGAAAGGCCTTTGGTAATTCAGATCACAAGGCTGCCAAAATCCTCGGTATTACACTCACACGCAATCACGTGGACCAGGATGAGAGCCTTGCTACAGTCTCATCTGCAGATGAAGAGGTTTCCCAAGTTTACGACAAACTGGGAGAGATGATGGCCTTCGTAGGTGCAAAGCGTGCAGATAGTCGCAGTCCAAGCGCTGTGACCATCTTTAAGCCACGTAAGGGCCTAGGAATGGACTTGATAGAGAAGAACAAGAAGCGCAGAGTGGCTAGGGAGCATACGCAACGCGTGGTCCTGGGACCCTTACGCTTCAACAAGCCACCTGTCGAGGAAGGCAAAGAATTGTCAACTACCATCAACGATGATGGCGCATGGTCAATCTTAAAGACCGGCGAAATTGAAGAGACAAAAAGACCTCTTGCATGCAAATGTCAAGCGAGAAATAACGAAGATCTATTGGGTAGTTCAAGAGATTTTGTTTGGGACGTCCAAAATCCATTTGCCACACCTCCCAATGCCGTCCTTCAGCAATATTGCAAGACAATGCAGCTCGGTGAAACGATTGGACCTTTGGATATTGCACCGCCCATGGCATCCCTCGGTTATACAACTAATTTTAGACCATCACCCGAAGAGATTTCGGCCCTCCATTCTGATGACTCGTTTGACAACATTCTTCGTCCGGCGGAACAAGCTTACCTGGATTTTTTGATTGCACAAGACGAAGCTGAGGAGCATCCAATGGAGAGGAGAAGGCAAAGAAGGGCGGCAGTGCGGTCGAGGAACAAAATACTGGATGTGTTGGGAGCAGAGGCGCGACAAGCTGTTGATGGGCAATGTTAGCCGCTTCTGTTGAAAATATGATATGTCTGTAGTATAATATTCGATCAGTGTAACACTAACAGATAGACACTCGCAAAAACTTGCCTGGAGCATGAAGAGCGGGATGTCGGAAAATCAGTAGAATCAATGACAAGTACGATGGCGTGACACCAGACAGGGGAGATACACAAATAATTCAATCTCCTCGGTACACGGTATCTACTTAGCCGCAGCCTTGCGATTACCCGAGACCGGACTCACGGCTGAGTGAGTGTTCCACTGGGTTCTGCTGGTAACACTTTGATTGTGACGACCCTGACCTCGAGAAAAATCCACGCTATGGAAGTTACCCTACCCGTTCTCGGAGGCGCTGTCTCGATAATGACATTAACGTGCTGAATTACAACAGGACGCGATTCCCAGTTCACGAACCATGTGGACACCAACCTCAGCCTGCGCTTCAAGTTCCTCAACCTTCGATGTCAACATAAATTTTCCCCAGGCCAGGTATGCCCCCCGATGCAGCATCCTGCACCTGAGCCTCACCCTCCACATAATTTATACCCTCATTTTGCACCAGCAAGACACGATAATGCGAGTTTCCGAGTTGGCGATGCAGTGCAGACTCGGGATATGTATGCAGGGCATCAAATATATTCTGCAGGCTGTCTGCAACACCACCGGTACAATCATAGTAATTATCACTTGTCAGTAGTAGATAAATTACTTACTCTGGGTTAATAATACCAGTATGCTGTCACGGTATTCGCCGTTTTCGAGCGTTTCGCGACTCGGATGCGCGCACTTTGGAAGGCTTCGGAGAGCGAGAGCGGCTGACTGTGCCGAGGCGTGACAGGACGTGACCAAGTTGTGCAGATTAGAGGTAGACCCTGGGTTTGCTCCGATTTCTTCCGACACCACGATACTATCCATGTATTAGAGGAGATACGAATCTATGATGGATAAAAGCAAAAGTGATGTGGTTGAGGATTTGCTGAAAATATTGTGTATTGCGGCCCCGGGAACGAGAATAGACTTTTGCGATTGGTTCCAGAGTGGCCAGCTGTCCCTGACTCCAGGGCCAGTTGGAAGCTTCTGAAGCCCTTGACTACTCGGTAGGAAGTCACGTGACTTGTAATGTTTCGATGTTTGCAGCCTAGAAGTCCACCGATATAACAAGTGATGAGTCTAAAAGATCAATCTCTCCATTTTATTACATTTTGCCATTGATCACGAAATGGCGCTACACTTCTACATCGGTAGCCGCGTCAGTACTTAAGTATCGCCAGGTCCGAATGGAAGCCATCTTTCTTTGGAAATCGGACCCGGACAACCATAGCGTCATTTACGAAACAAAAATTAGCATATAAACTGACCCAGTGACTCCGCACTTGCAATTTTAACGTTCCATCACCGGCACCCCTCATCCCCTGCACAATTATCGTCTAAGAGCAGAATGCGTACTTCAGCTCTCCTTACACTCTTTTTCAGCTTCTTCTTCATTATTGAGTTGGCGTTTTCTATCCCTTTATCAACACCAGCCCTGCTTTATACTCCTGGCGCCCGCGGTGAGCTTTTTTCGTTAGTAAACTTGATTCATGGCGCTAACATGTTCATTTTTCACTTGTGACCTCGAAGATATTCTCGGTTCACAGAATAAACGCGTCATGGACCCTGTAACTGGCACCATCGGGATGTTCCTCAGGATGCTAGGCAGGCCGGGCTTGCATGAAATGCAATTGGAGATTGATGACTACTGTTCCAAATTCCCGTGTCCCACACCAAGTGAGTGTAAACAAGTCTTTCGAACAGTGCAGGACTCATAAGCGATTGAATCCAGGAGGGACATCCGAAATTTAATATTTATACCAGCCAGCAAGAGTTGTCTTTACGGCTTTGCGAGACTTTCAATTGTATACCCTTCGGATTGTTGTACCTCTGGCAGGCATGCTATGTTTCAGTCCATTTGTTAAACATTCAAATTATTTGCAAGTATATATCTAACTTATCATGTATGTAACTCTGTAAAGCTTGTTTCACTTACCTCGAGTGCATGGAACTCACTCGTGGTATAGCACAACAAACTGTTACAGTTTCTTGTGTGGAAATTCTTTGTTGCACGGCTTAACACTTATTTGTAGTCAATGGCAGGCCTTACATTTACCTTGATGGAAACAAACACTTGATTGTCTTTTACTACCTGTCAGCTTGGGTGCTCAGTTGAATCATGAACAGTGCGTAACGGTAGTGAGTAAGAGGTGTTTTGCATGTTGAGACGGAAGTTTGAACGCAATGCATATCATGAATGACGACACAAGGCATACACAATTGTTATAGGCTATAGCGGCACTCGTATACAACTATGATTGCATTTACTTGACAAACCCATGGTAGCAGTCTGCACAGTAGAAATCTGGCGTTTCACGCCCCCGTCGGGTGAAACAAGCGTCATTCACTACTCAAGACATCTACGCTAGCATTGTTCAGAAGGTTACTGACGTCTGGTGAAATACCATCAAGTAGCCACCAACTTGAAGAAAGACGGTACTGACCAACATTAACGTTAATCAAGCTATCATTATCGCGCTTTTGGCTGAGATTGACATTATCTAGAACGTCTCCTATGAAAGACTTAGCTAGGAGGGACGCCAAAATAGATAAATGCTCACTGGTGTCAACGTCAACTCTAACCATCAAGCCATCACGTTGATCCAAAGCATCCACGGAAGCTGTGGGTGAGGCAGCAGCATGAGCAGCAATGCTAAGGGCGCAGGCGAGTATAGTGACGGAGTGGAATAACATGACAGTGGTGGCAGCAGCAATCAACACAGAAGGTCAAAATTAGTGATGAATGCTCAACCCTCATATACGAGTCATCTTTTATACCTAGCAGTGTAGAAGCGGGCATCAGGGAGTAAGACGCGATCGAAGATCAGAAGCATGTGCATGAGCGGTCACCAGTGCTCGAACGATCACCGGCACCGATGTGAAGAATCCCCGAAGTCAAACAAGACAAAGAGTTGCCTATGGTAGAACTCTCGATTTGACATGTATTCACCGAAGTGCCCAAAGCACACTGGAGCTGAAAACAGTTCGGTTCCCATGATATCGCAGCGAATACAAGGATCCCACATAGCAGTAAAGCTGTCAGGTCAACGTCAAAAAGCATCCCGCCGTGTCAACGGACTCACAAAGATGTATCGATCTTTGCTTGATGTAAGACTCTTTTGATTCAAATACGCCGTACATAAATCCAAACATCGATGCGCAGGTATACCCGGTGATCGATAACTTCCTCCGATACATATAAGCTGCGAAATTCAGGTGGAAAGACGGTGACAAGTTTACTTTCGGTAAAACCAAACCATCGAACTTATGAATGGATCTGACGCTCTTCGCAAACAGTAGTGTATTGCGCTCCAAAAGGCTGTGTGCCTTCTGGGAATGCATGAGCACAAGGCGAGATATGAGCAACGTCGCACACAACGAGAGTCCAGAGATCCAAAAATGCAAGGAAAAGTACTACCAGTAAGAAACCAGCGATGGTGGTTGTCCGAGTATCCTCGATCAAACGGAAGTCAGATTATGCCATACAGTTACTAATGCCGCGGCTCACCACAACGTCACCCCACTCGAATAAGCGCGGTTTATTCCGTTTGATCATCGTGTGTCAGGTCAACGCCTTGGAGAGTTGCAACAGTTTTATCAGCCCTGATGTTGAATCCGGACACAACTTGAACCCCTGAATCTTGAGGACAGGCGCCGGCCTCAGACCATCAAAAGATTCATGAAGTTCGGAGAGGTACCACATCGCCGACTCAGAATATACATGTACTTTTTTGTCTTCAGGGAAAGCATCGGAGCAGCTGCAGTATTAGTCCAGACTCTAGAATGGGTGTAAGTCAGTACCATGCGACCGACTCGGAATCGGTCTCGAGGTCTTGATCTAATGGGCTTTAGAGCGAGAATTTCGTAGTGCGGGAGATGTTCGCTGGTTGCCCGCTAAGTACATAGGCCGCACTGCGCTCCCGTTCTGTAAATAGACAACTTGAGTGCCAAGCCGCCAATTTGTCCCGAGCACTTATATAAGCACCTCGCTAATAATCGCTGGACTGGTTTTACCCACTGGCAGAGGGAGCACGAGTTCGGGACATGGTAATACCAATGATTATGATTAACGAAGCGTTGAACCTACTAGTTGTCCCAATCGCCCTTCTATAAAACCCTTTGTAGCTCGAGGAAAGGACACATATGACTAATGATATCTGTTTCGAGTACATATTTAAATGAAAAACTTCCCGACATATCTTACATCCTGGTGGTATTGAGTGAGCTTTACGTGAGTACTGCGGCGCTGGAGCCGGAAGGATAGTATCGAATGCAGTACGATGCAAACGAATCTAACGTCTGCTAGTGTGTGCACTCGTATCTATTTGACTGGGGTCCTGCGAGTGCATTTGAGGGATATGCAGTAAGTATTCATGATTTATAATTCACCTACAATTTGCCACGAGCTAACCTCTGCTTAAGAGAAGTAAACACGCTAGCACTGCGAATGCGCATAGAATACGTGAGCCAGAATATCGCAATGATCTACAGAAGGCACGTTAGCATCAGATCTGAGCAAAATCCGACGGTGTCTCACGTTAAACGCAGCGAATCCAAAGATAATGCCCAGGTTTCGCCAGTGATCACTGTATTTAATGTTGAACCTCGAGTACATATACTCGTCAGTGGTCTTGTAGGGACAGTACTGGCAACCCTCTGCAGCTCCGGGGTTTGTGAGGTAGCCACCAGCGAATTTGAGGAACGGATCCATGTACTCGCTGCAGGTCATACCCATCGGCGGGTCCACGGAGACTAGTTCCGTAGAGGAGCAGATAATGGTTTGGCCGCCAACAGCTAGGAGGACCAATATGAGTACGATTGTTCAGCAAAAAATCATTCACGAACCTTGACCAAGGAGGCCCTGGATTATGTACGTGAAGGGAGAGGCCCTGTACATCCATTTCCACCAATTCAGCTCGAAGAACGGCTGAACGACGCCATCACTGGTGGATTGTTAGCATGAACTGGCGTGGCTCAAAGTATGTCTCACAAGATCAGCATAAAGATAACGAGAGTTGTGAAGTATATGGATGCAACTGGAGCGGTTGGTGCCATGGATGCGATACCATGTCCAAGCGTGGTATAGTAGAACGGGAAGGCGATGGAGAGGGTGAGGAATGTGTAACCAGCCCGGCCTGTGGGATATCCAACGGTCCAGTACCAGCACAAAAAGAATATCGCTGAACTTGTGATATTCCAAGGAAGCTCAGCGACAAGCTGGGACATGACGAGAGCAGTCCAGTTATACATTCTAGTGGGACGTTCGCGTATCTCGTACACTGTACGAATGTCGATGTAGACGGCCATGAGCTGATGGACGAGGGGAACACAGAGCACAAGGGAGAGGAAGACTGACTAAAGAAGAGTAAGGATGTGATTGAACGAATAATCTGAATTGATATACTTACGAATAGCTTATTTTGGGTGCCTTGCAATGAGTCATTTGCCTGAAAGAATGTAAAGCCCACAAGAAGACCACCAGCGATATTAAGGATAAACTTGGCGTGAATATACGTAGGATTGCGCCAGTATGCTTGGAAATTCCTGTGGGTGAGCATAACGAACTGGTGCAACCATGAGGTGGTGAAGACAGAGTACTGTTTGCCAAGCTTCTGTGGGTGAGAACGACCCTGTTGATGCAAGTCGTCGATATGGTCTTGAAGCTGCGCCGCTTCTGGTGAGCACTTCCAGACATTGTACCAATCAGTGGTAGAGACTGCAGTTGCTCCAGCACCTATTACATCAAGCATGTATTCCGCCCTTCAACTCCCTGGTAAGCGCAAGACCCGTATGATTGCACCTTACTTACGGATTGTCGTCAGAGCCGCAGCGTGGAGCACCATTACGCTCAAAGTAATTTAGCATGGTCGACGAGTTCTCGCCAATGTCGCCAAAGTAGACCGTCTGTCCACCCTTGCGAAGGAGTAGTAATCTGTCAAAGACCTGGAAGAGCTCCGCCGAAGGTTGATGGATTCTAGTGCAGCTCATAAACATTGAAAAACTGACATGTCAAAATGACACTCACGTGCAGAGAATGGCCTGACCACGGTCAGCAAGCTCACGAAGTACATTTACGATGGCCCAGGCGGATTGCGAGTCAAGGCCAGATGTAGGCTCATCCAAGAAGAGTAGAAGTTTGGGCTATGAGTCTCTCAGCACAACTATAGCTTGAAGGGTTTGCGTTCAAACCTTGGCAGCGAGCTCCACTGCAATGGTGGTGCGTTTACGGTGCTGAACCCCAAGAGAGCCAACAATAGCATCAGCACACTCCTCTAGACCACACATTTGAAGGCACTTGTCAACGCTGCAGTGGAAAGTTAGGTGGGATCTAATCAAGACAGAAATCGTACGTACTATGCTTCTTTCTCAGCGAGAGGAACTGATTGTGGCTGACGAAGATTAGCAGAGAAAAGGAGCGCTTCACGGACAGTCGCCTCGGGAAGGTGTGTGTCGAGTTGTTGGCAGTAGCCACTAAGCATGACAGTCAGATAAGATTGGAGAAACTAGGACGATACTTGCGTCTGAGCTTGGAAGTCTATGGAGAGCGGCTGCCCGCCAAAGAATCGTTCGCCAGTTACCAAACCAATACCGACACGTTGTGCAAGGACATTCAAAAGGGTTGTCTGCAAGCATTCGAGTAAATGGAATGCGCGACTGGTATCATTGGAAGGTATACCTTGCCAGCCCCAGATTCACCCATTAATGCAGTGAGCTTTCCAGGAGCAACAAAGCCCGTGACATCATCGAGAAGACGTTTCATCCCTCGTTCAATGGGGATGTCATATTGCACGTGCTGCCACGTGAAGAGGTCCTTAACCTCCTCGAGATCGACGGAAGTCGAGGAATTTGCTACTCCGGAGAGGGATTTAGAAAGAAACTCTGCATCAGCCTTTTCCTCGTCAAAGACCTTAGAATCCCCATCGACAGCACAAGTTCCTTGCTTGAAGAGAATGACAGCACTGTCTGCAGTAGACAGAGTATTGAATTCTGTAGCAACTAGGAAAATGGCCAAGAATCCAAGGTAGAAGGCGCAAAGGACACCAAAATTCTGCGGTGGTGTCATGAGCCATTCGCGAAGTATTGAATGACCGCCTACCCTCCAAAGTTGACTATACCAAACGTCAAACGTCAATGCAATATAGATGTTGCCATCGACGAGAAGCTGTCCGGGCTGCGACCCGACAGTCGTGCAGACCTGGTTTGCCAGTGAAACATTCTCGTACCCCGGACCCTGTGGGACAAGAGTGGAGCAAACTGCGTCGATTGTATGAAACTCGTTCACAAGAAGTCCACCGAGCGACCACCACAATGGCTAAGACATATTGAGCGGAAGAAAGTATTGGACAAGGGACGACGTACATTCAACCACATGATCCACCTTAAGCCCTTTGGAGAAGTTGGCCAAGGAATTGTGTACCCACCATAGAGCGACATTAAGAGAATAAAGATACCGCTAACAGCTAGTGCGCTAGGACGAGTTTTAAAACATGTAGCAATAGCTCTGAAGAATGATTTCATGGTTTGTGACATTAAGAAGATGAAAAGGTAAAAAATGCTGTTGTACAGCAGGGTGAGTATCAAAGCCAAGAACAAACGGTTGGAAGAACTTACAAAAACTGCGAAGCAGAACGTTGCAACCCGACCAGGAAGTAGAGTATTACAGCGAACACAAGTTGGACGATCAAAGTGACCGGAATGTCCACTATAGTGTGCGCGAGACTCTGAATAAAAGGGTAATATAACGCGGCTTTCTGGTGTCGAAGCACGATCGGACGCTGGAAAAAAAGAGCTGGAACTTCTGAAACAGACGTGATAGCACTGAAGAAGAGGGAGCTGAAAGAGGTGTAAGGCACAACTTATGAGGACAGGGGAAGATAGTTACAAGAACAGAACACCTCCACGAGAGAAGTAGGCAGAGGTGTCATTTGGAGTGTCCAGAAAAACGGTGCCCATAATTATCGCTTGAAAGATTTGGGAACTGTCACTTATATGTTACTGAAAGTTGGTCAAACAAAGAATGCCACCTACGCCAGTCGCATAAAGAATTCGAACTTATCACCAATGATGATTTGCACGCTGCGCTTCATGACCACTTTGACTTGCTGGAAGGTAGAGGTCATATACACGCTAGATGTGTTGCCATGTTCAGCGGCCACGCTGGCCAGATATGCCTGCTTGTGTTCGTGATTGCCAACCCATTGCTCGCGGCGCCGTTCAATGGCTTCCTGATTCTGACGACCGAGGTCAGAAGTCATGAAAAAGCTAGCAAGTTCCTCTGCCGTTCGCGGAACAGAGCTCTCGTATCCAGGGCGGATCTTCCTCCCGTGTGGGTCCGTGACTGATAATGACCATTATAAGACAATATAAGACGGACACGAAGCCCTCCCTACCTGCAACTAAGAAATCGGGGGTAGTCTGTCTGTTTTGCGGTTCGAAGCCCATACCAATAAAGTAATCTTTCGCCGACTTTGCTGGACCAAAATAGGCCATCTTCCCTTCCGCGATAACACAAACCTTATCAAACAGATCGTATAATGGCTCGCCCGCCTGGTAGAGGGAGACGATCGTCGTTGTACGCCTGGCGTCTGTGATAAAACGCAAGGCGCGGACGAACTCAAGGGCAGTCGAGGAGTCTAGTCCACGAGTAGAACTGAACGAGGAAAAGTTAGAAGCATGACACCTTAGATGACAACACCTTACTTATCCCATGCACCAAGTGAGCCTGCAGAGCCTAAAGTTTCTGCGATAGAAATTCGCTTTCTCTCGCCACCGGAAACACCTTGAATCTGGGCATTACCAACTAGTGTGTGTTTCGAACGATAGAGACCAAGAACTTTCATAAGCATCGTGGTGGTATCCTCAACGTAGTCCTCGCGTGTCTGGCTGGAAAGACGGGTTTCAGGAATACGGTTTCTAACAGCGAAAGAGAGCGTTTGGTCGACGGTCAGCGTCGGGAAGTGGATATCGTCCTCCGGACAGTAAGTAATATCGCCGCGAAAGGAGTCATGTATCTCCTCTGAGGTGAACGAGTCATAGAAAATCTGACCCTCAACAGCATGATACTCCCCACGTTGGTTAGCGATTGTCTTGAGGAAGGTCGAGCACCCTGCGCCGGGACGGCCAAGGACCACTGTACAGAATGTCAAGACCAGATGCCAACGAAAAGCCTGTACTTACGCAGCATTTCGCCAGGGGTGACCACACCCCCGAATCCAGACAAAATATCTCTAATGGAAGGATGGCGAATTTCCCTTATCTTGGCCAGAAGCGTTGAGGGATGGAAAAGTGAGCCCGCCGTGGGCTGGAGCGAGGTGCGAGAGCCCGCACCAACGACACGCAGATCCTTAAACATGACACCAAGTTGACGGTCCTTTATTCCTTCATCTTGACGGCTGAGGGAGAGAGAATATTAAACAATCGAATCAAATCACCATAAAACACTTGCTGTTTCATGAGGTCTCTGAGTGCCTGCTTAAAGTCGTAGGATTGTTCATTCTTTCCGGACGAGGATATGCTTGACGAATTCTCAATGAATGAAGGAGCAGATGTTGGCAAGTCCGACTCTAAAGGAAGAATTGGAGTGGGAGCCAGGCTAGCTGTGGGGTCGACCAGTCCACCGCCCTCGTGGAGGGCCATGATAAGACCGTACCGAGGAACCGTAGGTAGAAACAACTTCAAGGGGGATTTTCAAAAAGATGAAAAGGTTACGGAATATATGGGGTGAAGTTGCTCGGTTCGGCATATAATGACCTAATAAAAGCAAGCATGATCAGAAGTTTTATATAGCACACTATCTGCTACTGCCTGGGCCCTGCGGCCAGTTACATACTTGTTGCTACAAAAAGCGTCAAACCGGGCAACTGGGAATGCGTGGAGCGCGCGAGGATAGCGGCGGTTGGATCAAAGTCCCGATCATTCCGACGGGGCCAATTGTGCACTTGAGGCTAATGACTCTTCAGCAATCCGTTAATATTGCCGTGGGACGATTTGCAAGTTATGAGTTGCTTTTCAAAGCGCCAGAACGTTGAACCTGCAAGAACCAAGTGGTCAACTCGCACCATGCCATGTGACACTCCTAGTACGGGTTAGTTCGTCCTACTTCTGATCCTCGGGCCTGTACCGTTTCTCTGCCCATCTCGCCTCCGGAGCGGATAAGTTAGTATGCGACCAAGCCAAGTGGCAGGGAAAATGATGAAGTAATGTCATACCCGTTGGCCCACGGACCGGGATTTTCCCCAACGGATGCGGCTGAGCTAGTCATTTTTAGTATTTGATCGAGGACATTTGTTTCACAGCCTAGGGTTCGGCCTTTGCCGGCTTTCATTTTACCCTGTAGCCATGCTCGGTAGCTTGTTCGTGAGGCGAGTTAACACCATATACTTAGACTCATTTAATACAGCGAGTGAGTAAACCGCACAAATCTGGATGTGTACAACTAGGCCTTAGTAGTACAGTTGGGGTATTTTGCCCTTGCTCCATCCGAACAGCATCGTAAAAAAAGGGGGACCCTGTTTATACAGCTTCACGTACAAGTAATAGAAGCGGTAAGATCAAAAGAATGCCGGTCTATCCGACTCTGTCGATAATGAAAATAATTGTAACGTTCTGTAGCGGTATAGGTAGCTATATTTAGTATACACGCCCTGTGACAATACCACGGACTCATGAATTCACAGCTGGCAACTGTGCCTGCCATAGACTCCCATGTCCCAGTTATTACTACTCATCCTCCGAGTGTGATATACAAGTGTTTGCTAGTGAGAACAGCACGTGCACCTGGTACGATGACTATAGTCTGCGTGTTATCAATGATCATCGCAGGACCCGTGACTTCATCGCCCACGCCTAGGCTATCCAGGAGGAACACAGGGGTATCGGCCACTCGGCCAACTTTATCGAAGTACACGCTATATGTTGAGTCTGCTCGACCACGTGTGACAGGATGCTTCTCAAGCCGTTCTATCTCCGAGTAGACGGACTCCCCGAGGTGGTCGAAGGTCTTCCCGATGCCACGAACCTGCGGGCATGATCACCTGGTACCTTTAAGTCACTTGCAATAGCACTCACCTTCACGTCATCTACGATGATGCTTTTGGTATCAAGCAAGAAACCAAACTCTGCCTTGTACACGCGCCTGAACGCTGCCTCAAAGTCCTCGGTACCATCGCCATCATTCTCATTAGGAAGAACCATGAGGGCAGTGTCAGTGCCCTCAAACCGCATGTTCAACATCCGCTCAACCTTCACCCGGTCACCTTCAAACCCCTGGTGTTTGAGCTCGGCCTTGACGTCATTGGTAAGCTTATCAAGACGGACGATCAGGTTCCGGCGTGTCTGCGCAGAATAGAACGCTGATGAGGGCTCTTGAAGTTCGTATGCGCTGTCGATCTCAGTTTAGAAATAACATCATTAGCACCGCGGGATAAACACTTGCCGGTCTGCTAAAGCCAATCCATATGCAGACAAAATGGAGCTGTATCGATGGATGAGGATGGTCTTTATGCCAAGCAAACTTGCAATCTCGCAGGCGTGTTGACCACCAGCACCACCGAAGCTTGCCAATCTGAGAAAACAAGTATATGAAAGGGTGACAGAAATGCGAGATAGATACCATACGCACACGTGTTTGCCAGTGGAGTATCCTCGTGCCTCCGTTAGTGCACGAATGGGTCTACACATCGTCTCGTTGGCAACTTTGATAAACCTAACCTCGAGTATGAGTGTATATCACAATGAATAACTGTGCTGTACTAACCCGTATACAATGTCATCCAAATCAAGGTTTATTTCATGACTTTCGTTGATCTCCTTGGCGACCTTCTCAAAGGCCACGCGTGATGCTTCTGAGTCTAGAGGCTCCTTCTCTGATTTTCCGAATATTTTAGGGAAATAACTTGGGATGAGGCGGCCTAGGAGCAAGTTGGCGTCTGTGACCGCTAGCGGACCGCCTTTCCTGAGTACAAGTTCAATTAAATTCTTTCACCTTCAGTCTGCACTTACCTGTAACAGGCAGGACCTGGTTGTGCACCAGCGCTTTCGGGTCCTGCAAGAAACAAGCCGTTTCGGAAGGTCAAGCAAGAACCTCCACCAGCTGCGACAGTGTTGATATCCAACTGTGGAGACTGGATAGTGACTCCGGCAGTTGTCGTCTCGTAAACCACTTCGTAGCGGCCGTCAAAGCGGGATACATCAGTCGATGTCCCACCTACATCAAGGCTGCAGAACAAGAGCGTAAGTCAGGCCGAGAATACTGATTCAAGCATAGAATATACCCAATGATAGGATATTTCCTGTCTGCGTCCCAGCTCGTCAGTGCATACCCCACGACGCCTCCCGCTGGGCCACTTAGAATGCTCTTCAAACCAGAGAAGTTATTAAGGTCTAAAAGTCCCCCGTCGCTACCCATGAATTCCACACGAGGACTCTTTATTCGTCCGTCCTTCAACTTTGTGTCAAAACCGTGAAAGAATCCGTCTAGATACTCTCGCAAGATAGGGGTGAGATATGCATCCGCTGTGGACGATACACCGCGAGGGACCATCTTGATCATGGGCAGCAACTGCGAGGATTCTGAGACCTGGGTGAACCCAACTTCTCGTGCAAGCTTGCCGATCTGTATTTCATGCTCGGGGAAAGTATAAGAATGAACGAGGACGATCGCGAGGGAGCGATATCCAGTGTCGTACAATCGTTGTAGGTCGTGTCTCAGAAGGTCCAGGTCTGAGAAATCAAATCAACAAACGTAATGCCATAAATGCTGTAAAACGTGTACCTGGTCTCTTCAAGATCCTCACTGCTTCTCCTGAGATCCCTCGAACAATATCTCCTGGACCTTCAGCATTACCCTCCCCATCCCATCCAGGACCCCTATAGCCTCTTTGAATGGACGACCCATCATCATTCCACTGAATAGCGTTCTCCTCTGACTTAGGATCCGACGTGTACCCAACAAGAGTTACACGCTCGTCCACTTCAACGACTTCAGAGTACAAAGGACTCGGGCGGCGAATGTTCAAGTCGAAGATACGTGGGCGTGACTGATTCCCGATGAGCAGGAGGTCCTTGAATCCCTTCGTAATAAGCAACGCGTGACGATGTCCCTTACGCTCCAACAGCGCATTTGTCGCCACTGTTGTCGACAAACGAATGTAATCTGGATGCAGGACGTTGTCAGAATAAGTGAACTTGAACGTGTCATCCTAGTACGGACCAATCTTGCTAGTGTCAAGCACAGACCCACGGGGAATCGTCTCTCCCGTTACGATTTCAAGCACCCTGCGGATACCCTCCGTTGGTGCATCACCGTAGTTGGCTGTGTCCTGTGACACTGCAGGACAATTAAGCAGCCAGTAAGAGAATATGCACCAGGAAACACGCACGAAGTTTGACAACGATATCCTTCCGCTCGTTTGGATTGCCTGGGTCAGGATACGATCTGTTCTATCTTAGCTTCGAAGGCAATCAAGAACTTTGACTTGGCCTTACGCATGAACATCACAAAACGTCCCTCCTCTATCTGCGCAGATGCGAATGGATCTATCGGGAACCTCAATCATGCTCATAGAAAGTAAGAACCAGAATCACAGCGATAGCGAATGAGTGGAAAAGGTCCTTTGAAACATCAGAGCAGTAGCTAATAACTAGTCTTAATCTAGTGACCGAGGTCAGGTGAATTGCCACTTCGCGGATCTGGATTCCGGAGGGCCGCTGGCCCGCAGTCACATATTGCACAAGTAATAATCATCATAAATCAAATAAATTCCACTATAAAACAGGTCAAACGGAGGGACAACATAGGGAGAGGGGTAGGGCTACGACTATATAGACAAACCCTGGAATATTAGCATGCGCTAGCAGAAGGTCAGGAATGTGGGGGACAATTTTAAAAGAATGGTGTGTATGTATGCCGTTGAATAGAGAAATAATCCAGAGTCCAGTCGACCAGTTTCGAGATACGGTATTGCAACGCTTCGAGGAGATTCGAAATCTAGGGGACAGTGGGGTATTTAGAATAGGATGTCGGTGGTGTTGGGGATCAAGACTGGTATGAATGACTCATATACACGTAGGTGTTCAAATACACATGATAGAAAGACGAGTTGCATGGTGCATTCCTCGGTGAATTGGATCAACGATGGTGATGGCGAATGGAAGAAAGGCCTGCATGGGTGATCAAGGAAGTGAGGGCTGCAATCACTCACTCCTCCTCTTCCTCCTCCATCACATTATGTAACGGTGCACCATGCACATACCTAGCGGGACTATCCCGCCCGTTCCCGTTATACAACAAACCTAGGGGCTGTAGAAGTTCCTCGCCCTGCGAGCCTTCCGTATGTGTGGGCTCCTCAATAACATCCTCCGCGGGGGTCACTACAACAGGCTCCAACTCAACCACAGGCACGGGTGGCAACGGCGACTCCTTCGTCTGAGGAGACAGTAAAGTCGAACGCACGGGGAGCTTTGGTATCGGCACGGGACTAGTCGTGAACGACTTCTTCTCGCGCTCGCGGTATATCTCAATCAGTGCAGCCGTCCGGCTCTTGTCTCTATCCTTTTCTCCTTTCTCCGGCGTCACGGGTGCCACAGCTATAAGCTGCGGCATAATCATAATTCCCGTCCCCGAATATTTGCCATCTTTATCCTTTGCTACGCGGTGGTCTTCGTACACCAAATCTGACGCATCGAGCTGGAGGGAGTGCGTGGAAGTGGGTGCATAGTCGCTTTCTTCGGTGTCCATTGAGCCTCGCAGGGGCTGGGGATAAGCACTATCGGTATTTGCAGGCATGGGAAACTCCAACGGCGAGGGTCTCTCGGGGCTTCCATAGCGTACCTCATCTCCATCCGAGTCATCACCCAAGCTTATTGGTTGCGGCGAATGTCCAGGCCTGCGTTCTGGATGCAAATCAAAGTACCCCAAGCGTTTCGGCACACTGCAGGTTGTCGTCTTTGGATACGACATTACACTGTCCACATCCACATCCACATCCTCACTTGTTATGCTTGGCGTCACGGTCGGTATCGGCTCAGGCTCATCATCGCTTGACGGTAACTGCGCTAGAGCCACGCCTGCAAGTACCTGTGCAACCTCGTGGCTTGCAATCTCCGGGTCTTGCATGCCCTTCCCGCGTGCGCTGAACGGACGAATATCCGCATCCTGCCCACCAATCCGCCGGCTGTGTGTCGCGACCAGGATATCCACCCATGCATCGTCCTTTGAGCGCCTTCTCTCATCCCTCTCTCTCTCTCCTGCAGATGAAGATGTCATGTTATTCAGTTCATCATCTGAGTAGCTCGCCAGCCTCGTTTCAAAATCTACTGTGGCCTCTGCATATTCAGCAGGGACGACTCCTGAGCGGCGAAAACTGGGGTGGACGCGAAAGCGCGAGGCAAGCTTACGTGCAGATGTCGGGGAAATGGGCGAGTCGGAGGCTCTGCGCTCGATCTTTGAGTCTCTGTCCTTGTCTTTTGCGGGCGGCGCTGGCGGCTTGTCGTTGTCTTTTAGCCGAGTATAGAGCGGTGCAGAGATGGCCACAGTCGGTCGAGTGGGAAGAGCTGAGTGTGTGGTGGAGGGTTGTTCATCTGAAGCTATGGGAGAAAGTGCCCCTGTTGTACCGGACAACATCGGACCCCCGCTGGGCTTGTCTAGTGAAAGAACCTTACTCCCGTTTGATCTCAGCAGTCCCTCAAATTCGACTTCGCGATATGACGGACTCTTAGGGACGTGCCCGACAACGTAAGGACGCCCATTGAGTGTAGCAGCGGGTTTCCATGGGCGAGACTTGCCTGTTCATGCAGGAAAATTAGTTATGATTGGTAAGAGGCAACCGGGTGGAATGAAAGGGAGGGGAAGGTACATGTCATCAGGAAATTATCAAGGGGAAGAAAAGTTGAAACATTGAAAAGGAAACAACTACTCACTGTTAGGGGACATGAACAGAAACGGCATCCTTCGCTTCCCGCCACTGTCCTTGGCAAGCTGCTGGCGGTACTCCAAGGGCACAAACTCCTCAAACAAGACGAGCGTTGTGCTTGTTCTTGGGTCAGCACTACCAGGCGTGGGAAAGGGAGAGGATGTGGATGCAGATATCGGAAGAGACTTGAATTCAATCTAAGCGCCACATCAGCAAAAGGAAAAGTAAAAGATAACATAAAGAAGAAAAACACCCACCAATGCCCAGTTACACTCCCTCTCGACCTCTGCTGCAGGTCCCTCTGCACTCAAGATCCCGCCAATGTCCTCCCGCCAACCCCCTCCCCAAACCAAATCGCAAAATACGTCCACAAATGCCTCTTCTACCACTTCTTCCGTGCCGAGGACAGGTTCTGTGTCCCAACCAAAATCAGGTAAGGTCCTGGCGGTCTTCTTGAGCTTTTTGGTAAGATCAGCATTGTGCGAGGGCCATGCAGAGATTGTGTGAGTGAGAGGCGTGCTAAATTGGAGGGTAGCACTTAAAGGTGCATCTGTGCGTGTAAAACCAGTTGTAGAGAAGTCGGTCCACGTGAGAGTAGCACGTTTTGCAGCACGGGCCTATATGTCGACAGAAGGGCAGTAAGTATTTCTGAAAACCTGGTATGAATGTTACACGTACCGTGCGCGCGCTTTCCGTCAGATCAAACTGCAACTTCTTCTCATCCGTAGCGATCGCCCCGAATCCCATCATCTCAAATTCACCCCACTTCAAATCTGTAAGGCTCCTAAACCTCTCTTCGCCCTCCCGTAGTCCCAGGCCCGTCACAGCATCCCTGTCATCAGATAGAGAAGACGACGTGCTGCTGGTCGCAGATGCCGGAGCAATACTGGGACCGGTGTACGGGTGTACATGTGACGGTAGGTCCATACGCTTCTTGTATGCTTCTGAGTATCTCGGGGACAGCTTGAGCGAAGGCGGGGCAATCCTTTCCCATTCCTTTGATCCCGCTAGGCCATGCCCATGTGACCGATGTGCCCAGCTTGCAGCAGTGTTTACTAAGTCCGGGCTATACATCCGTACATTACGCCTTACGCTTACGACACGCACCGTACGTGCACCCCTGCGTGCTTGTGGGCGTTCATGCTTGACTGAGTGGTGCAAGGCGGGGAGGGTGGAGGGATAAGAGCGGATCCATTCTTTGAGGCGGGTAGGAACACCGAGGTCAGATGTAGATTGCCAACGGATAAAGGAAAGAAGGAGATGTTCGGTGGCATTAACGGCGCGGAGGTAGTGGATATAGGTGTGATGGAATGCGAGAGTGGCGGGACCGAGGCCGAATAGCAAGGGTCCGAATAAGGGGGAGATAGTTGGAGGTGTGTGTCCAGAGCTGGTGCTGTGCGCTGTGAACCGAATAAGCAGGCTTAAGAGAGTGAGCAGGATTGAGCGCAGAGTCGAGGGAAGAGGTGGAAGGAAGGCAGAGAAGTGTTTCGGGGGATAGTTCTGTACTAAAGTAAAGTTAGTTTAATATAAAATGAGCGCCAATAGATGAAGTGAGCGTTTGATGTGAAGTGATTGCAATGCACAGCCAGGAAGCATCAAGAATGAGGGTGAAATGGAAGAAGACAGAGAAGACGCTCACTTGCTTCAGAGTCTCGGAACTCTGTATAATGGTCCCAAGCAATGAGGCCTCTCACCGCCTGTCCACCAACAACTCTGACAACTCTGGCAAGTCCCCATCGTATACACATGCCAAGCTCGTGCGGACCTGCAAGTCTGGCCTCCTCTCTCCAACGGTGTTCCGCATCGATTCCACCCGTACATGTTTCCAGAAATGCTCTGACAAGCCCCCTAACAGAACTAGCCGAGACATCAAGTGCCAGAGTCGAAAAAATAAATGGAGTGGTCAGTGCTCTGGTGCCTAACTCGCTGGCCACGACGTCCACGAGGCGTACGACTTCATCAAGACCCAGTACAACGTGCCGCTGATAAGACAAGTATCCGTAGTCATGCGCTTGCTGCTCGTGGTCAATATCTTTGGGTTCCAAATTCAAAGGGAGAAAGGACCCATCAGGAATGTGAGCGAATGGTTCTGTCTCAGGAGTGCTAAGGGTTCGGTTTCGTGGTTTCTGTTTCCCAAGCGTACTGGGAGGGGTACGCTTGCTGCTAGTGACATCTTTGGCGGAATTTCTACTATTTACGCGCCCAAACTCGTCATAAGGCGGGTCTTGATTGCCACTCGGGTGCTTCTTGCCTGTTGTCGAAGTAGTGCGGGTCCGCGAGAATAAACTGGGCATCGAGAGCCGACGATTTCTGTTTTTGCGGATTGCTGGTAACGGTAATGTGTTGGGTTGCTCGGTTAAAGAGAAACTTTAAAAATGAGTGCGATCCAGTAGAATTATCTGGAAACCGTCGTGGTGCGGTCCACGTTAAAACAGTATCGACGTTCTATGTCCCTGGAGATGTTGAGGTGGACGGCGACGCACAATGGAAATTTTGTGAGCTCGTGCCACTTGACGACGAGGATGATGATGATTGAGAAGGACACGGCAACGGACTCAAACAAGCACCGGGATTTCTGCGGTAATTTCTCAGGATCGAGTTTCATTGTATTGCTCTCTTGCTGCTTTCATGCATGTTCAAATTCCAAAGCCTAGAAACATGTCTTGCTCGTCGTTGAAGACACTCAACGATCTTTCTAAAGTTCATGTCATTTTTTGCATGTAAGTACGTACACAGTCACCGATTACGATCGAATCAACACGCTCAAGTTATCAAAGACTGGAATCTTCACATTGATGACGCTCAAGTTCATTACCAAATATCAGCGTGCGGCTATATGACTTCTCTTCAAAATTCTTTCGACGATGAGCTGGGGACGTGCAAATCTAAAGAGCTTCCATGGAATCTCACGCTTTCGTCTACGTGGGATCACGTTGCTCATCACGTTGGTCGAACACGGTCTTGTCCTGTTCCGTTCTCATCGTTTCCGTACTTAAGTCATCATAGGTCATAGATGACCTTACAGCATGACACATTATTGTCCTGCCTCGTCACATATGTGCTGATCAGACGTTCTAATGGAGCGCTTGCCACTTAATATTGTCAGTCAAGCTTCCGATTTGGATACACGCTACCATGTGAACTCCTAGCAAGGCCTATTTTCTATGTGTTGGAAAAAATCCACTTGCGGCTTGCCTCCGCGCGAAATCAGAAACGCCACTTCCGGAATCCAGTACGTGAAACCATCATCGTATACATACGACCATTCCTAATCCACCAGGCAGGCCGTATCATCTGTTCGTACACCTATATATACTAAACCCGCATCAAACAACCAACAATTTGCATGTCCCTACCGATATGGCCGCGGTCGTACGCCCTTCGTAAGCCAAAATTGCATGTTTCACTTGTCCCGAAAATCTTATCTTGATCTTTTAGGATTGATGACATTTAAGATGCGGTTTGATTTCCAAGAGGTAATCATAAATGGTCCAATCGCTGAAATGGGCCAATTTTTGTTTATTGTCTGGGGCTATGGACTCTGTGGGTAGCGCTCCCTGTTGTCTATCGCACGTGCGTGCGTAGTCCTGGTAATGTTTAGCACCGCAGACTTCGTTTTAGTACTACTGACTTCTCCATGTAAGTACAAGAGGCGCTCGTACTAAAATCTCCGTTCCCATGGGATTGAAATACACTGCAAGTGTTCCAGAGTCCGTGTTTCGTTGCACATCTCTTGATCTTGGCTACCGCATATCACCGCCCTTCGAGGCCTCGGTTTGAGCGGTGCCGGTGATCTGCGGTGGATGTGCATAGACAGGTTGTGCGTGCATTGACACAAGCTCGGCAACCCGGGGACATGCCCTATCGGCGTGATTTGATATACACGACAACTTATCGTTCTGGCAGGTACTTGTCTTAGATATCCCATACCGAACAGTGTCGACTGTCTGACCAATAGCTGAACGTCAAATCCCAGATCAAAATCGCTATGATCCTAATATTTTGTAGCAAAAAGGACATATATTCCTCCTGCTTTTTTGCATCGCAAGCTTCATCTGTCCCTTCCGAATAAAGTCTTCTTATCCAGCAAAGAGACATGCACAGTTCGGCATGCTAACCTAACCGTTCTCGAAACTTTACAGATACTTGAGTTCTCTTACAAGCAAGGCCGCCTGAATTTTACGTCCCATCTTGTTAACCAGAAGAAGATTATGCTATGTCAGGCTCGAGGAACTTGTTCATTCTGCTCAATTGAATTATGCTGTATCTGGTTACTAATCTATCTACTTGCATGTGACTTCGCGAAGCTTAAGCGCCCTTCGAATAACACATGACCAAATAACCAGGTTTGATATCAACGTTGACATGTTGACATCGAAGTTACTGGTGCGACTCGATGCAATGCTTGGCAGTTGCCTTATCTGACTAGTGAAAGGGCAATGAATATTAATCAAGTTGAACCAACGTTCTCGCTCGGCTCAGGATCGACAGGGAAATGCAAAAACCTCTACTAAAACAGTATGGGCCCGAGTCAAAAGAAGTCTATGTAGCGAATTATCGCGAGTTCTACTTCGATTCCGTTCACGGCACGCAAGTATCAACTTTTACTAATATACGATTCCGTATATTTCTGAGAACAGGTGTGAGCTGTTCCATTGCTCACGTAGGCGTATAAAATGAGTACGGCTGGTTGATGTGGTCCTCCAGTTCTCTCCCCCTTACACACTCGTTACAAATGCCCTCCAAGGCAAGATCATTGCTCGAGCTCACCAGGCTTCACTGGTTTCCAGTGGGGTGTGACTTCATGTTCTGGCCCTTCGGTGAGTCAAAAGATGCATGGGGGACTCTACTCGTCGGCTGATTTTATTGTACCTAGCGTGGGGCTCGCTGGCGGCATCATACCATGTAGCATTACCCATGAGAGAAGTTGTCACGAACACTTTGTTCTATGCGTTGTTAGGCACGCTGGTACACAGTGCAGGCTGCGTCATAAACGACATGCTTGATCGCGAGTTCGATCGCAAAGTTGGTACGTCGATTCCGTTCTAATTGTTGCTAATCGTCTGACAAAGTTCAATCAGAACGTTCAAAAAACCGACCGATCGCGTCGGGAGCTGTCACTATGCTAGAGGCCTCGGTTCTTCTGATCGTGCTCGTTGCTGCCATCTTTTACATGTTCTCAACTGCTGGCTCTACAGCGTGAGTAGATTATCCAGAAAGTATCAAGACTTCTCTCACAAGCTAGTTTAGTTTGTTACTCGGTCTTGTTGGACTCCCAGCTTGTGGCGGAACGTATCCGCTAATGAAGCGTTGGATGTATTGGCCATCTTTGTACCTTGGTATGGCTTTCTTGCAATTAAAATTCGTGTACCGTCTTATTTAATTCCCAGGTTTTGCTGCTAGCTGGGCTGTCCCATTCACGTGGGTGGCAATCACGGGTGAGTTTGATTGGGGCATGATACTAAATGTCGGAGTCGCGTCATGCTGGTAAGTGTGCCAGAAAGGTGTTTGTTTTTCCGAGGGGCTGACGGTGCCTCCCTAGCTGGACGTGTCTTTACGACACTATCTACGCGTGTCAGGTGACTAGCCCGTTTGGTTCTACACTGAAACGTCGGCGTTAATTACGTTATATCAGGACAAGAAGGACGACGAGAAGGCTGGAGTCAAGTCCATGGCAGTCCGTCTGGGCGATGGCATTCGTCCTGCATTGAGCGTATTTGATGCGACGTTTTTCGCGTGTCTTCTATGGGCTGGGTATTTGAATGGCCAGCACCTACCGTTCTACGTGATGAGTGTCATTGCGCCCTTCCTCCTCTGTCTGTGGCACATATGGTCATTTGATCACAATGATCCCCGAGACAGCTGGAAGAAATTTACGGTACGTTGAAGTGATATAACTACGAGCTGATTCTGATATCCTATTGTTGTACTACAGGCAGGTCGCCACGGCGCAGCGTTGGTGTGTGCAGGATTGGTCGTGGACCATTACTGTAATCTTGTGTCCCTGGCCATTTGAGCGTGTACTTTCATCTCAGGCTGTATTCGAGGTGACGCCTTCAACCATGCTGTTAATGTACTTATCACAGCCTTGCAATTGCCTGTTTTTATCCTGGAGTATCGCTTTTGTTGTCTAATATACGAAGATGAGTGACGCAGACATCGACATAGTACTTACTACAGTCTTTCGCTTTCATGTTTTTATCCTGGAGTACTGTTTATATTTTTCGATATACAAACTAATAGACGAATGATGATGCAGACATCACAAATAAGTGTGATAATCACACACAGAAGGCAGCCTTGTATCAAGACTATTCGCCTCCTGTATGGCTGCAGAAAGACCTGCGTGGTAGTAGGGAAAGAGGAAGTACAACATCAGAGAACCGATGAACAAATGAGAAGGTTATTTAAAGTAATATATAATACAGCATCACAACAATCTTCGTATATCTGCTGACCGCTTCCACATGGGAATATTTGGCATTGTCGAGGAAACAACAATTTGAAAGCAAACCAGCTGAGGAACGATATTGGCTAAATGATCTCTTTCATTTGAATGTGTCTAAGAAAATGTAAACGGGCCCAGGTTCATGAAGTTTAATATGGACAGATACTGAGAGAGAAAAGAAAGGAGGTTGCGATCTGTGAAGGTGAGAAACACTGCGATGATGTTATTAGTAGTGCGGGTACATGTCGTTTGGTCTGCAGGCAATCTTGCAGTTAATTTGCTCGAAGATTGAATTTTGCGGTAGAATCGAAACACTACAGGAAAAATCTGGAGGTGAAGAAAAACGACAAAGTGTTAGCCGACCAGCAACAACACATCGATTACATGCGAAGATAACGCTCGAGCTAGGCGAACTACAAGTCCCACGGGGAAAGCAACGTTCAAGGTGTTGGATTCTTGTCTGCTAGATATAGATTGGGAATCCGTGCGAAAAAGCGTTACCTTTGCGGAGCAGCGGATGAGTTCAATATGTGAGAGATAAATCAAACTTTTGTCCCGTTTGACTTCAAGACATCTGTTTGGAATCTTCAATGTTCGTCATTAAATGGATAATTTTTCAAAGCGTAATTGTGTCTCTATGACTCAGTACCTGGGCTCGCGAGTCGACAACAGTGAGTCATGCTTCGCATCTGTACTTTCCTTATCTTTCAACGAGCATCTCATGTATTTCGCCCCGTACTAGATCCATCGCTTCACTTGCGACATACGCTGTGCCTCTATGACTCAGTACCTGGGCTCGCGAGTCGACAACAGTGAGTCATGCTTCGCATCTGTACTTTCCTTATCTTTCAATGAGCATCTCATGTATTTCGCCCCGTACTAGATTCATCGCTTCACTTGCGACATACGCTGTGCCTCTATGACTCAGTATCTGGGCTCGCGCGTTGACAACAGTGAGTCATGCTTCGCATCTGTACTTCCCTTATCTTTCAACGAGCATCTCATGTATTTCGCCCCGTACCAGATCCATCGCTTCACTTGCGACATACGCTGTGCTTCTATGACTCAGTACCTGGGCTCGCGCGTTGACAACAGTGAGTCATGCTTTGCATCTGTATTTCCCTTATCTTTCAACGAGCATTATGTCTTGCTGGAAATTTTCGAGCTTTAACAGTGCTATGGAGATCGGCGGAACCATTTTACTCCACCTGTTCATGGCAGGGTGATACTTAACCATGTCTAACTATACACAGTACATTTTGTAAGTTTGTCTCGGAGTCACCAACATGAAGCTTCATGAAGCTTAACAGGCACGATGCCTCACTGGTTCTAAAGATCGGGATCTCTCTTGTGATCTTGATGCTACTGGAAATGTTTTTCTCAGGCTTCCAAGAATAGCGCTACCACCGGAAAAATTACCAAATTGGGATATTCCAATAATCTCACTATTCCCACATACCTCCCTGGCTCTACTGCTGCACCAGAGCTTTCCCCTTACTCACTCATGTATATAAGTAGTAGAATGGCATGTACATACATAAAATGATACAATAGACCGCTTTTTTCATTGTCTGAGAGCTTGTACAGCAGTCTACAGTGCTGACTACAATATGTGCATCCCAGGACTAAAACATATTCGGTTTTTTGCCCCTTTAGCAGGGAAGCAATTCTGACTGTATATATCATATATTAGAGTGTTAATGAATATATTACACCGCTTGTTTGAGCCTCTGTAGTGTCCTACATCAGTAGATATGTTAAATTCATGAATACCTCTCAAAAAACATAAACCAGTTCGCATTTTTTAGTGTTTAGGTATATAGACTGGTAAATATTATTTCTAACATCTCTTTACTAGTATATACATCATATCAAGAGTATAGGTCAGCAGGATCAGTCCCTAGGGTCATATGTATTGTCATCTTCCTGGTGGTTCACTCCCTGAGAAAATTTTTCCTGCAGCTCTGGCCCTCTAGGATGGTAGGTAGTCTTTTACTATGAACATATGGAATATATTTATCACATAGGTATACCAGAACAATACCAGGATCCTTGTCTACAATCCAAAGTCACTTTTTGCCTACAATGTACCATATTTTCGCATTTTTGAGGTTTTCCACTACATTCTCACTACATAGACTATACCAGCTGTTCATATATCACTTATAGTACATATATGAAGCCTTCCCAAGGCCATGATCAGGCAGAAATATGTCAGAGTAATGATATCAATGATATAGGGGCAAATCCCACAATCATGCAAATGTTATATTTCAACCCTGTCTAGGGCGAAGATTTCATTAAAAATGTATAGAATACATTGTAAACTACTTAAATATACTATACTAATATATGTTGTGAAGGTAAAGGTGATGTGGAAGTGTTGTGGTCTCAATTTGTTGCATTATTATGGTTAGACCACCCTTGCATAGACTGTTGGTGCATAGTACTTTTTCGATGTTTGGACTTTTGACTTTCCCACGACCTATTTCTTATCTATTGGATTCCCCTGCCGTCAATTATTCATGGATCCTTCTGGTAGTCGAGGACTGTATTACTTGGTATATATAGTGTACTCCAAGATAGTCTGATCATAATATTTTACTATATTCATGTCTGGGAATTCTTATCAGTGAGAATAGGAGATATGTGCTTGATATCATTACTCTGACATATTTCTGCCTGATCATGGCCTTGGGAAGGCTTCATATATGTACTATAAGTGATATATGAACAGCTGGTATAGTCTATGTAGTGAGAATGTAGTGGAAAACCTCAAAAATGCGAAAATATGGTACATTGTAGGCAAAAAGTGACTTTGGATTGTAGACAAGGATCCTGGTATTGTTCTGGTATACCTATGTGATAAATATATTCCATATGTTCATAGTAAAAGACTACCTACCATCCTAGAGGGCCAGAGCTGCAGGAAAAATTTTCTCAGGGAGTGAACCACCAGGAAGATGACAATACATATGACCCTAGGGACTGATCCTGCTGACCTATACTCTTAATATGATGTATATACTAGTAAAGAGATGTTAGAAATAATATTTACCAGTCTATATACCTAAACACTAAAAAATGCGAACTGGTTTATGTTTTTTGAGAGGTATTCATGAATTTAACATATCTACTGATGTAGGACACTACAGAGGCTCAAACAAGCGGTGTAATATATTCATTAACACTCTAATATATGATATATACAGTCAGAATTGCTTCCCTGCTAAAGGGGCAAAAAACCGAATATGTTTTAGTCCTGGGATGCACATATTGTAGTCAGCACTGTAGACTGCTGTACAAGCTCTCAGACAATGAAAAAAGCGGTCTATTGTATCATTTTATGTATGTACATGCCATTCTACTACTTATATACATGAGTGAGTAAGGGGAAAGCTCTGGTGCAGCAGTAGAGCCAGGGAGGTATGTGGGAATAGTGAGATTATTGGAATATCCCAATTTGGTAATTTTTCCGGTGGTAGCGCTATTCTTGGAAGCCTGAGAATCACCAAAGGAATCAGAAGCCGTTAAGCTTAATTGTAGGGGATTGATAGTTTACAAACAAACTTACAAAACCATACCGTTTCTAGTCAGTGAGTATTATGCTTAATTTTAACAGTATAGCCTGTTTACTCCATTGCCACTTGACTGTTCATTCGCAATTCTTACCATACATATACAAAATTATCGAAAAGGCCGCTGTAATAATTTAATCGTCCGCAGCATAAATAGAATTTATAAATTTGCTTTCATCGAGAGATCGCACATTTGCAATATAGAGAATCATATTTATTATTCATGATAACATTAGCGACAGGGGAATGATATAGGGCCGGACTGAATGCGCCGAGTAACGACATAGTAAGGAGAGGGCGAGAAGCAAGCAAAAGTATAAAATAACTAGTCAGAGTCTAATTCAGCGTCCTCCATCTGCTGTCTCTGGGTAGCTAGCGTACTGACAGACATGTGAGATACAATGTCCGCCGTCAGGTCCTGCCGATGGTTTCGTCCAAAAACTTTTCTGCGTAGCGAGTTACTAGCTATCAGGCGGAGTCGTTGACGTGGATGACTTACCTTGTCCACCACTCAAGAAGTTTGTTCACTCTGGCTCGCGCAGCTGGACCTGGGGCATCCTCAAAGAAGTCCACTACATTGTTCCAGAAAATATGATAATCGAAATCTCCATCTACTGTGCGCCAGGACGTGAGGTTCGAAAGTGCAAATCGAATCTATGGATTTCATTCAGCTTCACACTTAGTAGAGACATAGATGAATCTTACCTGGCAAGCTGCATATGCTATTGCGCGAGGAGTCACTTTCCTCATACCTATTATAGAGGCAACACATGTCTTTACTTTAGCTTGATCGGATCGTTTTCGGGCGCGCCGATTGTTCTCAATAATGTCGGCGCCATCACCTTCACCATCCACTTCATGAGCAGAGGAAGGAGAAGTAAAGATTGCCTTTAACCCCTGCAATGTGATGAGCTATGTTTCAGTTAGAGAACCCAGGTCACTCACCATGACTAACAGCTTCGACTTAAAAAGCCCGCGCTCCAGGTTCTTGGTGTCAGCTTCATAGTTCTCATACATAAATGACGGCCATGAATTCTCAGAAACGATGAAAGCTGTCGTACGGTCCCGAATGCCAGCCTTGACGCTGGATTCAATATTAACAACATGCATGCAAGTGACAGCTCGGATCATAACATACACTGGGTCCTCCCAGCGCCATTCCGCTGGGCAGAGGAGTTTACCACACGCATCGCTCACGAATCCTCGATGGTGCTTGTCATCGGTCCTGATGAGTGGAGTCGGGCAACACTCGATGTTCACCCACGAAGCCACGAGTTCTTTCAGAGTCCCCGTGTCGTCGCCCCGAGCCGAGTCCGCGCCTCGCTTAAGCTAGATTGAAATGACCGAATGAGTGAGACGTGTGACAATATTCTTTGAAAACCTTTTTCAGCATGTCGTCGGACTCTTCGTGATCGAGACCTGCCAGTTTATCATGAAGCCATGACAGCGCCTTGGCGAGTTCGATGTAGCCACGTTGAAGTCGGTCTTGCCTGTTCACTTCGGTAAGCAAGTACATCAATTTGCATGAACATCGTTAGATGCTTACTCCGGAGTGGCATCCTTGTCACTTTCTTCACAACGCTGGTCATTTTCAGCAATAAGATCCTCTATCGGAGCATAAAGGTCAACCATACGACGGATTGCCCGTCCCTGCGAAACATAGAAAGTCGTCTTTCTATTAAGGAGGCATCGAATCTGCTTCAGTTACAAGCCAAGATTGAAAACGCGCATACCTTTTCTTTGTCGCCTTGTCCTGCTTCAACACTTCTACCTCCTCCATGAGGGAGGCAATTTGTCGCTTCGCCCTAGCACTAGGAGAGGTCGGGACACGCATAGAGACATGCCGAGACTGGGGGCTGCCCAAGGCGTGCACAGATTCCGACATACCAGATAAGCCTCGGAGAAGAGCAAAAAATTTTGGAGGTTGGGAAGTGCAGAAAGGATATGAAAAAGTGAAGGAGGGTGAAGGAAAGAGCCTACGAGAACTTGAACGTTTTAAATGATGGCCTGCGTCATTGACTGATCCGAAAGCAGCCTAGCGTCTAGATCGATGACTCGTCTGAAAGCGACCTAGCGTCTAGATCAATGACTCGTCTGAAAGCGGCCTAGCAATACCTTTGGTAGCCAGCCATAAGCATGTTTCTTTTCTGGCAGTCCAGGAACCTGCCGTTTGAGATGCCATTTTCCACGAGCATTTCCGGGCTGTTGCCGTCTAACGAACGAGCTTCGGCAATGATCAATAATCGGGTGCGACTCAGAGGCTCAGTCACGCACAGACTCGGACACGACGAAACAATAAGCTGGAGCGTTCAAGTTAGATGATGCCCCAGGATACCAAGCAAAATTGACGACCGCTGAGAACTGCGAGGATGTACGCTCATGGTGAGTGGAGAACTGTGTGAGGGCTTCAGAATGCTTCAAGCTTCAGTAGTAGTATGCGAAAACCTAAATAATGCACAATACGAATATGGTTGTCACGGTGCAGTTTGAGCAATCGGTGAACGTTGAACGTGTGAGCCAAATAGCTCAGACCTTTGTATTAACGCGTGATTCGGGTGAAGATGAGAGAACTAACATTGAGAGAGTCGATGCGTGATAGTAAGGCGAGAACAAGAGACTCGCGAATAAACATTAACAGCGAGAGAATTAATATTGAGGAGAAGGAAGAGTAGAGGATAGCAAAACTACTAGTACAGGAGAGATGTGAAGGTTTTTGTAAAACGAATCAGACGAGACTCCGGCAACACTACAGCGCGAGGAGTTGCGGAATGCAAAGCAGGCTACATTGGACAAATTCTGGAATACCAAGTAAACAATAGCACAAAGTCAAATGGAAACGCGAGGCGAACCGCACCGTTCGATCAAATGCTACTTTGACTACCATTAGAAGCGGGAGTATTTTCTTCATTCTCATCGCCATCATGGGCTCGTGCTTTCTTCTTTCCTTTAGCCTTCCTTCTCTCCTTTGCAAGTTCGGCCTTCATGTGAGATTTGGAAACACAGCTCTGGAAGGTATATGCGGAGCCCTCCGACATCCCGACTTTCTCTTCATAGAATCCAACACTGAAATGAGCCGCTGTAGGCAGATAAAATATGCCGTGATCCATCAGTTTCTCGACATATTGGGGAAAGTTCATGGCAGGATAATGAGAATGGACGGTCCTAAGGACGTCCTCAATATGTTGCGGCTCGTCGTCGTCGTCGGACTCCTCATCGCTCTCCATATAGAGCGCAAAAGTCCTCTTGAGCGGTTGGAGAGCCATACGAGCTTCTCCTCGTTCTCTCGCAAACATTCCTGAGTTACCAGAGGTCATCTCATTGGTGGTGGGCGAAAGGTGAATATGATTATGTATGACGGGTGATATGATTTCGGTGGACACCCTCTGGAGCGACAACGGAGTTCGCTCCTTACGTGTCTTTCGAACTTCATTAAAATGGGGTGTCCTGGGTAGAGTGACGAAGTCTGGAACTCCAGTTTCATACTAAAATCCACAAGAACATAAATTATGCCGTATCCTTGCAGGCAAATAAACGTGCACGCACCAAATATTTAGCCCACTCCTGCAGGTCCCGTGTGCACAACGGATAGTGTGGAGCGTCGGGATGAGATGCATCGACCCAGCAGAATGTGTCCTCTCCAAGCTGATGGTCGGAGCAGCGTAACTTACTTGTGACTGTTGCCAACTCTTTTTTGTACTCGCCCGCAGGAGATGTACCTGCCTGTTGTCGTATTTGCCTCTCTTTTCGAGCCTGCAAGTTAATGTCACGTTGTGCCGCAGACTGCTTGAAACCATCCAAACACGTACAGTATTGAGAATTTCGATAAAAACTTGCTTAGTTTTCCTGCCAGATCCCTGTTCCGTCCTCGCAGCTTTGAAAGCGCTATCAAGATCATGCGATGTCAAAAGTCGATGAGGTGGGTCTAAGCGGCGGGCGGTAGACAAACGCCACCCCAAGTGTTGATATGTCTTTGAGACATCCATCGTAGCCTTAATTGAGTCGAGTATGTCTATGCGGCAATCTGCTTCGGAGTGAGAGCGGTCCACATAAGTAGTTGATTGGTTTCTATCCAGAGTGTGTAAAGGAATTCTAAACTCGACTAATGCAACACGACATGATCAGCATCTCATCAGACCTGAAATACACACGCTTAACGTACTTTTGTCGAGCTGAACCTGGCAAGGCTGTTGTGCGGTGAGTTCTTCTAATGATGGGGTTTGAGTCATCGGCTCATAAAAGTGCCGGACCGCGCGCATGCGAGTGATCTCACTGGCCCCGACACTGGGCAGGTCCGGACGAGTTCCAAGGAGGAAAGCTGTGGTTTGTGCACGAGTACGCTGACGAGCGGAAGTAATTGATTTGATCATAGAGTTAATAGAAGACTGCAACCTGAGAGCGTCACCGGATATAGCGAGAAAACAAAATATTTGAACTCACCACAGCTTTATAAACGTGACGAAGGATTTCACCATACATTCAAATCATCTCGACTAGTATGCTGTCAATCTCAGAGAGAAAGGCTGGGCAAATAATGATCGTAAGCATCTTGCCCGGGGCTAACTACTTACGACTCGATACAGAACTGATTTGAGCCATCGACCGTGGCCTAAAATGGATCCTGCCAAGTTTAGCTTCGGCACCGATGAATTTGGAGTCGGAAGTTTAAAATGATGAATCTCACACAATTTAATCATATAAGTAGTGCCTCCGAGTTACGCTGAAAACGTCATGGAATGTTGTATACCATGACAGATCCCATAATCGCAGTTTTGGCAGTCTTCGGCTTATCACAGACAAGCGTTTTGATCGACTTGAATGCGCAGATAGCTATAGGCTGAGGTCGCAAGTAGCGTTGGTCGAGTTCGCATGCGACAAGTGAAGCTAGTGAAGAACAGGGCAAGACTCCGAGTCAATGCGCCTTAATAATCGCCTGTTCAATGTTCAGGGTTGCGCTCAGTCAAGCCCATTGCCCATCATGATCGCACAGCTTTACCACGTCCGCCAGGTTCCTGGTCGAAAAGTTTGCGTCTGATCAAGGTATGACCTCCCGAAAGAATCGATGATAAATACGAGGGTCAGGATTGTCATTGGATTGCTTTGACAAAATATTCAATATCTGAAATAAAACGATAAGCAACACGCACACAACATTGTCAAATCTGCCCAAGAAAGCTTCCGACGGCAGGCCGTAGTCATCATTTGTCAAGGATACATGCGTTTCAATCATCTTTAGGCTATACTTCTGGTAGATACAGGAAATTCAACACATGACAGTCACACCTACCAAATATCCAAGTCATGACGGTCCGTACTTACAACAACCCGAAGGTCACGCTGACAACAAACAACCCTCGCCTTATCATACTCATGTCAGTAGATATTGTAACAACGAATATCGAGACTCGCACCTTAGGCATCTGACTGAGGGCCGTTGTCAGATGTCAAATTTTCCATAGCCACACCATCAGCATCTTCCTCAGGCACACACGACTTTACATCCCCGATGTGATCCAGGGTTAAGTTGGCGATAGCGAACGATCTGTAATTGTGGCTGTATGCACCCACATCAAAGTCCTTGGCCACCTCAAGATCCTCCCTGCTTCTTCCAACCAAATATCTCCGGAGAAAGGCAGCTTCCTTAGCATCGATGGTATACGTTTCAACTTCTTCTTGGACAATCATTTCAAGAAGTGTCTGATATCGGTCCTTTGCCTCGACCGCCCAAGCCGTTCCCAGAACGGCCATGCGCTTGGCTTCACAGTCAGCTTCCTTCGCGGCAACAGCTTGAGCGATGACCGTCTGAGACAAGCGTTTCAGGCAATCCTCAAGGATCGATTTGCCCTAGCGTTGGGCTGGTCAATTGTTCTGAGATACTGTATGTCAAATTAACATACCCCTTCGACATCTGCCACACTCATATCATTGTCGCCAGATTCGAGACACCTTCGAAAAAAACGGAGCTCTAACGCATTTGGCACCAGACCATGGGGCTGCTCGTAAGGCTTGAACCTTTTTTGCGCATGCAGAGCGAAGCTAGGCAGGCGCTTCATAATGTTGGAAGGAGGGCGTGGAAGTGCAAAGAGTTCATGGTCTAAATCAGGGGAAGTGTCGCCAGATGTTGGTGATCGTTTACGACTGCTAGAGCGTAGTATGGAACGTGTTGTCATATGGCTGCGTTTCTTGTCACGGTGACGTGGACTCGAAAGGTCAGGCGGAGAACTGGGTGGAGTCTGGACGAGAATTTGAGACTCATCACTGCTATCATGGTCGTAACTAGAGTCTCCGAAAGAGCTTGGAGGAGTGGGATGGGTGTGGACAGAAGAAACTTGAGGATTCCGCATGATAGTGTCTGACCGAGACTGGAGACTTGTGATGGGTGTCGAATGAACCGGCGGGGATTGAAAGACTCACAAATCTCAGGCTAGCGCTGCATATTAACCTGTTCCTATCGCATTTTAATATCACTCAATTGGTCATACAGACCATACAGGAAAGCTTCCATGCGGTCATGCGTGGAACTCTCGACCAAAGCGTGCTCTTGCCACGAACGCACTGAGCAATTCCGAGTCTGACTCCCGGGAGATCTAAGGTACGATTCATGTAGCGCTAAAAAATTTGAAGCGGTTTCAATCAAACTTTGTGCCGCAGCTTCACTACTAGACTCAGCCGGCCTCAACCTCACATTTGTAAGTTCTTGTTCCAAGTTGCGCCGGGCCCTCTCCGAGTCAAGGCTAGGTCACTGCTGTTAGGACCATCAGTCGCCATGCCCTCGGGTGGATAACAAGTGTTATGGTTATCCATCCGACAATCGACACTTGTTATCCATCTCATGGTTGATGCTCGTTATCCTTTTGACGATATCCTGCTAGTGACTCTCTTCCTCTGAATTTCCCTTTCGCTTAGGTTGCTGCAACATGTATAACGATGGAACCCCCCACCAGCACAGTACTCAGGATGGCTCAGGCCAGTCATCGCCCAAAATAATGGTTCTCCAAGACGACTCTGATCCCAACCAGTCATTTGATTGGTTGCACAGCACCTTTGGGTGTAGCGCCTCGGACATGCAAAGGGCTTTTGATTTCAACACCCCCATCATGACCAGTGACCGGGTAGACGCAGAACCAGAGTCATTACCAGGCTCGCATCCCATGATCGATAACATCCACTACCCCCGCCTTTTTTCTCCCCAGGTTCGTCATGCACCGTACACCATCCCACGCCGATATCGTCCATCTCCGAGTCCTCGGGAAGGGACATCTCAAAGTGCAGCATCATTTGACCCATCTCCAAGTCCTGTGCTGGATGTGCTGCCCCCCGCACCAACAGCACCATTAGCACCATCTCCTGCGCTATCTCCCGCGCCATCTCCTGCACCATCTCTTGCACCAGCAACCTCAGCTCAAATTGTGCCCTCTATTCTGTTTGGTCTTGCTGATTTAACTCAAGCAAAGTTGGTGGCACTGTTTCGGTTGAAGTGCAAAATCTTCGCTAGCTCCTTCTTACCGAGCGACGACTCAGCTACAAAAAAAATGGCAACCGATTGCCTGGACGAAGTGTGCCGCAACAGCCGTAGGTCCACTTGGAACATGAGCTGTTCCGATTACTGATTGAGTGCTACAATGACCTGTAGCTGAACTTTCCGCCTGGACCAAAACGACAAATGGCAAGGACGAGATCGTCAAGATGTGTAGCGCTCTTGTCACCATTAGAAAAAATATGCAGGCTTTAACCCGCAGCGCTGTACTCTGGGGGTACGGTTTGCATCAATTACTGCATACAGAGAAAAAGGGTGTGATAAAGGAATTTGTCGGTAGCCTTCTCATCAACGAGGCCTTCCTGCGAGGCGTCATCACTGTTAGTCATTTTGTTCTTATTTCTTGTCCGAGATTCACACGCTACTCCTCCAGGTTAATGGAGAACGCGTTAATATCCCTTTTGCGCATCAAGCATTGCAGTATTACATTCGGCAGCTACTTTTCCACGACAAGCAGTACAGAAAGTTCATTGGCATCGAACGGAATCTCAAACCGTTGTACACTTATACAAGTGTTTTATTCAAGTGGGCATTGACTGAAATGTCCAGCGGAGCATTCAAAGATACGGATTTTAAAATCATCGATGCTACTGCGGAGCATGACGACATGGTAACACTATTTGAGACTCTGACGAAAGAGCAGATTGATGCTCTCACCACAAGCGTTTTTGATTAAGGTGAGCAGCTCAGGTGGACAAAGGACATCGCATTGCTGATACTACATTACTCAATCCAGCAGAGATCAAAGGGACCGACAGAAGTGGGCCAGCCTCACGGAGCAAGAGGCTTGAACTTGGAAACCTCACAGAAACACGTTAAATTGGAGTGCCGGTATCGATGTAGCATAGTAACAGTAGTATAGAGCGATATGCCAGTCTTGTATTTGCCCACAAGACTGACGTGCAGACGGTTGTATTCAGAGTCATGAAAGATTGAAAAAATCGGGCCATATGCTGAGTGAATGGACCTACTACTATGTGCGTAACGTTGAGCGACACTTGCAAATGAAATAGATATCATGAAAAAATTAGAACTCACATTGCAGAGATGATCTGGTGTTACTAGTTCGGCCAGTGATGAAGATAATGGGGCCATGATTTGATGGTGGGGATTGGTGCAGCCTCAAGGACAACCTGACGAAGAATTAGATATGTAATGTGTGAATATAAATAATAATAATTCAGGTAGATATGAGGGAATGAGGGCATGATACTCCACAGTTCGGCTCGGGGCAAAACGGCTGTACCAGCCTGCCTCACTGTAAGGAGGAGAGGAGGAAGCAGTACTACTAGACGAGACTTACCAATTGTAGGACTACCTAGGCTAACCGCCAAACCCAGAGTCCTGTTCAACCTCACTGATGCCAAGACCTCTGGTTTCTGCAGCTCAAGATCAGGAAAAAGCGGTCAAGTGGTACAAGGTCACGGTGAACGTACTATAGTTTCACAGATGTAACCAATAGCTTGCAAAGTAGCGATTCCGTGCTGGATATGTACAGGGACTGACAACTGTCCCTGTACCCTCTTCTAGGGTACACTGGTGGCAGGTCCCAGAAAATTTCTCCGTGAGCTCGATCATGACGGCTCCACACCGGCCCGGTAGCCACGATCTCTTTTGGACTTTAGCTTTGTCATCATGACTCCAGCTGTTTGGTTGTGCTCAATTGCTCGTCTCTGTTCAAGTTGTTACTACTATGGCTTCCGGTTCATCCTCCACTGTCAATCTAGCTTTCTCCCGTGTCTCTCGTGATTTCTGACCGCGAGCTTGCAGACGATCGGGTCGTCTGTTATGTCATTATGTGTCCTGCGCAAGTGTTTTGGGTTTTTAGAGGTCTCCCGGCGCGAGCGTACAACAGAAGTACTTGGGAACGATCAATAGGAGACGAAAAATGTGAAACGATTAGAAGGGTACAGGAGGGTACAGGTAGTGTGCCCGGCCCAGGGCCATTAATATTGTGAATACTTAGTAGTTACACTCAATGTTGTTTCGCGGCATTCGCCGAATTAATATGTCATGATTACACCCTTATCTTGTGACTACTACCACACTAGTGCTGTTGAACAGTCATGCCAACTTTAACTGTGGCTAACACTAGCCTTTATGTCTGCCATATATCCCTCATATTATGAACCTGCAACTAACCCTCTCCACAGGGAACACCTCTGCCTATGACTTGGAAGTCAAAGGTTGAAAATGGCCATCTCACTGATGTCAAATCAGTCATTCCAGTTTTCAGACCACTAGGTAATGGAACTGAGTGTACGATCACCACCTCCAATTCGAAGACATCCTTACCACCTGGCATCCGTGAGACCTGAAAAGACCAAGATACCCAAACTACAACAGGCTTCTGCTGCGGTTATGGTCCCCGCGCGTCCTTCATTTGACTTGGACGACAAAGGTTATTGTCGTCCAAGTCATAGCCTTACTTCAAGTACGTTATATGAGAGTCGAAGATCTAACCGATTCTGATTGATATTTGAAGATGGGCGACAGATACTGAAAGAAATAACCAAAAGGACTCCAGAGACTGGCCATGTCATGGTGAGTGAGTGTTTTGAGCGGATTCTCCCATGCTTATCAAATATTGCAGGAGTTTCACGGTGTTACGCCACGGGAGTACTATGTATTACAAAATGTGCTAGAAGAGACGGGCCGAGTAAAGCCCAGGCGTGTTTATTATTTCTGTTTCTGGTGATTAGTATTAACTAAGAAGTTAAGGCTCTCCTACGACTCTAACGAGCGCGTCCTCCTTGTCGACATGCCTAGTGCCATTCACGAAGCGCCATTTACCAAACTCAAGGATTCCCTTGCCTCTACATTGCAAAGTCTTCCTTACGATCATAAACTCATTTGTTCGGCCGTTAACATGAACTTAGCATTAGAGATTGAAGGTGCATCAGTCATGCCTGATATCTCTATCGCGTTGATGAAAGTGAAAGGACTCCGCAATGAGCTGTTGATTCCGTTCATCGCAGAGTGCGCATGCTCAGAGACCTGTGGCGCACGCTTTGGATAAGATGAAGAAGACTATCAGGGCTCATCCGGAGGTCACTATGGCCATCTTAGCGGTAGTCCGTGAGGCGAAGGTGTACGAGTCTCCGAAGGAAGGTTCCGTCGCATCAGCAACTCTCTTAACTTCGCAGAGGCCTATGCCTCGTAGTGAATTCATCGCCGAAGAGTTCCCGCCCTGCGAACCTGTCGAGATCGCGGGTCATACCTGGTGTCATCTCAGCTCGGTGGAGTACATGGTGTGGGTAAAGCCAGACGATGCAGCGCAGTTAGATCTTGATGATGAGGATGAACAGTATATGGCACGCGGCGTACGTTTTTGATCAGAGTCGCTGACTCGAACGTCTTTAATCCTGATGCAGGCATTGTTCCCTGCGTTCCGCATGGGCGCCGTCATGAATATGATCCAACGAGGGTTGGAAAAGGTTAGGGATGCTTTCGCTGCTTACAGTGAACACCTTGATGAGACTGTCGATGTCACTCGCCTCGAGGAAGCTGAAGTAGTTTTTTCAATTGATTGGGACGACACCATCACATTAATGCATGACGCGGTGCTCTCAACCTCTTACGCTCGGTACAAACATTGGCATGAGGATGCCCAACTCAAAGACGAGCCTGTGCAAATCACAACAACCGGAAAACGCATACGGGATCCTTCGTATTCCCCATCTGAGTCTTCAGCATCGGATGACGCTGACTTACAAGAGACATCCACTCGTCTTTCTCGTGGACGTCCCAAGCGCAAACAGTGTCCCACCTCTCAGCCTCCTCCTCACAAGTCCAAATTAACTGGTGAGAAACACCGCGATTAGCCGCACTCCATGAACAGTACCAGTGGGTAGAAAGTGTCAGTTATCATTTGACGGTATCGGATTGTATTTCTGACTCAGACTCAACAGTGTTACTAAAGTCGACATGTTTCTCATGATGAACTCCGAGTCTCGCTACAATCTTTGGCAGGTTAATAGAACCGTGTACTACATATCTCGATACTATTCCGAGTCCTCACATAGTACTAGTACTACTATCATGAACAAATTCTGCTGTTGTGTCGTGCACCTCCTGGTTTCCGCAGAGGGCGAGGCCCTTGGAGATATAGCCGATCAAGGAGGGCTCAATGCTAACTGACTATGTCCGAGTCACCATCCAGGTTAACGCATATTAAGTGGGGCCTGACAGGTCAGCATATTTTACCTTGGTTGCATCCTGAAGCGCGTCGTTCCAGGCAAGCTGTCTCGCCATGACGAATGAACGATTGGCAGTCACGGTAATCTCAGGAAAGGAAAAGACCAGACATGAAAAGGTTATAGATTACTCATTGATTTTGGCGACGCTCGTACAGTACAATGTGGTTCTGATTATAGCAGTTCTGCAGCAGATATGTACAACACTAGTATACGAGAACACATCAGAACATGGCATATCCAGCCATACATCCTCGAACGACTTACCATTATTCCCGCGAATGAACGCGTCCCCGTATCGATTCGTGACTACCCCATTCACATCTTCCTCAGTCTACCCCAGCACAATGTTCATATATCCATCTAGACATGAAAGCACGCCTACGCACATAGGCTTGGTTTTAGATTGATGCAAGGCAAAGGAAAGGATACCTCAATAATCAACACCTGATGTGAGACGCACGATAACCTTTTCCCGACCACGCCTTTAAAGAAATCTGTTGGTGTGCCCGTTGATGCTGATGCTGATGGTGGAGGTGGGTGTGTGTCGATATCTGGCGGTGGAAGCGTTGACTCGTCCATGATGAAAGTCGAGTCCAAATCAAAGTCAAATATTTGGACTTGTTTGGTTTCCGCGATGCGACCTTGTTGATTTCACCCGAAATTTGTCGCGAAGGGTGATTCGAAGAGCGCGCGCTTGATAGGATCATGCCAAAAACAGACTTGGTCCACTCGGAATCTCGGATGCTCAGATCTCTGACTCGGGCTCCCCCATATCTGACTCGTCGTAGCATCTACAGGTCACAAGTTAGCTTTCTTCGCGTCTATTCGACAGCCATGCTACTCCAATAGCGTCTTCTTCGCAACCTGCCCAGATACCCGCCCTCGACGGACCACCGTGACACGCTGGAAATGCAAAGAAACCAAAAGAGAAAAAGGACAAAACGGCGGCGGCAGCAGCATCTCAGTATCCACTTGAAGTGAGCAATCTTCGCAGATGTTCTTCAAACTTTGACTGACTTATGAGCAGCTCCAACCACTGCCATCAGATTGTGCGTGCCCTTTATTTCTTCATCTACGTTGTAAACTCGTTGCAGCTGACTCAAGTAAATGTCATTACTCCCTCGAATGCATCAATAGTACCAGAGTATATCATTCCGAATGTGCGTTATCTTGTGCAAGATCCAGAGGTGTCGGTCCGGGCAATGTATGTGCAGTGCATTGCTCCCCTAGCTCAGACTGCCGACCGCTATCTCGAGATGGGGCAAGCCCTTAAGGCATACAGGTGGTTCTCCTGGGATCAATGGTGACAGACAAGAATACGAGGAAATGCACTTCGAGGCAAGCCATATGAACACTCTTTGCTTTTCCCCTTATCTAAGACTTGTTGATAGGTATCGTACAATGTCATGAAACAAGACCTCCTCCTCTCCATCCAGGAACAGTTGTCAACGCTTCTCATGGATCCTTCTCCCATTGTTAAGAGAGCGGTGCTGCATAATATCAATGCACTTTGCATCTTTCTTGGCAGTCAAAGAACGAACGATGTCGTCTTGAGTCATACGATCACGTACTTGAACGACCGAGACTGGCACCTTCGTCACGCGTTTTTTGAGAGCATTGTCGATGTCGCGGCGTGTGCTGGAGGTCGGAGCCTAGATGAATATATTCTGCCGCTGATGGTACAAGCACTTTCTGGTGAATTTTACTGCATGGTGGAATGTTTCTGATACCCCTGGTTTCAGATGTGGAAGAAAGTAGCACGGGTACTCGCCGCCCTCACTAGCCTCTGCGAGTTGGGTCTGTTTCAGAAGATACGCATTTGGGAGCTGATGAGTACCGCTCTCCCGTTTTTCTACCATTCCAATGATTGGATACGGCAGGGTATGGGCTATAAATCCCTTTGATCCGCAAGACGCTCACAGTTTGTGCAACTTCAGGTGCAGCCTCCTTAATTGCGGCTGTAGTGAAATGTCTACCTCAAAGTGACGTCTGGTGTATCATATACCCTTCCTTGCGTCATCTGTTGCGTTCGGATGTGAAGGAGGTTGAAGAACAGAGTCTTTTGTCGGCAATGAAGTCACCGGTAAGTCGGATTTTCACAGAGCTGGATTCGCTACTCATGATTTAAAGTTGCCACGTCCCGTTTTTGATGGGCGCTGTCCAATGGGCAATGAAAGCAGAGAAAACCTCCTTTTGGAGGGGACATCGTAGACCAGCATCCAAGGTGGAATCCCCGAGGGAAAGCATAGTTTCCATGAGAAAGGGGGGAAACACGACTATTGGACGCAACAAGTCAGAAGAGTGAGTTTCTCGATTTCAAGTCTCCGTGGGGCTAATATGTGCAAAAGGGACGAAGTGCAGTTGCTGAAACTGCAGAACCTTGGTATGACATCCGCTGATGAAGCGAAGCTCACGGCGATGCGGGATTACATCCTCAAGCTGGCTAATAATGCATCAAGGTTGGTTTTTCTTTTGATATCCTCTGGCTTTTTTATTGAACTTGTAGTAGTTTTGCATCCAGACCAAAAACAGAACCAGAATTTGAAAGGAATATTTGTTCGATGGGAGATATTGAACTACAGAAGTTATCTGTTGTTCCTCAGACAGTCTTCCTCAAATCAAAGCCCTCTATGTCTGATCTAATACCCAGACCTTCTCGCTTGGCATCCTATTCACGCAGGCCAGGTGACCTCCCAGGACGCTTCAGTACACCACACATGAGCAGGGCTTCCAGTGTCGACCGTGGAGCAACTAATCCTGCACTGGAAGACCTAAAGCCGAGATTAGCTGCTATGAGCGGCTCTTCATCGTCGCTCAACCTCACCGCTACTGCTCGGGAACGCCAGGCAGTGCAATCCCCCTCTCTACCGCCTTCAAACCCGCAGCCAGCAACTCTTGCGCTTCGTGCTCAGCCTGCGGGACATGATCGCCCGAGCAGCCCGACAGATTCGGTTGTGTCTAATACTAATTCATCGACTATCCGGACTGCGCATCGGTTGCATGTTGGAAGTACAGACGGACAGAAGGCTGCCCCTGCGGTTGGCTCATCTAATACGAATGCAGTAGGGTTATGCAGGCACCATCTAAGATGCGTGCAGAAGGTTCTCCTGAACAACCAGGAAGATCATCACCAATTTCACTTGCTGGAATTGCAAGAGGTGTGATCCGACCCCGTATAGCCTCCATGTTGCCTATCTCGACCTATGGTACGTTTTAAACCATCATAACATCTGCTTGCATGATTTCTGATATGGTTTGTAGATGGGCCGGAGCCTGGAATCAACAATCGCGAGTTGCAGCATGACTTCGGTCCAAAGATGCATGAAGGACCTATTCGTCGACGCAATACAGCCAGACAAAGCTTCATTACGCGCAATAGCAACAACCGGCGAACGGAAGCCACTCTCATTGCTCACCTCCAATCTCACACTGGCTGCGTCACCCGGGTTGGCTGTATCTCCAGGTCATGTGTTCTTTGTTTCATGTTCAGATGACATGTCTGTTAAAGTATGGGATACAGCACGGCTGGAACGCAGTGTGACGAGTAAACCTTGCCATACGTATAGTCAGCATCATGCGCGTGTCAAGAGCGTATGCATACTGGAGGGCATGCATTGTTTTGCTAGTGCAGCGGAAGACGGAAGCTTGCATGTCATCAGGGTACACGTCAACCAAAGTGGGTCTTTGCCGAAGTATGCAAAACTTCAGACCATTCGAGAATATCGAGTGGACTCGCCTGGCGAATATATTACATGCATGATTCACTACAATTCAGGTAAGGATATGTTTGGTTCCAGCTTGCTTGGTGAAACATATCTTATCAGATGTCGCCTCGAATCTTGTCTTTGCGACAACACACTCTGTCATCACCATCCTGGACTTGCGAACCATGCGAGTCTTACAACATATGCAAAATCCACGTCATTTTGGACCCATAACTTGTATGTGTCTAGACCGCAAACGCATGTGGATTCTCGTGGGCACTTCTATGGGTGTGCTCTCACTCTGGGACCGACATTTTGGCCTACTTATGAAGAGCTGGCAAGTTGGCAAAAGTTCTTCAGGAAAATTTGCAAGAGTAAACCAATGTATCATCCATCCAACCAAAGGGAAAGGGACTTGGGTAACGGTTGCCATCGAAGAGCTGGAAGGGTGGTTTAGACTGTGGGATTTCAGCAAACTTGAGCGTACATATGTGGTGGCTGGCCCAGAGTCAGAACATGACAGGCCATCGTACAGGTGAGAGACTACGTGTTCTGCTAAAGATCTTTTGCTCACTACGACTTTAAGCACTGTGCAAGCCACAGATGGTTCTCCATACGTCAGTAACGTTGAGACATGGGCACATTCGTCCAGCTCAGCTAGTCAGAGCAATCGACCTCCGCAAAGGATGTCGATGATTACCCACAACCAACAGAACCTTCTCAGGTCACATTAGGATATCGTGACTTGTCTGGCTTGCATCGATTCCCCATTCCGAGGAGGCATTGTGAGTGCCGACAGAGCCGCAGGGGTGATCAAAGTATGGAGGGTCGGAAGCACCGACTCGTAGTGACCTGCGTATTTACTTTGAGTATTATATCTTGTTTACTTGCTTCCGTACACTTTGCCATGCTATCGATTAGATTCTACTGTAGCATCGAGCGCGCCTAAAGCTAAGCTTTTTACTGTGAGTTTATTTATCAAAAGCTTCGATCCAAACAAACCAACATTATTAGACTTTTCTCTCACTAACCTAACTTTACGTGTACTACTACAGTCTACAGACAACCAACCAGCATGAGAACAGCCCATGGAGGTGCCCGCGGGGAAACCACATGCTCATGGAAGAGCGAACACTTCTCTTCAAGTCAGAGATCCAAAACCCACGCCTCACATTCAAATGGAACATGTTGCATCAGTTACTAGCCGGAGTAGTAGTAGCGGAACTCGAGCAAGGCGGGGATGCGTGAGACCAAATACCTTGACTCATTCTTAGAGCTTATCTTTATTAGGTGCTAGCTTGAAGGATTCCAAGGTGCAGGAACGGTACAGAGTGTTCGTGGGTGAGAAGGTGGGTGTGCACTGTGCTTGATGGCATTCGGGATGAGGCGGCATCATGAAGATCACAGCTACACAAGTTCTGGACAGAGAAGCAGATGAAGGATGGGCAGGAGAATATCTTAATTTTGTTTCGTGAGTCTCGCGTCCCTTCTTGACCAAGAATCTATTCCAAACTTTACTCCACAGGAAAGCTTAGAGAAGGAATCTTCGCGTCCAAGCGGAGCGATGCCTATGCAATCGAAGGTATGTTAACTTGATCTTGCATTAATTTTTTTATCGTTTATATATCCTGCAGTGTACGAAACCTCTCTTTGCCTCTCCTCGCTATTCGACTCCCCAATCCAGACATCTTCTATTCTCTCTCACCTCCTGCCCAAACTCTACACCTCTGCCAGCCTCCAATCAGCTCGGTGCTGATACTGCTTCTTCACCACTTAATCGCTGGGTATCCATCACAAAACTTTGCACATCTTTCGTACCTCTCGCCCAACGTGCTCGATAGGACATCAGAAGCATATTCATGGATATCAAATCTAGCAACAAGCCTCCGCACCCTTAACCACATCAAGGTTGAAGCACTTTCACGGCACGATGCACACAGGCAGTTCCTTTCTGTTTCCAAATCATCTGACGAAACAAATGACGTGCTGGTCCGTCTATCACAAGATGCGGTGCACGCGCTGGTGGAACGGCTGAGAAGCAAAGCAAGGGATAAGGCGTGGGTGCTGCTGCGCAGTGCATACAGGGAGCTATCAGCTTCAGAAGAGACTCAGACTTGGATGGCCAAATGCTTACTGCTTTCAACCGAGCAGACGTCTAGATCAGGTCTTTCTTTACAGGAGTGGATGGATGGGCGATGCCGAGACGGTCACCTTCGGCCAAAGGAAGGGGCAGTAGGAAGATGGATTGTCTGCAAGGTCAGATGACCGCTACTACTTGTATTGATGTTAATATAGTGTACTATAGAATGGTTATGATAACTTGCGGCCTCAGAGTGTCCTACAGACATTGGGGTACATGGCACAAACTCTCTTCTTCTCGTATCTGAGTTTCAACCGAGATCCATCTTGCCCATGGGCGACTGGTTCTATAGCCTTATCGGAGGCTGGATTCTCCTCTGATGTTTATTCGACCTTCTTCTGCATCTTCTTCCCGAAGAACGAGCTTGCCTTCGTGTGCTGCATGCCGTTCGTTTGGGAATGCACCTACAACGTCTGGTCACCTCCAGTAGTCTGCATTATATGTGAAGTGATTGAATAGTGAGCCTCATCCCTTTCTAGATCTGGAAGGAAGCCTCTGATACATCGCAGTTTGGATACATCGACACAGTGGTCACCGTACATTAGTATAATGATGAGGAAACGAACTCATCTGCCTAGGGTTCTCCTATCACCCCCAACAAACATAGTCGATTATGTGAACAATCGACAGAGCCATGCGCGACATGAGGGAAACACTTCGCTCCATGGCCAAGTTAGAGAGTTGCTTCGCCCGGAAACGGAGACAATCGTGGAGCTTGCATTCGTGCAAGAGCGGTAAAGTGTGTTGTGATAGGTGAGAAAGTAGTCTAATACATCATGACTGTTCTTCCATATCAGCGTACTGACGTGGCCTGGAATAGGCTGTATAGGCTTCCTTCGTTTACTCCATGACAGCCAACGTGAGGACTCGTCACTCCCTCATGTGCCTTTTGCGCCCATTCAAACCTATTTTTGGTACTGCTTCGTGTTCCGCCGCCTCTCCTGCCTCACTGCCTCAGGTAAATTGCAGTAGCAACCTGATATTTGTTTCCTACTCTCGGTAATCGCGAAGTACTGGGGTATTGAAAGGTACCGATACTATCGAGCTCTTGGGCGGCCGCGCGGCTCCCGGCTTTGTCGACACTGGTTGTACTTGGCTTCTCTTTGCCACCAATGGGTACGCACATCCATTGTGATATTTGACCCTCACCGAGTGTGCAGAGGCTTTCCAGACGCACAAAGAGAAAAATTCTGGTCCTTACGATGAGTGAGTTTAGTTTGATGAATCGCTGATGTTCTGTTGATTCATGTGGATTAGCACCATGGAGATACAATGCGAAAACATCTCAAGTTTAAATTTCGAGATCGGCGGTGTAAGGCGACAGCGCTTGCATGACGAACCTTTGATTAAAATTTAATAGACCATCTATGAGTTTATCCGTAACGCTCAAATGTGGCAGCGTGAACTGAATACCCTTTAAGGTTGCTTTAAGGCAAGATTTATCTCATTGTACAGCACTTTGGTACATCAACATCCACGAGGAATAGGTTGGACTTCATCAGTACATCCCAAACATGTTGCTGCATCCGCTTATGCTGGTACTGAGCGACTCGCTAGACCTAATGTTGTTCATAAAATTTGATTTTTGCTTGTCTTAGTAGGACAAATGGACATTATGAGACTTATTCAAATTGTACACGAACTACGCGTAGGTGTGACTGAAATGGGCAGCCACATACGAGGAGGTCATGTATTTGAAATCATGATACGACATTGCAGCCAGCTAACTTCCCTTGGCACACGTGATTCTCGCTAATGCGGAACCTTTGGAGGGCATTTGGATCTTTGGCAAGTTCGTGGGAATGGGTCATGTCTGGTGCCGTGCGCACGAACGTCCTTGAAGTATTTAGTCTTGTAACCAGTACTTGAGCTTAAGCTTCAGTAGTCACGTACTGCCAAATATCACATCAATGCGGTTAGTAGCGACTATAGTACCATACGTAGTAGGTGACGAACAGCGCCCTGAAACGTTATGTTCAGCGAGCCTAATACGGTATAGTCTGACTCGGATCCGTTCAGTACTAGTACTACTGCCAACAGAATATGAAAACGCGAAGCTGTCGTACATTCAACGCTGGTTTCACGTTTCTGCAGCCTGATCTCCATTGATATTCCACTCACCATATCGCAATTCCCTCTCGAGTTGGAACACCACCAGGGTGAAGTTTACCAATTCGAAGACCTGAGGCAGCGGCCTCTTCGAATAGCGGCCTCAGATCGGTAGGTTGCTCTGTGACCTTGTGACCACTCGTCGGACTGAGCTAGCCCCAAGCTGAATGTGCAAAAGACTTCTATGCCCGCTTCTTCTGCTTTTGTTCTTGATTTACTTTATTATGGTATCTTGCAACGCGCCAGGCTGCACTTGGGAGAAAGTAACTGGCGATAGTCGCGGGCTTTATAGACATCGTGCAACCTGCAAACTCTTCCGCAAGTCCAGTATCGCCAGCTGCCAGAAAAGACAGGAGAGGGCAAAAGAGGCGGCTTTAGTAAACCTGGTACAACTTCCAGCAGTAACAAAACGGAGCTTGGGCAGTTCTTCGGTGAGCCGCATTTTCTATATATGCCACAGCCAGTGGCATCCGAGGACTCGGATGGCTAGACGTCATGACAGCTCAAATGGATTTTTAGAAGATATCGCCCATTCAGCAAGTGGGGAGTGTCCGCTCAAAACATATCATTCCGTGCCCTGGCCGCAGATCATCGGGTGGTGGCCAGATCGAGGCTGGCATGGCTACTATCGGCTCGGCGGGTACTGATCACAACCAACCCAAGTCAGACTCGGAGCTGCGGTCGCAGCAGCAGCAGCAGTTTGAAACTGGCGACAACACACTCAGTACCGATGCTTCAGGTATGTTGTGTGCTTTCAGTTATTTAAGTCGGCTGACTGATAACTGCCCTTGATCAGAACAACTTTTGCACGGGCCTCTGAGACGAATACCTCGATGTTTTGAGAATGTTCCTCTTTCTGACGGCGACCTCAGTGACTTGGAAAATAACGATGTTCCGCTTTCTCGAAACCCAGCCCCCCCACCTCAATCCAGACTCCGCAGAGTTCTGTTGACGTTACGAGATACGCTTCAGACTACCTTCAATTCTCTTGGACTTTCTCGACTCTACCCTCGTCGCCCATCCTTCGAGCCGGATAGATTTGTCCCGTCCTCGCTACTTTCAACCACGTGTCCAATAGCTCCGCAAGAGACTGATTCGGGCATCTTCCCGCCTCCATACCCTTTCCCTAACATGACTGTCTATCGACTCATGTCATGGATGAATTCTGGCAGCAACAAAAAATCTGAGACTGAAGTTGCCCGTCTTGTCAAAGAAGTGATGCTGGCGCAAGATTTCGACTTAAAGCACTTGGAAGACTTTTCGGTGAGGGGTAGTTTGCGAGAGTTAGACAATCTTCTAGACCCTAGCAAGAGCAAGATCGAGTTTCCAGATGACTGGATACAGGCCGACGTCACCATCAATATTCCTACAAAATCGAAGGACGACGAGGCAAGACCATTTTCGGTTCCAGGATTCCATTTTCGCCCCCTCCTTGAAGTAATCCGATCAGCATTTACGGACATTCAAGCGAGCGCGTTTCACTTGTCACCTTTCAGGCGCTTATGGAAGGATCCATTGGACGACCATCAAGAGCGAGTATTCGACGAGTTATATACCTCTGACTCTTGGTTGGATGCTCAGGACGACCTACAAAAGCTTCCAATGGAGCCTGGATGTAAATTAGAACGTGTGATTGCTGGCCTCATGTTTTTTTCAGATGCCACGCATCTGGCAAACTTCGGAACGGCAAAAGCCTGGCCCCTCTATATGTACTTCGGGAATCTGACTAAGTACGCTCGCTCTGCACCAAAGTCCGGCGCATGTCACCTTGTGGGATTTCTACCGTCGGTGAGTGCTACTATACTTGTAAGAGTCTCTGTCCAATGATCGCCTGTCAGCTGCCTGATAAGGTCAAGGATGTGCTGAGCAGCCTGCCTCGCATATCCAAAAGCGGCATGGCCGCCCTTCACACTCACTGTCGCTGTGAATTGTTTCACGCGTGCTGGGGTACCCTTCTAGATCAAGACTTTATCCGTGCATACCGTCATGGCATCGTGTTGAAGTGCGCTGACGGTGTGTTACGGAGGATATTTCCTCGTATACTTACATACTCGGCTGATTATCCTGAAAAGTATGTCCTGTCTACAAGCATCGTTAAATCGCTCAACAAGTTTCAGGGTTTTGATCGCCACTATTAAGGACATGGGCTCATGCCCATGCCCCCGTTGTCTCACGCCAAAAAGCCTATTTCCTTCTCTAGGCCTCCTCAAAGACATGAAGAGCCGTATAACCAATCTTCGGATCTATGTCTCATCTAACATTGTCAGGGCACGAGAATACATCTACAATGGGGGTAACACGGTGGATGGTGTAAAAGTTGACGAGGCACTAGGAGAAGGCTCATGGGTACCTATCCTGGTAAGTGCAAATTGTCTGTTGCTTTCTCATACTAGCTCAGATGAGTAACTCGCAGAATACATTCGTCGAGAAGCTCGGAGCATTGGGCCTTGACCCATTTCGTATGCTCGTTGTAGATTTTATGCACGAGTGCGAGCTGGGTACCTGGAAGGCCCTATTCACCCACCTCGTCAGGATTCTTTATGCGCTTCCGGGGGGGAATCAACTAATTGCAACTCTAGACACAAGGTAGGTGCAGTTTGATACATAGTCACCATGACAACTAACAACCTCTTTCCGATCATAGATTTCATTTAGTTCCAACTTTCGGTAATGGGGTAATTCGGATGTTTGCAAATAACACATCCGAGATGAAGAGACTAGCGGCGCGAGATTTCGAAGACATGTTGCAGGTTTCATGACGCTTACTTGACTATTCTCTCTAGATTGCTGATGGCCCTTCTTCAGTGTGCAATACCTGTGTTCGAAGGGCTATTTCCTGCTAGTCATGACATGATTATACAGTCTCTCTTATACAGATTCACCCAATGGCACGCACTCGCTAAGTTAAGAGTTCATTCAGAGTTGACCCTGGGTTTTTTTGAAGAAACATTCAAAAATCTCTCCAAGCAGTTGCGAAAGTTCCGTGATTTTACCTGCGCTGCTTTTGACACGGTGGAATTACCGAAGGAGAAGGCAGCTCGCCGACGAAGATTCGCTCAGCATGGTGGACTTAATGCTACTTCTTCAGAACCAACTGGACCGAAGGTAAAAAGATTTAATTTGAGTACCTATAAGTTTCACGCTATGGGAGACTACGTGCGAACCATCAAACTCTTTGGTACCACAGATTCATTTACTACTCAGATAGTAAGTCTTGTGTCTTCCCTCAAGTGTGATTCTGAAGTTGTGTTATTTGTTAGGGGGAGCTAGCACATAGAGCTTTAAAAGCATTCTATCCGCTCACTAGCAAGCTGGATACTTCGGCCCAACTAGCGAAGCATGAACGCCGCCGCCGCGTACTACGGCGAGTCGCAGAGGCAGCAGGTATCTCTCCCTCAAACATCCACTCACCGGCCGACTCTCCTGCTCTATTGCCGTCCAATGACCATCATTTTATCGCAAGCAACCGAAATAACCCAATGTCTTTGTTTGCATTCCTCCGGGAACACGATGGTGATGCTGCTACTAAGGTAACACTAGCGCTTTGGTTCAGTCGGCTGCCAGTCTGATCACGATGGCTTCTAGAACTTCATCCCAAAATTGAAGGACCATATTTTGTATAGGCTGAAGAAATTATCCATCGATCATTGCGACCATATATTCACGAATGAGGAACATAACTCAGTCATAATCCCTAACAATACAGTCTACTCCGTCCAGACGATGCAGGTACACTATACAACTTACGATATGAGGTGCGAATACGACACTATCAACCCCAACACTCATGCTGATGTTATGGTGCTTTCAGGAGAAACCTCGCCTTCCCACCCATACTGGTACGCTCGTGTACTAGGGATTTATCACATGGACACCTGGCTCGAAGGTGTCGGTTCTGCCCAGAAACAGCACCTCGAGGTCCTCCATGTCAGGTGGCTCGCGCCGTTAATATCTTCAGACTATCGGTCAGGCATGCAACGTGCCCGTCTTCCCAAAGTAGCATTTGTGGAGGAGTCGGACTGTGATGCGTTCGGATTTCTTGATCCCGGACAAGTGATACGAGGAGCTCACCTAATTCCTGCATTCACTTGTAAACGCAGTGTAACTTCACTTCGCTATGGAAAATCGTTAGCACGTGCCGAGGGCGAACTAGATGACTGGGAAGCCTATTACGTTGGGATGTAAGTGCAGTATGTCTTGTGGCTTAGCATCGAATGATTCTGATCTGTCAAAATTAGTTTTGTTGATCGCGATATGTTCCTGCGTTATACTCACTTAGGTGTAGGCCACCCAGTGGCTTTACGGAGAATCATTAGAGACTGTTTTGCCCCCGGCGAGTCAATGACGCCTGAAAAATCGGAGGCTATGGATGTGGATGAAGGCGGAAGCAACGGTAAGGACTACAAGGAAGACGATGGCTCAGATGACGAACAGATGGACTTGGATGACGACCAAATTGGTGAGTCCGAGTCAGAAGACGAATGTGATGAAGTAGGGGAAGAGGAACTTGGAGATGACGAAGATCCTGACGGCTCTGAGTTTGACGGGGAAATTGAGGAAATGTTTGATAACCTCTCGTTTTGATATCCAAGTCATTTCACTATAGCTACTAGGTATCCGGCGCTGGGATAACGATTGGCTGACGGACCAGACGTGTAGCCATCGGTGAACGCATGACTTTCTTCAGTATATCTTAGAATTCATAAATCGTGTTTGGTTTTCAAACGAGAGAAGTTCTGTAGCCTCTAAACGTCCAGGCATCTGCCAGTGTGTGCGTGAATTATTTACCTTTTTTGTCAAAGACCATCTGAGACACATCCGAGTCTTGTGCGTTTCGTCCTCCCACCTCACGTATTTTGTCACATCTCTCTTTGTTCTTCTGTCGTCCTTGGTCGTTGTATTCGATTTCAGGTGCGATCTCGCATTAGAGATGTCACGGTAGACTGACTCGAGCAGCAAGTATTTAGTTTACTGGAGAAGCACGAATATACGGTGAGATCATTGTGCCTCTCCCCAGATGGCAAGAGACTCACAAGCGGGTCATTGGCTGGCAGTCTTGAAGGTGATGGGGATTACGGTAGACGCGACCCGGCCCTCGTCCGTGGATTTAAACACCATTCGAGGACCGCGAGCCACTCAGGCTTTAATACCAAAACTTAAAGCCTAGAGCCTGTACAAGGCCTCTCCATGCACGCTGTCCTTGTCCGCCACTTAGTACAGTCCTCCCCGAATGGCAGGTATCTAGCTACGACAAGGTGCGTTGTGACAAGTTCGTCAGAGCTTCTCGTGCTGAAGTGAAGCATTAGATTGGGATCGATCTTCCGTCATCTTTCGTGATGAGGTGAGCATATGAAGTGCCACGTTTCCATACTTATTTACACTATTCCTGCCTACTACATTAGCAAAACCGCCACCACCTGTCAAGAAGGCCGCTATAGTGCCTACTACTGCTTCCGCGTCAAAGCCAACAGCCATGAAGAAAGAGACGAAACCTGTTCTCGCCGTCAAAGATGCTTGTTCCGATTTCTCATTTCATTTCTGCGCCGAAACCGAAAGCCAAATGACCAAGCTTCAAGAAAGCCCGGCGCCTGTCAAGAAGGAGCCTGATCTCAATGTTGCGCAACCATCGTCGATCGATCCGTTCCAGGAGGCATTGAAGTCGATGGGTAAAGGGCGTAGGGACTCTCCAGTAACGGCCACACCCCCACCAGCTTCGATGACGATTACGCCGCCCCTGGTGACTTCTGGAAGAACAAAGAGAAAATCTGGCTTGGGCTCCTGATGGTTAGCTAGAATCGATCCGGCTGATAGAACGAGCTGTGTACGATGATGACCCTGTTAATGTCAGCATTCTACTCTCGTTTTTTATGCTGGTGTACAGTACTTATATTGATGTCACAAATACCTTTGTGTATTTTGTTCACATAGAATATCCATACTGCTCACAGTTTGCGCGATCTGGATTGGGGAGAGGGTGCTGCTCCACATGCTCCCCTATTCGAAGAAGTTATCGATTGGACGGATCCAATAAGTGAGCAAATTATCATCGTCATTATGAATCGCCACCAATTAATAAACGCAATCTATAGCTCTCGAATTTGATCTCAAAGCGTCCCAACGCGGACAGAATAGTACAGAAAAGACTACTCAGGAGGAGCGTAAGCAAACAGCTTTAGGTGCACTATACATGTCGTCTAGTGATGTGCAAGGCCCGGCTTGAAGCCCTGGGCCGGCCCAAGCCGGGCCCAAATAGGCCGGGCCTAGCCCAGGCCTAAGTCACGGCCTGAGCAGGGCTTAGGCCTGGGCTTGAATTTAGAAAAGCCTAAGCCGGCGGCCCAAGCCGCGGCTTTGGTACATAGAGTATATGACACCTTGTCACGTCAGTGGTCACGCCCCACAAGTATGTGTTTGGCATTTTCTCATTACTGACTCTTACTATGACGCGATTCTAGAACTCGTAAAGGCGCAGCAGGATCTAACAGGTAAGTCTCATCTCAGTATCTTGGTCAGAACTCTTTATTGACGACGTATGTACCTAACAGGTAAGTCTCCTACGTCACATCAGTACGGCTACTCGAAGTGTAAAGTAAAAGCTAACTCACGTCTCAGTATCTTGGTCAGAACTGAGACGCTCGGGTGGCTGGATGCTGCCTTTTATACGGTAAGTCCTTTTCTAATCTATATTGAAACGAAACATTGATACTTGGAAGATTTCGGCCCCAACGTCACATCTCTCGTCCCTGCGCCTCTTTTCCCTTGCGCTCGGACGATCTATTCACCATGTCATTCCTCGCCTTCGGTCTCATCGGCAACGTTCGACTCGGAGGGTTTGGACGTCGACAGCGATTCCTCTCAACTTCAACTACATACGCACGTCTGATCTCCTTTCATCCTGGGATGAGCGACGCTCGACGGAGACTTCAATGGGCGTCATCTCGCGTCACCACATTGCAAGAAGTCGTCGCGTATTCATTATTTGGTATCTTCAGTGTCCATGTCCACCTACAGACATCACCATCCTCGACTGGGTCGGACAACCTTCCGAGTTCAACAGCTGTCTTCCGGCCTATATCACTTCTTACGCCACTCCTCCACACACCCTTCCATCCCTGTCCGAACGTTCTCCTCCTTGTCTTCTTCCCTTCACCTGCTCTCGTCCATCGTCCGTATTCGTCTGAGCCACGTCAGCAGTTGCTGACGTGTGCTGGGCGTTTGCGCATGGTGTTCGTGGTGTTGGGAACAGCATGGTGGAGCTCGGACATCGGTTTGGGCCGCGGCTTGCATGGGCCTAAGCCCCGGCTTTGGGCCGGCTTGGGCTCACGGCTCAGGCTTGAAATCTGGTGAGCCTAAGCCCCCCCCAGGCCGAGCCTAAGCCGGGGCTTTGAGCCCAAGCCGGGCCGGAACATCACTAATGTCGTCAGCGCAGATACTCCCAGAGGATGAGGAAAATTGGAAGGAAGTGCCCCTCGATTGATTCGTGCTTTGAAATTGGTTTCACTGGATCTCTTAGTTTGATGAGGACTCGTATACCGCCTTTGAGTAACTGACCATCTGGGTTCTTTAACTTCTTGTTCAATGTGACACATATCGCCTCAATATTAGCACAGATTGTCCGAAGACCATTTGGACGAGTTTAGTGACTGTCGCGAATTGATTCCAGTTGTTAACTTACTAATTCAGGTGTCTGCATAGCACACCCGCTGCGCCTCAAGACACCTACAATTTGAGAAAGATGAACAATATTCATGGTAGTGAGCTTTCATCCCTTACTGTCTGTAACGGCGGTATGTCGCAACTCTGCCATAAATCGCCAGGCTAAACTATAGTTTTTGACTGGTGCTAAAGCCATTATCTCTCAGAAAGTCACAGATAACATTAAAATCGAGGTAATATTTGGTGAGAACTGAGAACGACTAACAGCATCAACGCTAGTGAGCTTTCATCCCTCGTTGGCCGCACCGGCGGTATGTCGCAACTCTGCCATGAACCACCAGGCCAAACTATATTTGCTGTCAAAGGTTAAGGCCATTGTCCTGTGGAAAGCCTTGGATAACATTAGAATCAAGGTAATATTTGATGGGAACTGAGAATGATCAACGACACCAACGCTAGTGAGCTTCGGTCCGTTGCTGGCTGTGAAATCAGCGTATCATAATTTTGTTGCCAACTGTCAGGTCAATCTCTATGTGATGTCAAGGGCTAAAGCCATTGTCCTGCAGAAAGTCTTAAATAATCTTTTAACATGAAACATAAATGCTTGCAAGTGAAAATGTTTAATAACACGGACACCATTACACTTACGTCCGTTGGCGGCTGCGAAGGTAGCTTGTTATGATTTTGTTACGGTCTCATCTAGCGAGTCTATGTTAGTGACCATCCATGGCTAAGTATGATCAAGTCAAATTTCTCGTGGTATGCATAGTCATATTCGGTAGGAGCAGAATTACATCATCCTACAGCTGCGACGGCTACAATTTCAAGGACTCATGAATTCACTGATGACTTATTGGCAACTGCTTGCTGCAGACCTCCATTTACCCATTGTGCCGCTCGAGAATGTCAGCCCCAGACACTTTCGGTTTACAGTTAGCCAAGGTAATCCAATCGTACTTTTTGAGCAACCTTTCTCTAATCTCTCCAACTATTCAAGTACACTAACGGTAAGGTCGGGCTGGTAACAATCTTATCGTTATTTACGATTCTCCAAAGTCGCTGCATCAGCAATCCTAGTAAGTTGCGTCTCTTCAGTCTCATTATTGCTCTGATATATGACCAGATTTATGACTACTTTGTCACCTTACATTCTGAAGTCAGAATAATCAGCCACTCATACCTTGGTGCTGATATTTCTTGTAGGTCCGATGGACTCGGGGACGGAAGTGGGGAATCATCCGGACTACCTTCACGATTTCACGATATGCACCTTTTGCTGGTGCGCTCATGACCTCGTACGGTAAGATACGCCGGTGCGCGCTACTACGCAAAAGCTGATTCCTGACCAGCCGCTATCAAGACATGGGGCACGCAAGATGTGAGTGCACCTTTGATTTGTGCAGCACCAATTGCAACTCACATCAACATATAGTGCGCACCTTTTAACGATGCTATAAATGGTTGGTCCACATAGCTCATGACATGACTTGGCGATGACATTTCGCAGGCATACACTTCTTGGGCATCCTTGCCTCGGAAGGTTGGTTTTCGCATTTCACGTTAAAGTACGCATTTATGCTCGCACAACAGGTCTATTGATTTTCAGGGTCTACGCCTTCTCTGGCAATAAAAAGGCTTATCTTATCATTCTTCTCTCCTTTGGTTTGGTACAACAACATCTCTATCCCACTGTGCACCGCTGACTTGTATGCGCAGGCCATCTTGGTGATGTGTGTGATTCGAAGTGCTGTCCCCATCAATTTGAACATCCCAGGAGGCAAGGTCTCGAAGCTCGCTTCTTAGTCTTAATATTCATCTCCTTTCAGTCGGCCCCCCTTGCGTGTTGGAAGGGGCTCGTAGCAGTGCCCTCGGATATGGACTCTTGATGTTTTTCGAGATAGGTGAGGCGGCTATTCTATTCAAAATTCCCCACTTGATAATTCACTTTTAGTTCTCATGTCCACCACTGTATTTCTGAGATATCGACACTATCTAGGTTCTCATAGCGCGCTGGTGAGGAGCATCTATCGTGACGGACTACTCTACATGTTCTGCATCATGAGTATTAACATCATTGTTACTATTAATTTCGCGCTGACATCTCTGTAGTGATATCTATGGTCAATGTGATCATTATCGCTGTGTTGCCTGTAAGTTCTTTCTTTATTTTTGTTGACCTCAAGAACTGAGTAGACTTCCTAGCTCTCTTACAGCGAAACGCTAAACGCGTTAGTCCGCTCAATTATATAGGTGGATATATGTTGTCGAAAGCTCACATTCCTCATTCTAGACCTCAGATTGTTGCGCACAGTGTTCTTGCTTCTCGAATACTGTTCAATCTTCAAGTGAGCATGGAGCAACCACCCTGGCTCGCCGACCGATCGGCGACCTCAATGGAATTACTATCCCGTCTACATACATTCAAAGCGCGACCTGGAGGCAGTGAGACAGCTAGCCAGCCAGATGAAGCTCAGACCTACTGATAGTTCTGCGAGCCATACAGATGGCGCTTGTTATTTGAGCTTCCTGACTATCCTCACCCATTTCAGCTTGCATTTTCCGCGTCTTTCGGATTTTAGTGGCGAGCTACTCTACTACTTAGGTGTATGTGTTCCCTGTGCTAACAAACATGAGGAAGTATTTTTTGATTTGTTGTTATTTAGGTTTGAGACCCCATGTCAACATCCCTATATGTAAAGCCTACCCTGGGACTCCAGATGTTGTCACGATAACATAGCCCAGGCTCGGCTCTACGGCGCCTCTCCATCGACGAAAAGTACGATTGAGGTACAGTCCCGCCCTGTACGTGAGCACGACTCGAACCACACCAAATCCAACGCTCCAAAACCTGCTTTTTGTGCGTCGCCACACTCAGATGGTGGTACGTAGTACGTACACCTAGTGCTACGGGTGCTAAATTTGAGTTTTAAATTTTTGCCAAGTAAAACGACTGGCAGGCTTATCATGTCACATGTCAAGTCGAACCCGTGTGCTCCGATCACACAGTGCGACTATTATAATCCATGCATCATGACATCGTGATCATCAAGCCACCAATCCGAGATCTGAATGCCGAGCGCTCTAGGTCACTGCACACTCACAGTCCTCGATACGTTGATGGTCACAGCCGTGATCTGCAAGTATACACTGCAGTACTTATTGACATCTGCTTGCTGTAGACTTCCATTCATCCACTATCCCACTTGAAAATGTCAGTCCCGGACACCTTCGGTTTGCAGTTGGCCAAGGTAATCCAACCATACTTTTTGCCCAGCCTTTCTCTAATCTCTCCAACTATTACTATTCAAGTATACTAACGGTAAGGTCGGGCTGGTATCAATCATATCGTTATTCACAACTCTCCAAAGTCGCTGCATCAGCAATCCTAGTAAGTCGGGCCGCTTCAGTCTTATTACAGCTCTGATGTATGTTCAGATTTATGACTACTTTGTCACCTTACACTCCGAAGTCAGACGAATTAACCACTCGTACATTGGTGCTAATGTTTCTTGTAGGTCCAATGGACCTGGGGGCGGAAGTGGGGAATAGTTCGGACCGCCTTCACAATTTCACGATATGCACCTTTTGCTGGTGCGCTTATGACCTCGTACTGTAAGATACGCTGGTGTGCGCTACTATACAAAAGCTGAATCCTAACCAGCCGCTATCAAGACATGGGGCACGCAAGATGTGAGTACACCTTTGATCTGTGCAGCGCCAAATGCGACTCACAACAACATATAGTGCATACCTTTTAATGACGCTGTAAATGGTTGGTCCACATACTAGCTCACGATATGACTTGGCAACGATATTTCGCAGGCATACATTTCTTGGGGATCATTGCCGCGGAAGGTTGGCTTTCGCATACTATGTATGTTACAGCATGCATTTACACTCGCGCAATAGGTTTATTGATTGTCAGGGTCTACGCCTTCTCTGGCAATAAAAAGGCTTATCTTATCTTTCTTCTCTCCTTTGGTTTGGTACAACGATACATCTATTTCACTGTGCGCCACTGACCTGTATGCGCAGGTTATCTTGCTGGGGTCTGTGGTTCTAAGTGCTGCCCCCATCAATCTGGATATCCCGGGCCCAGGTGAGGTCTCAAGGTTCACTCTTTAGTCTTTGTATTCATATCCTTTCAGTCACCCCGCCTTGTGCTTTTGTGGGGTCTCTTAGAATTAGTAGTGCCCTCCCTTATGGACTCTTGATGTTCTTCGAGATAGGTGAGACGACCATTTGATTTGAAATTCCCCACTTGATAGTTCACTTCTAGTTCTCATGTCCATCACCGTATTTTTGAGATATCGACACTATCTGGGTTCTCACAGTAGTGCGCTGGTGAAGAGCATCTATCGTGATGGACTGCTCTACATGATCTGCATCATGAGTATTACCGCCATTATTATTGATGATTTAATGCTGACAACTTTGTAGTGATATCTACACTCAATATGATCGTTACCGTTGTGTTGCCTGTGAGTTCTTTCTTTGTTTTCATTGGCCTCGAAGAACTGAGGTGACCCCCTAGCTCTCGGACACCGAGATTCTAAACACGTCAGTCAGGTCAAGGATATATGTTGTCGAAAGCTCACATTCCTCATTTCAGACCTCAGATTGTTGCGCACAGTGTTCTTGCTTCTCGAATATTATTCAATCTTCAAATGAGCAGGGAGAAACCACACTTGCTCACTGACCAATCGACGAATTCAGTGGAATTACTATCCCGTTCACATGAGTTCCAAGCGCGGCCTGGAGGCGGTGTGACAGCTGTCGAGCCAGATGAAGCCTAGTCCTGCTGATAGTTCTGTGAGTCACGCAGATAGTGCTTGTCATTTGAGCTTATATTTTCCGCGTCTTTTGTAATTAGTGATGAGCTACTCTGCTACCTAGGTATATGCGTTCTCTGTGCTAACAAACACATTGACGAGGAAGTCTTACTAGAAAAAAATCAATCCTGATTTACTGCTATTTAGTAGGGTTTGACATCCTATACGTACAGCCTGCCCCCGGTATTGAACTCGGTTGTACATATGTACGTCTCTCGTATGACTCGGAGTGAACACGTATTGCAGAAGTCTTTCTCATCCGATGAGTAGTGGAGAAGCTTGTGAGGGCTATTGCGATCTGCGATGAAATCGAATTGTTGCGAAGCTACATAGCATCGCCCATGGCTGTGAATAGCCTAGGAGACGAGAGGGCGGACATTTCCTTCCTGTAGAGCAAATATAGAATATATTCTATCAATCATGATGAAGATGCGCCAGAGTTCAAGTTAGCCGGTATCCGTCGCGTCCTCGTCCGCATCAAGAACGCAGTTCTGTGCCGTTCGTCTGTCGTTTCTCAGTGGGAAAATTGGTCATGGCAAGGAGACCCCTTGCCATGATGAAGCTGCCTCTCACTGGCAGTGTTCCTCAGCGTCGGCCACGTGAGTTTCCAGCGGTCAACATTCAACTCAATAATCTTGCACACTGAATGCTTACATGGACAAGCCACTGAATGACATTACATCAATCCTGTGTGCAGCAAAAAGTACGTCTTCCACATTCGATCACAATACTACCAAAGTATCACTTCAGTCATATCCTACACCGCGAGTTGTCGAAGGGTCGCTTTGGTACCACTTGATACTTACCAGGATAGTAATCCCACATCAATTGAATTTGTCTGTGATATCTTTTCCCGGTCCTTTTCCAGTCCCCTCATGGCGCTTGTACAATGCCAACTTGCCATCCTTTGCCACCAAACTCAAGCCTACCCCCACATCTTCCTTTTTCACAGCATCCAAAATATCCTGAAGCACGAGTTTCAACTTCGCAACACCCTGCTGAGTATGGCGGGCATGAGTCTGCATGCTCTTCGAGCCAAGCTCTACTTTTTCCAGGGTGTTGAAGCTGCCGCGTTCGTGCTTCGCGATATACAGGAATGCTGTCTGAGAAAGATAGAGCTGTGGATAAACTTCTGCCCAGTCGATCTCTCGGCGGGCAGCGCGTGTTTTGAGCTCGATGAGAGAGGCTTGCGGGACAACTTTGCGTGGAGTTGTTTGTCTGATCGTCACGCCACGAACGGTTGGCACCGTGGCTTGAGGCTTCTTAGTGTCCCGGCTGCTAGAGACAGACGCTCCGCCAATACCCAGGCCTGAGAAGGCTGCTAGGAGGTCGTCCTCCTCGTTGGTGTCATTGGTGGAAGAGGTGCATGCCTCAATCGTGAAACGAAGGAGAACCTTCAGTTCACCAATGTCCTGTCAAATACGACATGTTGCGATAAGTGACGCCACCGAGAATGCAAGTATCTTACGATGGAAATCATCCGGTGATGACCAGTAGCTCTCTCGCAGCCGCGAGTGACTCTCGTGGCCGCTTTCTCGTACTCATGTCCATACCCCATAAAGCCTTGTACGATGTCCGTGTTCTGTGCCTCAAGGCGTGTGAACAAGCACGTTGTGCCCGCTACATCGATATCGATACGAAAGTCTTTCTCATCCGGTGAGCCACTAGCCCAGCGGAGAAGCTTGCGAAGGTTATTGCGGTCTGTGATGAGGTCGAACTGCTTGAAGTTGAAACTAGGATTCATGTCATCGATGGCTGCGAATAGGGGAATGAGGGGAGACATTTTTCGCATGTAGAATGCATTCTGATCCACAAAGCGTGTTCCAGAGTCAGCCGGGACACGTTGGGGGCCTGTGAACCAGACTCTGGGAGAACCTGTGTGACATCAGCAGGTCACTGATCAACTTGATCTTACTCAGACATTGACTATATGCTTACCAGGGACAGCAATTGTTGGGGTTGCAGCCTCGATCCACGAGTATGAAGCGATGGGCTTGACGTTTGTAACTTCCACAGGACTAAGAGTATCCGTGCTCCGTTCAAACTTGGCTACCTTGTCCCCAAGGTCTTTGAGGATGAAGGAGTTGTCAGGTTGTGAGGACTCTGTTGCTCTGGGAGGGCGAAAAGGGTATGCCTGACGTGTACCAGTTGGCGCATTTCGCAAGGTAGACATTGTGGATTGTGGGAGTGATGAGAAGTGAAAAAGCAAGAGAGCGCTTGATAGATAAGACTCAAAAGAGCACCCAATAGAGGGGTGCGACGATCACTGTTTGCGCCCACTGTACGCCGCACATGATCAATCTTGGGCTGTACTAGTATGAAACAAGCTTGCTTGGCGTGATTGCGAATCTGATATTCCCTAGCCGCCGCAGGAGAAAGTTCGAACCTATTCACGTATGACTGGTCTGACCCACGGAACGTCAAAAATACACGTAGACCTGTTGTGAGTGTTACGATGCGACGTCGTCGATGCCTTGAAGAGAATCAAACCTTTAGTAACCCTATTGGCGCTGAGTGACCACTGAGCGCCATCCCGGCGGCGGGGCTCATGGGCATTGGGTACCTGAAAGTTTACATAAAATTGAGTAAACCGATAAGTATCATGGTACACACATTCTATCCACCGCTTGCCCCGAGAATTTGCCAGTCCATCATGCACGATTCATAACGGGAACGAAACGAATTTTCCCAACAAATGTCAAAGGCTCCGTCGAGGAAGGTAGAGTACAACAAGGTATACATAGTTTATAACTTCACAAATAACGTAAATTTAGACCGTCAAGCTAACCGCGCTTGCATTGAACGATAAACGAAAGTGGTCATTGAAAGAGAATAAAAAAAAGACAAAAAGGAATGCACGAGGTCGTACTCAGCATCCGTCTTCCTCTGCAACGCTCATCCCCCGAAACCCGCTCTTCCATCCTACAGCACCTCCACTACCGCCATCGATACTCGGCCGTGGTTTGAAGCTCTCCTTGCGAATACGACCCGTCGTCTTTTTAGCTACTGACTCCCTAGAATGACTGGACGCCATCGAGGCAGAGTTGTACGATCGTGCGCTCGAAGGATAGTGCGAACTCACGCTTGAGTTAAGATGTGTTACGCTCGTATGTGATGTTGATCGTGGCATCGTCGAAGGATTGCGGCCCCATCCAAGTGCAGCGTACCCCTGCGAGTTCTTTGAATGGGAAGGCATATGCGGCGCGTTTTGCGTGGTTGGTCGGGGGAGAGCTGAATTGCCGCTGGGTGTCCGGCCCCTTGTGGGTGATCCTGGACGTGCTACGGTACGATGCGTGCCATCGATGAGTTTCTGTCGTTTATTAGTTCCGTGGGTATTCGAAGACGTCGATGATCCTGGCCGAACGGCGGGTGTTACCACGCCGTGATGAGATGCGTTGGATTTACCAGGGACATATCCTCCTTTGGAAGCGACATTTGCCCCGTTGCTGGCGGCTGCGGCGGGCTTCAGGCTTTGCGAAGCCCCCCTATTGAGCGCCTGCGCAGAATATTGAGAAGTAGGCGTTCTTTTGCGATTCTCCTGTTCGTTCGCTGATGCATTCTCCATCAACAATTGGAGCATGCTTTCGCCATGCACGAGGAAAGCTCGTCCGTGCGTTTGTTCCCATGTAGGCAGCGATGACAGTAGTTGTTGTTCAAGCTGTTCGGAAAAAAATTAGACGGAAGGTCGAGAGCATGAATAGGAATTGACAAACCTTGGGCTTCTCTTTCCCAACCCTCTTTCGCATCTTCTCTTCCCGGAGCAGTCTGCCAGGATCTCGTCCCCCACCCCTTCCTAGAAGGCGCGTCTGATCGCTAGCTACACGCTCTAGCTCCTTCTCTTCCTCACAAATATCCATGTACTTCTTGATCGACGTCAGTAGTGGCATCTTGAGCCGCACTTCCGCTTTCAGGCGGGCGATCTCATGCTCATGCTGGCTCAGTAAATCTTCTGTATGTTCATCTACGACATCCCCTCAGTTAAACTCCAGGAAGGGGGTGACAGAAACAAACTCACCATCGGCGAATGCAGCAAAATCATTCCGCTCATCTTCTCCTATCATGAGTTCCTCCCACAGGCTCTCAATTTCTGTGCGAGCATTAGCGATAAACTCGCCCATTCTCTCGCGCTTCAAGTCAATCATGCGCTCCAGTTCCTCTTCATACGCTTGGACCACAGAAGGCGTCGTCCCGCGATTCGCCTCGACAAAACCATCCATACCCTCCTCACCCACACCCATGCGTCGCCAAAGCGCCTCCAGTTGATCATACATGGCTTGGATGTGTACTTCGCGGCGCCTCTTGAGTTCATTCAGTTCGGCATGCAGTCTATCACCCCAAGCCAAGATGCCCTGCGTCGGTTCGATACCACACGAGTTTAAGATTGTTCCAGGTGGCGAGTCTTGCGGTGATGAGTCGAGTAGCTCGATAAAGCGTCCAAGTGACCTGAGGTATTCATTTTCGTTGGGGAACTCGGAAACTTCTGGGAGGGCTATAGAGGGCTGTGGGGGAGAGGACGATGAGCAAAGCATGTGGTTGTCAGATGTCCCGATCGATGAAGGAGTGGGCGTCGAAGGTCCGGCAGTTGAGGATGCAAATGGATCTGCACTGGAGTTGAGACGCGTACTACCTGCGGATGAAGATCGTGGCAGAGAATATCTTGGTACGGCAAGTGTTGAAGATGAGGTGGCAACCGGTGTCGTGACAGTGGGTGGGGGAGGATCGATACCTAATTCTGAGTAAAGCCAGTCGATCTGGGTGAAGACTTCACCCAGTTGAGTTAGTCGCTTCAACTGTAAACCTGCAATCAGCAATATATAGATGAACAAGGAAATACTGACTGACCACTTCGCCTTTTCCTCGTACAAGCTCCTTTTCAAGTTTGGAAAAACGTTCAGGCATAACATCTCGTAGTGCTGTAGGGTTGTCTAGTTCCTCAGTAGCAGCAACCGCGGGAGTTAAGATATCTTGTTGAAAGAAATGGGATCCTAGCGTCCGTGCGAGGGCGTTCAGGCGATTGGTCAACGTTGTGAGCTGCTCGAGTTTCGTGTGATAGATCTAAGAGACTATCATCTCAGTAGATCACGCGTCCAAAAGATCCGACTGACCTGTCTTAGTTTCTCCTGGTACACAGTGGCGCTTTCATATCTCCTTGGCAAGACTTTCTCGGCTTTCAGATCACTGAGCGATCCAGCAACTTTAGCATGGGTACCCAGCGCTTTCGAATACCGAGCACAACCAGACTCCACTCCTTCGCATTTTCCTATCCAATCATCTACTTGTTTCCTCCGCACCTCTATCTGAGACTCAACGGCCTTGGTCAGGGTATGCTGTAATGTCTGCAGTTCATCTTCCAGGGCGGTTTGTGGTAGGCCAAGTTGAACGTGGAGTGTCGGTAAAAGTTGGGTTTGGGCATTGAGGTGTGTGTGTAGTGTTGATAATAGCGTGCTTAACGTTAGAGACGATGATGAGGACATGTTTGGCGCGATGTGAGAGATGTGGCATCCACAACATTCGCGTTGGCGACCATTTCGAACCATGTCCAGGTCACGTGTCAGTGACTTCACGCGTCCACACAACCGCGACGGGCCGCAGGCATATGGGTTATGGATCCAACGAAATGCGTGAGCCTTCATGACAAAAGTCCTACATAGTGTTCATTCACCACCGAGCTGAGTGTACTGTTCGACCCTAGTACACTTGCATCCACAAACTCAGTACGGACCCTAAACTATCGAAACAAAGGAAAGCACTGCACACATCTTGCCAGAAGCACAATATGGATACAACGATATCTTTAATCCATGAACCAGCTCTATTCGACGTGGATAGCAGTAATGGACGAGTAAGTAGAGCGGGTACAATATGTCTTATCTAGTTTCCACTGATCTCCTTGGCGAGCTGCTCAGCCTTGGACTTGACATCCTCGATCGTGCCGGCCTGTTCAATACGTCAACAAATACCAAACCAAATTTATACACGTATCCGTACCATGTAAAATGCAGACTCAGGCAAGTTATCGTGTGTACCAGAAAGGATCTCCTTGAAAGAGCGGATAGTGTCCTTCAAAGGCACGAGCTTGCCTTCGTAACCCGTGAAAACCTGTGCAACTTGGAAGGGTTGCGACATGAAACGCTGGATCTTACGAGCACGCTCGACCTAGTCTTTGTCAGCATTCAGCATTGCTTCTGTCTTTGTATCACTGACCGTCAACTTGTCTTCTTCTGATAACTCATCCATACCCAGAATAGCAATGATATCCTGCAGAGACTTGTAGTCCTGAAGAATCTTCTGAACGGCGGTGGCAACATCGTAGTGCTCTTGACCAACGATACGGGGGTCAAGCATACGTGACTTAGAGTCAAGGGGGTCCACAGCGGGGTAGATACCAAGCTCGGCAATACCACGCGACAGTACAGTGGTGGCGTCCAAGTGAGCGAAAGTGGTGGCAGGAGCAGGATCAGTCAAATCATCAGCGGGCACGTAGACTGCTTGCACAGAAGTGATTGAACCCTTCTTGGTGGTTGTAATGCGCTCTTGCCTACATCGCACGTCAAATCAATACTAGAGCGAACACAGTAGTGCACATACATGCCACCCATATCAGTTGAGAGTGTAGGTTGGTAACCGACGGCGGAGGGGATACGACCAAGGAGAGCAGACACCTCGGAACCTGCCTGAGTGAAGCGGAAGATGTTGTCGATGAAGAGCAGCACATCCTGGCCTTCCTCATCACGGAAGTACTCGGCGATAGTGAGGCCAGTAAGCGCCACACGAGCACGTGCACCAGGAGGCTCGTTCATTTGACCGAAGACGAGAGCAACCTTCGAGTCACCCTCGAGGTTGATAACACCAGTTTCAATCATTTCGTGGTACAAATCATTACCCTCACGAGTACGTTCGCCAACACCTGTTGAATCAAGGAAATAAGGCCTGATGTGACCAAAAAAATCAAGTTTAACCAACCGCAGAAAATGGAGAAACCACCATGGGCTTTGGCAACATTGTTGATAAGCTCCTGAATCAACACAGTCTTACCGACACCAGCACCACCGAAAAGACCAATTTTACCACCACGGGCGTAAGGAGCGAGAAGGTCGACGACCTTAATACCGGTCTCCAAAACCTCAGCAGTGGTCGACTGATCAACGAATGGAGGAGGGTCGGCGTGAATTGGCGAGAGTTTGACACCTTTTATAGGACCACGCTCGTCAATTGGTTCACCGATGACGTTCATGATGCGGCCGAGAGTTGCGGCACCGACAGGAATTTGAATAGGAGCACCGGTGTCAACTACCCTTTGGCCACGGACGAGGCCCTCGGTACCGTCCATAGCAATGGTACGGACAGAGTTTTCGCCAAGATGTGATGCGACCTCAAGGACAAGACGGCCACCGTGGAAGTCCAAAACCTCCAGTGCGTTGAGAATGGGTGGAAGAGCATCGGTCTCGAACTGAACGTCGACGACGGCACCAATGACGGTTTTCACAGTCCCAGAAGCTCCCTTCGCTTCCGTTGCATATGTCCGTGCTATATAACCCGAGTTCACCCGGTTCAAATGGAATGACGCGAAAAAGGCCAGAAAAACTCAGTAAGTGTCAGAGATGGTAATCCCAGACTTAGAACTAACCGTGTTGCGCTGATGCACACGAAGGACGAACGGCTGCGTTTTGTTTTTGGGAGGAGGAAGGAACGGCAACACGCGACAAAGAATAAGCAGCGGTGTTAATGAACCGGCTTGTGTTTCTTGCAGTGTTGGCTGCTCTCCGTGAGAGGCGGGTAACGCCGCGAGCAGTAAGCATTCTTCTGGTGAACGACGACGACGACGACGGATGTAAGGTTGCAAGGAATCGTTACCCGACACACTTATTCCTAAACGTGCGAAATTCAACTTCCGTTCAAAGCTCCGCCATCCGCACCAGCAAACGTAGTCTTCAAGTTGACTTGTCGAGTACTATTTGCCGAGCTCACGATCGTACGGTTCTGGGTCAATGACATCTACTTATTTGCAGATACAAGGCGAACTTCAAGTTGCGGCCGGGCGTCTTCAAGGGAATCTGAGAGCGGCTATTGAGAGATTGATGCATCTTTTTGGCGCCCACCTGGCACCTGGTTCATCATGATTGTACGAGCAGGTTCGAATTTATCGTGGCTGATTATGATCTATATATCTGTGCATCCCTGTTGTACTCCATCTTGATGCCGACCATTTACGCGATGCTACGGTCATCCTGTTCCTATGGTACACCAACCGTTCGAATCTGATCGAGGGCAGTACCTGTGTATCCATCATGATAGTATAATGCATGGAATCGCCTTCAGGCAAAAGATGCGTAACTCCGATCTGCACAGTGTCTTCGGTTGTGCAGATCCTGGGAACAATCTGCTGTGACGCCTATCCAATTTCTATGACAATTCCTGTGGCCAAACTTATATTTCAAAGGAAATACCTATGCGCGGTGCTAGATTCGGGGCTGTGACAGACCGTATTAAATGGTATGCAGGTGAAAGTTAGCACATCAAGAATACTTTCATCATCTTCATCATGTCAGCTACGACTGTAGGTTTTCAGACCGCGCAGGTGAATCCTCATTTCCAGTCTATAGTACAAACACTTATGTTTCAATGCCTTTGTACATTGATAGTATTTCACAGGTGCGCACTTCACTACTAGCACTCGCATTGCCCGTCTGACAATGGAGATAGTTGCAGCGATGGCAGCAGTGGTGAGTATCCGAACTGTGGTCATCCCTGGAAATTTTCCACATCTTTGAACCAGGTCTTCGATTACTGCTTGACGCTTCCACAAGAGGTTTGTGACCTTGTTTGAGTCCGACGCATGCTAAGTTATCTCGCAGGTCCAGTCGATCTGGGGAAAGAAGTGGGACATCATTAGAATTATGTTTACCCTCACTCGTTATGCCACCTTGGTGGGTACTGCCATGACTACGTATGGTAAGTCGCGAGTCCTTGCATCATGTAACATGCCTTGATGAGATTTAAGCCGCTGTGACTGTGCACACCAGTGTTCGTGAACTCGTGATTTGATTTAAACTCTCGCTGATTGTCCTTCAGTGCGTGACTTTCGGCGATGTCTCATACGGTAAGAGACGCTGGGACAGACTCAACTCTAGCGTGGACATTGAACACTCATCAAGTTTCACATCTGATAAGCATTCTCGCCGCAGAAGGTCGGCCTGATGGCGCTTTCGTCATTACAAACCAGTATCAGTATGCTTACCATCTACTCTGCAGGCCTGCTTATTTTTCGTACACTCGCCTTTTGGCATCAGAACAAAAAATTGATGGTGTGGCTTATCGTTCTTGCTGCAGTAAGTGCCCACTTGATCCACCGATCAAACCCAAATTTACATTTGGACAGTTTTCTATTGTAGGGGCTGTCGGGGTGTTAAGAGTTGTGAGCGTCCATATCGCTGACCCTCGAGGTACCCGTGCTTTACAATACCGAGTGAGCACCCTTGCTAACCTATTGTAGGGGCCAACAGCACAAGTTGCGTGTTTGAAAATGAAAAAGGTGGCGCCATACAATATGGTTTTTTGGTCATTTATGAGCTAGGCAACTCAAGTTCATACTACTAAATACCGGGGCTGCTAACCTGAGATGCCACAGTGCTCATGATCCTTACGATATACAAGAGATTCAGCTTCTACAAAGATGCTCGAGGTCGCCTCGTTACCATCCTTTATCGCGATGGGATGATATACATGACCTGCATCATAAGTACGTCTTCTTGTTTATGCACTCATGCAGGTCTGACAAGTGTCCTTCAGTGGCATCCTTCGCAAATATTCTCATCACCCTGGTTGCTCCTGTTACATACTCCGACATGCTGGATGCGTCAGTGCATTCCTTTATCTCTCAGGTTCTTCTCTTGACTTCTCTCAGACCACAGCTCGTGATCCACGGAGTGCTAGCCTCCCGTATCTTACTCAATCTGCGACATGAGAGCCATCGGCCTGATTCTGCGATCACTGACGAAATCTTTCCTATGGCTGACATGCGTCGCAGCCCTGAAGGCCATAGTGTTGTATTCGTGAATACAAACCCAGGGAGCGTAGAAGGGTAGTTTTGCATGCTCGGCAAGGATCCCCAGCTCCCCAAATTACATCCATCTACAATCTAATTTCTTCAGCGTATATGCGTGAAGCTTTTTTTTCGAGTCAGTGTTTATTGTCCGTTTGGGACGATGCCCTATGGCAGACAAAACATCAATCGGATTCCCGTCGATCTGCTTAATGCTGTGTTACATTTTCCCGCGCTGTTTTGACACTCCGACTCAAACCTGACTTCTGATGATTGAACATTTCAAACATTCCGCATGACGCCTTACCTACTGCTGCAGCTTTTCCATAACCCTCCTCTCTACCCACAGTTGACCACTTCTGCCTCAGGCGGAGGCAGCTCTGGTTCTACATGCGCCTGCCTCAGGCGGGTGCTTGTATGTCCATGTTTGTATAGGTGGAGCTCGCACTGGACGAACCAAGAGTCTTTCTGCGCGCCGAACGAGTCTCCCAGACTCACTCGTTGACCTATACTCGCCCCGCCCCCCCCAGATATATATATAGAGTATACCACTTCAGTTGCCACGATATTTTGTAATCATTCAGGATTTCGACTCACTGCAGCAGTACCTGTACATGTGTCCATCATTATATGATACACGAAAATCAAAAGATAAGTTTAGTCTGCACAGTCTTTTCTTCCCCTGAATCTCGAAGTGCACAGTACTAGTACTAGTGTCTTTGGCTGTGTAGAGCCTTGAAACAATTTGCTGTCACAGCAAGAAAGCACTATGACGTATAACGTGTGCCTGATTATCTAAAGATAGCAACCGATGGAAATTGCCCGGATTTCCTCATGACGGTGACATGACAACTCCTATGGCCAGATTTCAATTTCAAAGGAAATACCTATGCGCGGTGCTAGATTCGGGGCTGTGACAGACCGTATCAAATGGTATGCAGGTGAAAATACATCAAGAATACTTTCATTATCTTCACCATGTCAGCTACGACTGTAGGTTTTCAGACCGCGCAGGTGAATCCTCGTTTTCCGGCCCATAGTACAAATGCTCATGTTTCAATGTCTTTGAACACCAATAGTATTTCACAGGTACGCGCTTCGCTACTAGCACTCACATTGCCCATCTGACGATAGAGGTAGTTGCAGCGATGGCAGCAGTGGTGAGTGTCTGAACCGCGGTCATCCTTAATTCCTTGCACATCTTTGAACATAGGTTTTTGACTACTGCTTGACGCTTCCACAAGAGGTTTGTGACCCCATTTGAGTCCGATGCACGCTAAGTTGGCCCGCAGGTCCAGTTGATCTGGGGAAAGAAGTGGAACATCATTAGAGTTTTGTTTACTCTCACTCGTTATGCTACCTTGATGGGTACTGCTATGACCACGTATTGTAAGTCGCGAGTCCTTGCATCATGTACCACGACTTGATGAGATTTAAGCTGCGGTGACTGACCGGTTTAACTACACAAGCGTTCGTGAACTCGTGATTCGAATTAGACTCTCGCTGATTGTACTTCAGTGTGCAACTTTCGACGCTGTCTCATATGGTAAGCAGTGCTGGGACAGACTCAAGTCTAGCATGGACATTGAAATATTGAACACTCATTAAGGTTCACATCTGATAAGCATCATCACTGCAGAAGGTCGGCCTGCTGGCGCTTTCATCCTTTTGAACTAGTACTAGTATGCTTATCATCTATTCTGCAGGCCTGCTTATTTTTCGTACACTCGCCTTTTGGCATCAGAGCAAAAAATTGCGGGTGTGGCTTCTCGTTTTTGCTACAGTGAGTGCTGACTTGATGATCCACTGATCAAACCCAAATTTGCATTTGGACAGTTTTGCATTGCAGCGGCAGTCGGGGTGTCAAACGTCGTCCTCAGTTTCACCGTGACTAACCCTCCAGGTACCTGCGCTTTATAATACTGAGTGAGCACCTTTGCTAACCTATTGTAGGGGTCAACAGCACAAATTGCGTGTTTGAAAACGGTGGAAAAGGTGGCGCCATACAATATGGCTTTTTGATCATTCATGAGCTAGGTAACTCAAGTTGATACTACTAAATACCGGGGCTGTTAACCTGTGTCACAGTGCTCATGATCCTTACGATATACAAGAAATTCAGCTTTTACAAAGGTACGCAGGGTCGCCTTGCCACCATCCTTTATCACGATGGGATGATATACATGACCTGCATCATAAGTACGTCTTCTTGTTTATGCACCCATGCAGGTCTAACAAGAGTCCTTCAGTGGCATCCTTCGCAAATGTTCTTATCACCCTGTTTGTTCCTGTGAGGTCTTACTAGTAGGCATTTGGGTCCATAGGATTTACTAAAATGCTCAACATGTAGGTGACATACACTGATATCCTGGATGCGTCAGTACATTCCTTTATCTCTCAGGTTCTTCTACTGACTTCTCTCAGACCGCAACTCGTGATCCACGGAGTGCTAGCCTCCCGTATCTTATTCAATCTGCGACATGAGAGCCACCAGTCTGATTCCGAGATCATTGATGGAATTTTTCCTATCGCTAACATGCACACCCCTGGAGGCCATAGTGTTGTATTCGTGAATACAAACCCAGAGATTGTGGAAGGGTAGTTTTGCATGTTCGGCGAGGATCCCTAGCCCCCACAATTACATCCATCTTTAATTTCTTTAGCATACGCATCTGCCTCAATTAAACTAAGACGAATACTTACGAACACTGTTCTGAGCTACGCCTAATGTGGCTTGTTCAGAACAAGTTTTGAAACTTGTATCGACTGACTCGAGTTTTTTGAGGACATCTCGGACTTCGACTTTCCGCCCCATTCGCCCCATTCGCCCCATTCGTGCCATTCGTGCCAAAGATTATATAATCAAATACATGTGCAAACAACTTCCTGCACCGTACATGCAAAGTCTATGATGTAATCACACATCGATGAGCACTCAGTCGCTACTCCAGTGCTTGCAGGAATTGCAGGGTGTCCTGTCCCCTGTGACGGAGCTCTCACTTGCATCTATTGTCCGATTTGTTTTCCTTGCGACAAACCTTAAGAATGACATAGTCCTTGTTCAGCCAGGAGATTATGATCCTGGTTCTCCGCCTGCTAACCTATCACCGAGTATCATCCACTTTCTCTCTGCTAGCTGTCAAATTGTACTGGACGACGTGCCGGCTTTCTGGACAGCATTGAAAGACACTATCTGGCACGAGGAAAACTTCGGACTTTATGATACACTCCCTCTTTTCACGCAGTATGGGCAGAAATATGGTATCAGTGAGTCCTCTACTTGTCATCCTCTCGAGCCTGTGAACTTTACGGTGCTGCAGCCATGTCTCCTCTCTACCCACCACAGCAGACATGTTTCTCTCTTGGCTGCACCAACATGAAGAAGCTAATGAGAGCAGAGCAGCGCCCTGCAATCCTATACACACTCAATCGCGGCCCAATTGCTACGTACTCTGTACATCTCAAATGTGATGGTGCGCATCTACCATATCATCTATGACACTGACTCAAATTTTATAGCTTGTCATGTTGGGTTCCATCACCACTATTCGATCGACTATAAAGTCCCTGCACATGATCGCAAGCGGACTTATTATGCGCATCCACCGGATGCGCTCCATGTTGGCGGCCATCAATATGTTGATATAGCAGTTGTGCGGATGTGGAGAGTACTGAATCTTGTTTCATGGTGAGTGCTATCCATAGCATCGCTTCATGATTCAGTGTTTCTAACTTGACTTTGGCAGGACGTCCATGTCGAACTGCGCGCGCTTCTATAACGTCTCCCTCTCAAAGGGTGCTGTGCCGCCACCTGACTTTCCTTTCAAGTTTGGCCTCTCGGGTGACCACGTCTGGAGCGGAGTTGTCCAACTCTCTCTCATCGAAGATTTACAACTTCGCGGTCAAGTGCTGGAGATCAAGCACGGAGGTGACCACAGGGACAGATTCACTGCACCGATACGTGCTCGCAACCTTTGCATCCGCCTCTATGGCCAGGAGGAGCTCCGTCATTATTGTACCAAGTGCACTGTTCTCCACGACGACAACAACAATGGCGCTCCTGACCAAAAGTTTTCCGTTGTCGTTACAGATGGGGTCACTGTAGGCCATCCATGTTGCGGCATTCATAATTGCCATGAACCCCTTGCCAATAATCGCGATAGATTCTGTCCTGACCATCTCCTAACACACCTCTGTATCTGTGCAATAGTGAACTGCGAGCGCAGTGTCACACCCTCGACTAGGACATGCGATGACCCCACACACCAGGCTATCGAGAAAGCGTACACCCAACGTGGCCAGGCACGCTTTCAGCTTCAGGAACGCCTTCAGCGTGCATATGTAGCTGTGCCCACGAACTCCGATACCAGTGATGTCGCGATTGCTGACCTTGAGGCTGATGATCCCTTGGAAGAGGAGTTTGAAGTCCCAGTTGTTGTTGGTGAGGGATCTGTGGAGACAGCAAAGCAAACTAAGCCAAGGAAACTTCACGCAAAGTTTGGTCGTAACCGTACCCACAATGAACAGTTGATCATTGCGCCATGTGGGATGATTCTCGCATGTGAGACATTTTATGGAGCAGAGGGTGTCACAAGTGTCGTGGTAAGGCAAATGCTTCTCACTCGCGATTGCAGACTAACTATGAGCGGATAGGAGATGATCAAGAGGGTATTTTGCGATGAGAGCATCAAGCCCAGCCACGTCTTTTACGACAACAATTGCACCTTGTCTTACCATGTTCGGAACAACCCTTACTTCAAAAGCATAGGCCTATCTGTCGATGTGTTTCATTTCCAGTGCAAGCATTCCATCGAAGATGCATGGTGTCAGGAACACTGCAACCCCGCCCACTTTGACGAGCTGCAGGATGTCAGCGGAAACTGGCTATTCAACTCCTCCATCGCAGAGCAGACAAATGTCTGGTTTGGGGGATATCACTCAATATGCCACGAGATGCTCGTGGACAGATACATCTTCTTCTTAGATGAGATGATCCTTCAGAAGAATCGGCTCACGAAAGCAAAGCTACATGCAGAGGGGAGATGCCCTGGCAACTGGCCACTAGTAGAGTAAACAATTTGTTACTTGTCTTTATCATGCTCTTCTACAATATATAACCAACATGTCTTCATCTAACACGTGTCCAGATACCAATAGTGCCAGCAACATTTCTAATTAACGACACCAATACCACTGCGAACGCCGCACCCAGTTTTGGCTAAGATAGTCTGGGTGGTATGGCCCAGGGAAGGGGTTATACACCGCATAGGTGTCACCCAGCGCACCCATCAACTCGTTGCTGCCTTGCCGGTCAAAGTTGCCCAGCGGCATGATTTCTTACCCCTCTTATGGAGGAGACAGTATTCATAATATTATATTGTAGGTGTAGCTAGCTATATTTTCTTTGTTAACGCGATTACTTTCCTTGGGCCGCTTAGAGGGGGCCAGCGCGCCCCCAAAACTGTTCGTGTTAAGAGTTCTGCCTCAGAGGTAAGTTAGCTATACCTATACCACAGGGTATTGAAAATGTTTTCTTCGGTTAACAAAGAAAACATTTTCAATACCCTACAGTATAGGTGTAACTAACTTACCTCTGAGGCAGAACTCTTAACACGAACAGTTTTGGGGGCGTGCTGGCCCCCTCTACCCCAGAGATATTAAGTTAGCTACACCTATACTGGAGGGTATTGAAAATGTTTTCTTTGTTAACCGAAGAAAACATTTTCAATACCCTGTGGTATAGGTATAGCTAACTTAATATCTCTGGGGTAGATGGGGTAGAGGGGGCCAGCGCGCCCCCAAAACTGTTCGTGTTAAGAGTTTCTGAGGCAGAACTCTTAACACGAACAGTTTTGGGGGCACGCTGGCCCCCTCTAAGCGGCTCAAGGAAACTATAAGAGGAGTAAGAAATCGCGCTGCTAGGTAGCTCTGACATGCTGTTCTACAATATATAATCTTATGAATGCTCTCTCTCCTCCATAAGAGGAGTAAGAAACTGTGCCGCGTTTGCACTGGTGCCGGCGTTGTTATTAGAAATGTTGCTGGCATTATTGGTATTTGGAGACGTGTTAGATGAAGACGTGTTAGAACCCACAAAGCTTCAATTGATAGTGTAACGACGAGTACATCCACAAGTTATTGACAATACCAGTAAGGGAACCATAAGATGGTGACAACGGCACAACGAATGAAAAGGAATAAGAAAACAGACATAGAATAGTGCCTGTGTTCACCCTCGCAGTCTTCCAAGGCGCTTCTTGGCGGCCTTCACATCTGCACCAGGCAATGGATTTGCCTTCATGAATGCTGAATATGAGCCTGCATCACTCTTGCCTGCTCGTATAAACATGGTTCTTGAAGATGCCGGTGCTTGGTCCCATCGTTTCCGATGCTCTGAGAAGGTCGAGGGACGGAAGTGTACACCCCCTCCGAATGCCAGTGAGAACGCAGCATGAGAACACAGTCCGACTCTGCGGGATTTGTCGTATTTCTTGAAGCCATCTGCGATTTCACATGCATAGAAGCTGGTAGGCCAGCACCTGACATTGTCGAAGGCATCAACATCAACAGCATCCTCAGGAGAGTGACCTGAAGACAGTGATGAACACTCAGATACAGTAGAGGGGTCGCTCAGGCTGCCGCTGTCCGATAATGCACTGTGGCTACTGTCTGACGACAGTGAACGATGTCGACTTGGATGTGGCACATGTTGACGGGGAGTGATGTTGATGTCGACCTCGGAGCCAGAATCGGAAAATAGCTCAATCACATCCTGCAAATTAGCGTCCACAGCGTGTTCATGTTTTATTGCCAGTGGAGGCGAGTTTGGTATTGAGAATGACCGACGTGGTGTCAGAAGCGTGCGCTCATGTTTGATGATCAATGCAGGCGAGTATGGGCGAACAGCTGAGGAGCCAGCAGTGTTTGTGCGCACATGGCGAGCGTTGCCTCGCAGTGAGTGACCTGAATGCTTACGCTTCCGCATATCTTCTGGATCCTCTGAATCAGAGGCTGCGATGCTAGCAGCCCTAAGCTGTGTGCGTGTGTTGGACAGACGAACGGCAGCGCGCTCAGCTTTGAGATTGGTGCGAATATTGGGAACAACATGAAGAGAGTTGCTTTCAAAGATGTTGTCGAACTCGGGAGTGATTGTAACACCTATGGTCCGCATGTACACTTGACGGCTGTCGAGCATGAGCGCGTGCCCTTGCTGGACTGTCGACCATCGGCTCCTCGACGCATTGAAGTATTGGACTTGAGCCTCTGCGTCGTCTCCAGAGCACAGCCCAAGTGTTAAGGTCGTACTCTCGTAGGATCGGATCCGAAGGACTTCGGCCTCAGCTCGTACGCTGTGCCCCTTTCCCAAGTACTGTCCTTTATTTCAGAGACTAACGATAACACGTCCGAAGGTCCGGACGGGTCTCGTAGTTATATCCGGATGACTTCCGGATATCGGAAACACGTATAAGACTAATCCGGACGGATCCGGACTAGAAACAAACAGAGTATAGACTATCCGAAGATAGAGGCGGAGACATAGACTATCGGAATCGATCCGAAGTCTCAGAGATCGACAAGAGTTGATTAGACTCAAGTCCGGAGGACAGAAAGAGGACAAACTAAGATGATATTCGAACTGAGGTACTACAGGAAATATACACGGGTTTATATACTAAGAGGATAACGGAAGGATCAATAAGCAAAGGTCCGAGGCTATGTACGAAGCATATGCAAAGCTTATCAAACGCGAGTCGGAAATGAAGCATAGGATAACGGATCAGTAATCATACCGGTAATAAGTATAACCGAGACACCGGGAAGAGGAAATACCGAATAGGCTGTGTTTAACGTTATATGAACAGGAAATGAATTAAGAAGCTTATCGGATATCGGACCGGACGCGGATCTATGCATCGGACCGGACCGGATCTAAGGGTCCGAAGTCCGGAAGAGAAGCGTGAATATATGGGATATGACACCAAGCGCGCGAAGTACTTGTGCAGTCACCTTGAATTGCGGCAGGGTGATGCCTTCTTGAAATTCGCACATGGTCACCTCTGCACCGTCCTAAAGCTGCTCTTAAGACACGTAACAGAAACCCATACTTCGGAAAACACACCTTTGACCATCCATAGACTTCCACAGTATTCTTCATGCAATGCTCGAGATTACGCTGCTCGGCAGCTTGGTGCGCCGTTGCCTTCAACTGCTGTTCTTGTTCAGCATAGCGCTGAGTGAAAACAGGTGGGAGTTGCGATGGGTAACGAGGGTTGGCGTGTATGTCAACCTCTGATGGAGGCAGTGCCCGATCTTTACCCTTGTTTGAGGGGTACGAACGTCCCTCTGAAGAAGCGTGGGCAATGGCGGGAGTAGGCACCTGTGAAGGGGTATAGGTGGCACCAGAAGAAGTAGGCAGCTGTGAAGGGGTGTGGGCGACAGCGGAAGAAGTAGGCGCCTGCACGTTGAGTGAGATCGTGGGGCTAGGAGCAGGGGCTGAGTGTACTGTTGAAGGGCCAGCCTTGGCAGGCTGGGATGGTGGCACTCGAAGGACAGGGTCAATTGCCATGTTTCGCTGACTTTCGGCAGGGGTGGGCTTGTGGGTCTTCGAAGAACACCCACCAAAGGCAACACAAGTTTTCGCAATCTGGTGTGATCCGTGTGAACTTACATCCAGGTACAGCGCACAGGCGTGGTTGAGAGGACGTGTCACCAACTGGCGGTGGTGGTGGTGGTCCAGGCTGGGTTGGCATAGGCTGGGTTGGCATAGCGGTACTGTGGGGAAGGACTGGTGATTGTGTGGGGGACGATCTGGGTGAGCCCCAGCGGAAGTACTGGCATGATTGGTTGTCTGAGGAGCGTTTACGTCGGCACTGAATTCTCAGTAGTTAGCGCGATGAAACTATAGACATGAATAGATATACGTACTACCGCATACCAACGACCTTGATTGCCCTTTGAATTGTCTTTGCAAACCTGCCATTCGGCAGGTTCGGAACATGATTGACATATAGCGACCCATTCGGGCCGGATGAAGGGTGTTGTAGGAGGAACAGACGACATGAATACTATTGCAGCGTGATACAAAGAACTAATAGAGGGAGCGTGTTGAAGGTAAGCATTTAGAGTTGTACACTGAATGAAGTCCGTTAGCACCAGTGCACCATGGAGCAAAGACCAGTGCAACTTACATGGTGCCAATACATACCACTTATTAATATGCGGGCGGGTGAGGAGAATGGGTATTGATGGCGCTAATAACTGGCGGGATGGAGGTAAGGACAAAGCGTCATAGTAGTCATGTCACGGACTTTGTCTATTACTAATCGTGGGAAAGAATTCGGCACGAACACGAATGGGGCGAACCGGGGCGAAAAGTCGAAGACTGAGACTTTCTGAGTTTTTTAGATGAAGGTGATTCAAATATTCAACTTCCGTTCAGAGTCAGCGGCTATTGGCAATTTGGCACCAGCAAATGCTACTCAGTTACATAATCTTTAAGTCGACTCTCACGATTGTATACGGTTCTGGGTCAATATTTTGGTTGCACATACAAGCGGCTGGGTGTCATCAGGAGGGTCTGGGGCGGCTGTTGGGAGATCGATCGTGATTTCCAATGAAACCATATATAGTATCTGGTTCATCATGATTGTACGAGTTTGGCAGGTTCACAATGATGTTGATTATGATCTACTACATACATGATCCCAGTTGTATACTACATCTTCATGCCAAGCATTTAGTATTTCATCCCTTGATGGTGCACAAGGCAACAATCATTCCAACGTGATCAAACCCACATGGAAAGTCTCCGATAATCTGGCCATGTATACCACTCCAGAATGTTACCGTGATACTTTGTAAGTCATTCAGAATTTTATTCATACCCATTATTATATATAGAATATATAGAATCGCCTTTTCAGGAAAAGATGCATTTACAGTCTTTCCTTTGCCTAGATTTCAGACTGCAAGTGTCTTCTGTTGTGCGCTGTCGATAATATAATTACTGGTGTGCATAGGGATTGATGTGGAAGTGAGCGCTGTGTGAGTATCAGTAGACTGGTGAGTTCTTGCCGGCGATTACGCTGCCAGTGATTGCGATGCACCATGTTTATAGTATACAGTTCCAGCGTAACGAAATCCTTTCCTATATCTTACGGTATATTCCGATATCTTCTTCTCACACACCGGCGGTTTTGGAGTTTCGCACTATGCAAGATTTGTTTTGAAATGTTAATGATAAAGTTGGCATTTTTACTATACATTTTGACACAGTAAAAATGGAAAAATTGGATGAGTGGGGGCGAAATTCTACATTTTATGAATCATTTTGACATTGTAAAAGAAAGACATTTAACCGACAGCAAGATCTGAAGAAAAATGATCGAACATTTTGATTCAAATTTTACATGGGGTGAGATTTGAGGAAAATTTGAATAAAACACATTTTACCTGTTGGAAAGGAATTTTACCCCGATATAAGATTTGAATCAAAATGTTCGATCATTTTTCTTCAGATCTTGCTGTCGGTTAAATGTCTTTCTTTTACAATGTCAAAATGACTCATAAAATGTAGAATTTCGCCCAAGATTTATCCACTCATCCAATTTTTTCATTTTTACTGTGTCAAAATGTATAGTAAGAATGCTAACTTTATCATTAACATTTCAAAACAAATCTTGCATAGTGCAAAACTCCAAAACCGCCGGTGTGTCACCAGTTCTCTGATGTGCCTGCCGCCCGAGCACTCGACGGCCATCGAAATGCACGTTACGTATCGGAGATCATCGGAAGAGTCTGTGATGCCTCCTGTCCACCTCATCTAAAGGAAATCGAATGCGCGGTGCTGGATTCGGGGATGTGACAGACTTTATTAAATAGCATACAGGTGAAACTTAGAATATAAGAACGCCTTTCACCATCTTCACCATCTTCACCATGTCAGCTACGACTGTAGGTTTTCAGACCGCGCAGGTGAATCCTCGTTTTCCGGCCCATAGTACAAATGCTCATGTTTCAATGTCTTTGAACATCAATAGTATTTCACAGGTGCGCACTTCACTACTAGCACTCGCATTGCCCATCTGACGATAGAGATACTAGTTGCAGCGATGGCAGCAGTGGTGAGTGTCTGGACTGCGGTCATCCTTAATTCCTTGCACATCTTTGAACCAGGTCTTCGATTACTGCTTGACGCTTCCACAAGAGGTTTGTGACCTCGTTTGAGTCCGACGCATGCTAAGTTATCTCGCAGGTCCAGTCGATCTGGGGAAAGAAGTGGGACATCATCAGAATCACGTTTACCCTCACTCGCTATGCCACCTTGGTGGGTACTGCCATGACTACGTATGGTAAGCCGCGAGTCCTTGCATTATGTAACATGCCTTGATGAGATTTAAGCCGCTGTGACTGACCGGTTTATGTACACCAGTGTTCGTGAACTCATGATTTGATTTAGACTCTCGCTGATTAATATTGTCCTTCAGTGCGTGACTTTCGGCGATGTCTCATACGGTAAGAGACGCTGGGACAGACTCGACTCTAGTGTGGACATTGAACACTCATTCAGGTTCACATCTAATAAGCATCATCGCTGCAGAAGGTCGGCCTGCTGGCGCTTTCGTCCTTTTGAACTAGTACTGGTATGCTCATCATCTACTCTGCAGGCCTGCTTATTTTTCGTACACTCGCCTTTTGGCATCAGAACAAAAAATTGCTGGTGTGGCTTCTCGTTCTTGCCGTAGTAAGTGCCCACTTGATCCACCGATCAAACCCAAATCTGTATTTGGACAGTTTTCCATTGTAGGGGCTGTCGGGGTGTCAAGAGTTGTGAGCGTCCTCCATATCGCTGACCCTCCAGGTACCCGTGCTTTACAATAACGAGTGATCACCTTTGCTAACCTATTGTAGGGGTCAATAGCACAGGTTGCGTGTTTGAAAATGGAAAAGGTGGCGCCATACAATATGGTTTTTTGATCATTTATGAGCTAGGCAACTCAAGTTCATACTACTAAATACCGGGGCTGCTAACCTGAGATGTCGCAGTGCTCATGATCCTTACGATATACAAGAGATTCAGCTTCTACAAAGATGCTCGAGGTCGCCTCGCCACCATCCTTTATCGCGATGGGATGATATACATGACCTGCATCATAAGTACGTCTTCTTGTTTATGCACTCATGCAAGTCTGACAAGTGTCCTTCAGTGGCATCCTTCGCAAATATTCTTATCGCCCTGGTTGCTCCTGTGAGGTTTTACTAGTAGGCATTTGGGCCCATAGGACTTACCAAAGTGCTCAATATACAGAGCACATACTCCGACATCCTGGATGCGTCAGTGCATTCCTTTATCTCTCAGGTTCTTCTCCTGACTTCTCTCAGACCACAGCTCGTGATCCACGGAGTGCTAGCCTCCCGTATCTTATTCAATTTGCGACATGAGAGCCATCAGTCGGATTCGGCGATCATTGACGCAATCATTCCTATGGTTAACATGCGTCGCACCCATGGAGGCTATCATGTTGCATTCGTCGATACAAACTCAGGGATCGTAGAAGGGTAGTTTTGCATGTTCGGCGAGGATCCTAAGCCCCCAGCCCCCACAATCACATTCATCGACGTTCTACTTTCTTCAGCGTGCATGCGTAAAGTTTATATTTTCAATATTGTACTAAGATGGTTTTGTGTTTTGTGTTACCTTCCCAAAGGACGCCGTTATTTTAGGGTCTCGGAATACTTTTGCTTCAGGCGACGTTATTTAACGTATGTAAGGACGTGGTCCCGTCCACCCCATATACATGCTGCACCTAAGCTCCACTGAGTCAGCGGGACCACTAGCTCCTCGATCGCTCAAGGTTTCAAACGTTCACTATCCATATTTTTCGTTCATAACAACGACGATGCAAAGCTCCAAGCTCCATAACGAGATATGATAGTGACTAGGTACTTTCAACTTCCCACAAAACCAACAATCATATGTAAGACAGACCGAGCGCTATGGTAAGGCACGTTAGGCACGTCCAGCGTGCAATAAAGATGTGCGACAAAGATAATTCAATAACCATACAGAAGATGCAATAAGCAAGGACGAAAAGAGCGAATATTCAAAAGGAATGTCGGTGGTAGAATGAAGCGAGTGTGGTTAACCGTAGAGAAAACAAATTTCAGAAGGAATGTCGGTAATAGAATGAAATGAGTGTCGTTCGCATTAGAGAGAATATTCTAAAGGAATGTCGGTGATAGAATGGAATCAGTGTCATTAGCCGTAAAAAGAAGTTGTTTTCAAGAATTGCAGTCGACACTAGAGGACGGAAATAAGGGGTAACGTTAGCAGCTGTGACAGATGCGGGGTAAGGTGGACGTACATGTTCAGACGCTATCCTACGTCGCGTTCTTGGCAGGAACGATATATCCAGAAACCGACTTGATCATCGCTTGAAGAGAGAATTCGTACTTCCAATGCTCAGCGTGGGCCCTGCTAGCAAGCAATTGTTTGCACCCCTTCTGATGCCGAGCCAAAGAATCGGTCCTCGACGACAGCTTCTTGCAATAGGGGCATCGGTAGGATGTAGCAAAGTGGACCCCTTCGATGTGACGACTCAAATACATCATCGTCCCTGCGTCCGAGCAACCTTCGAATTTGCAGGGAGTGGATTTTTTTGCTTCGACCCCATGCCAAAACCACAGATGGTCTTCAATACGGACCTTGTCCACCTCTATGAACAGACCGCACGGCTGGTCGGTCCAATCGCATGAACGTACGCAGGTCAACTGTGGCCAGTGGTGGTCAGGGATGTTTCCAGATGCATCGGGGTACGTATCGTCCAGTTCCATCGCCCCAAATCTCCTCGTTCGGAGGGGATTTCCGTTGGGATCATGGGTCCTGCGGCTACTGATGTCAACAGGTTTTGGGTCGTGAACAGGCATGGTCATGATCGTGGCACCGGCATCCGCTAGCGTGTACGGACCAAACTTGCCTGGTCTGTAGTCGTCGGCGACGTTCGGGCGTCTGCGCTTGCGCGTTGTTGGTGGAACGGACGAACTCAAACCATCTTCAAGATTAGAGGTCTGGCGGGTTTTACGCTTACGAGGCCTGGTAGATGTCGTCCAGTCGAGAACAAAGGAAGTTGGCTCCACGCTTGAGCCCCCACTGGATTCCGTCTGCAAGGGAGCATATTGACCTTGGGGGAGTGGCGCAGTAGGGTAATGCGCGTTGGACGGACCTGCAATGGTGGGGAGTTGCTGGTAAGGGTAGGAGGGAGCGAGATGATATCCATGCTGGGCAAATGCGTGGCCTTGCAGCGGGGCTGGAACGATCGCGGAGGGCTGCAGATAATACGCACTTGGGGGTCCGTTGGCATGATATCCAGGACTGTATTCGTTCTGGGGCCAAGCGTGGTTTTGCGGCGGTGCTGGAACGATCGCAGAGGGCTGCGAATAATACGCAACAGGGGGTCCAGTGGCATCGTATCCAAGATTATATCCATGCTGGGACAATACGGGGCCTTGCGGTGCAACAGAGGGCTGAGGATACGTGCCAGGAAGCTCGTTCGTGAAGTATCCAGGGTTGTATTCATGCTGTGGCCAAGGATGGTCTTGCGGGGGCGCTTGAGGGACAGCAGAGAGCTGCGGAGGGTAGTAGAGCCCCTGATCGATGTGGGGCAACTCGGGGAGACCAGCCACCGGGGCGGTGAAATTCTCCAATGTCGGAAACGACTTGAACACCTGAGGATTTTGAACATTTTGTGAATCGGCCCAAGTCCTGAAGAAACAGATTAGCAATGACGAGGACTCAGTTGCGAGTGCACGTACCCTTGTTGCGTCACTGGCAATTCATCATAGTTTGTCCTGTCGTTGAACGTGAGTTGCTTGGCCCTGGTAGGCTAATTAGATTGGCTTACTTGTCAACGTGAGCATCGGCTGGGCCTGCCAGCATGTCTTCGTTAATTATACTACGCATTAATTCGTCGCTCTCTTCAAACAATCTGTACGACCGTGAGTTTGAATAAATGATTTAGGTAAAATCACATACGCATCCAGCTGGGCGCGCACTTCGGGGGACGTCTCACCGCTTTGGTGAGCTGCAAACAACTTAGCCATGTCGTCTTCGGACAACGGAACGAAATCAGTATCGCCGGGGAGCGGCACGTGGTCATCTGACATAGGCATAGACTCGCTAAAAATGATGAGATCAGGCGCGTCCTCGAACTCAAGATCGAACACCAACCTATCGAATGGCATATGAAGGCTGTAACACGAGGAACTGGATGCGTAAGGTAGTGTTAGCATATAAAGATATCCACCTGACATGCGAGTAGACTTACATAGACATATTGATGAATTGAACAAGCGAAGTGCCTAAGATGACGAGACACGATTGGAAAGTAAAGACGAAGATGAGAGAAATAGAGCAGAGAACGATACCTGGTTTTATATCTCTCGATGGGTGGGCAAACGATAGACAAAGGACGACTGTGGTCGTGCATTGAAGCCATCGATCTGACATTATTCCCCGACAACACGTCGGGAAAATGTAAGCGTCTGTGGACGCTTTTCTATAGGATATGCACCTGTGGAATTCACCGCTTTGTAGCGCCACGCGTGCATCAGTCCACAAGAACACAAACATGACTGACCCTTGATAAAGTTAGAATGTGACGATAAAGTGAGTGCCGGTCCTTCTCCACTAGAGGTTGACATCACATGTGGAGAAGTACAATTCCGATAAGGTTCCAATTATGGGATTCTCGCGGACTCGGAGCATTGTCGCGGCACACTTGACCACAACCACAAACTTTGACAGCGGTACCTGCTTAAGACAGTGGCAAGCGAGCTTGAGCATAAGTGGGAGGTAGTTGCGCAGTAGAGAAACGGCAGGCACGAAGGTGCGTCACGGTAAAATCACAAAGATCTGAAAGTTTTGATGCGTGGGGTCAGTCGCATTTTTATTGTAAACATGCAAAGACGCTTACCTTGTGTGTCCACTGCGTCACGAACCGGCGTAGTCCTTACTTTGATACGGTACTTTGAAGGGGTGATAAGTAATGGAACCATCCAAAGCATCATACCACAATGCTTTTGAGATGGTTTCAACCTAGCGCTTACATGGAGATTCTACGAGCTGACTTGTGATGGGACAGAGGTGCGCAGCCAGTAATAGCCTTATTATGATGCAAGATGAGGGAAGCATTTTCTGTGCTAGGTGGTCCGTCCGCGTCATCAGTCATACTGTGAGGAAAATCGTGATACATTACATATCGTTTTGAGATAGCCATATAAACGATACACGCTTACGATAGCTTTTCAGAGCTGCAAGCATCATGCGTGGGTTGCATTCATATTAAAATTCGCCGTTGTGGCATGAGAGCAGAGTTTGGCAGAAGACGAGAGTAAGCGTTGTTTTGGTCTGTTGTGCAAAGGCTTTGAGGACTTTCCTTATTCAGAAGCTTTACACTTGGCAAAACTTAACGAGTTCGCTCAGAATGTGGCATGGCCATGGCGCCGTGTGACTTACCAAAAAAGGCGTGTAATGTACTATACTCCTCAGAAAAATTTCCTTTCAGCCGGTCAGTAAAATATTTTATCCCTCGCTTCTGTTGACTGGCCGCTTCTTTCAAACCGCAACTCATTATACACGGGCTGCTAGCTTCCTATATCTTATTCAATATGCGTGAAAGCCGCCAGCATAAGTCCGCCATGGTTGAGAGTGTTTCCCTCTGCTACACATTCATCACACGCCCATTTCAGGACCCAGGTACAACGACAATCACGCGATAGCACATAGTGTTACACATTCCGACTAAAGCTACAAGAAGCAACTAGTGAATACATGTAGATCACCAACTTTCAAGCGTCCTTCGAGCACATTCCTGAGACAGCACAAATCAAGATCATTTCTGAGCATGATAGCGCAAGAGACTCACCCTAAGTCTGGAGAGATTGTGAACAATTGCCACATTCACAATTGTGCGTAATCTTCTCTTGAATTCAGGTTTGCTGAGGACTAGCTGGTATGATCCAGAGCAATGACAATATCGCGACACGTTGTCCGAGCGAACTTGCTTGCACTTGCCGCAGCGCATGTCTTGTTGCGTGAACGCTCTTTCGAGCGATCCAACTAGTCTAACCAACTCCATCTCAATCGCAATGCGGTCGTACTCTCCTCCGCAACCTCCGCAGATCCAGCGTGGCCTAGCACCATCAAGACCGTATGGCATAAGTTCTGGATCGCGGCAGAAGTCAAAGTCACGAAGTGTATCGCAATGCCGGCAAGGGACATTAGGCAATTTGAGCGGCTCGCATGGGTTGCGAAAAAGGGCTTCATTGGCAAACTCGCGCACACCAGCAAGGTCGAGGAGGTTACGCTTGAGCAAACCAATCTCAACCTGATAATCAGAGGCGAGGCCAAGCACGGTACAGGTAAATTTGACAAATTCAAGAAGCGCATTTGTCATGTTAAGATGCGAACCAGGCAGGACGGGGAACTGGAACTGAGTGTTCAGTTCTTCGTCCACGGAAGCATCTCTTTGCTTGGCTTGAATAGTGCCAACCAACCGAAGCAACTTGCGTGTGAGCTTCCTGGCGATAAACTCCCGTGTCGCATCAACCTCGTTAATTTTGCTCGGGTCAGGTTGGGTGGGCTCTGGAGCCAGATTCTGAAGCACACGGAAGGGTGCTCTTGAACCTTCATTATGCTTCTGCCGAATCTTGAAAAGCTCGACGATGAAGAACTGGATGACGGCACCGAAGTCGTCTTGAATTGCGGGTGGTAGGAAGGTCTGGATATTCCACCGAGTCTCGATGGTGAGCTCTTCTGGGGGGTCAACAGCCAGCGGGTCTTCACATACGATTCCTCCCATATTTGCAGAGTCCATGAAGAGAAGGAAATCGTAAAACCGCTCTGTTTTGAGATACATGTGTTCGAAGAGTTCGTGTGATGTCACTGCTGTGGTTATGTAGGTGGCATATGCGTGAGCGGTGCCTGGAGGCTTTGAGGTTGCTAGCAAAATCCGGCCGAAGTCCGCGTGGATGACGTGAGATCCGAGTCGCTTGAATTCAGCCAACATTTGGATGAACGTTTTCCTCATGAGCCCATGAACGAAGCGATAAATATTTGGGTCATGAAGATGGGAAGCGCTTGTGCTGATCCAGCGCCAGAAGTGGTCAATTGCTAGCGTGGCCGGGCTTTCGAAATTTCCCTGGACTTTGTCAAGCAACCATGTCTTGACCATCGACTTGAGAATACCAAAGGTGAGACTCGAGATGTTTGATTCTCCAAGGGTAAGGTCGCGCTGAGCCTCGCCTCCGGAGAACTCATTGAGTGTCCGGGACACGGAATCGAATGCCGTTGCTCCGCCACTCCCTTCAAGCTCATTGACAGCGACAGAGTGGAGAATGGAGTTTACTGCTAAATTGCGAACAGTAACTTCTAGACACACGTTGGAGTAGCATCCAGGTGATGTAAACTCTGTGTGCTGTATGTCTTCCGCTGGTCTATTATCATCCTCGATTCCACCAAGGTCTGGACGCTCCGACGGTGACCACCAAAGGACAATGTCCTGCTGAATCAGTCGCCGGGCGAAGCTGATGTCCGACAATAACAGTGGCTGATCGCCGTCGATGTGACCTATAGGGACATCATAATAATCCGCTAGAGCGATTGAGCGATCCAGCCAGATTCCTAGTGATAGGTACCGCTGAACCATCTTTTGGGCAACGTCAGGCTGCCAGGGGAAGACGTTGAGGGTATGGACTGCTTTCGCTTTCGACATTGAAAGAACAGGGAATTTTGAAAGTTTTGGAACCCAGGTGTCAAAGTAAATTTGATCCTTGATGGATGAAATTACGACAGTGTAGGACATATTTTCCAGGAGTCCGAGTTCTCTGGAGATGGATTTGAGAGCTGTTGTATCCTTGTTGTGGTACGTGGTATTGAAATCGCATGAGGCGGGATAGTCGAGCGAACAGTTTCCATACTTGGATTGTCGCTTCGCCGAAAGGTCTTTGTATAACTCTTGAAGACGGGGGATTTGTTGTCGGCGGGGAGCGGGATCAACAAGGTGAAGTTTCACAGCACCGTTGGGCATGAACATCGCAAACACATGGACATGCGATGTACTAGAACATGCATGATACAGGAAGATATACTTCGCTGAGCGACCGCCATCCAAGTATACTCTGCGAGTAAGGGAGACGCTGGCTCTGTCGAGTTGAGACAAATCGACGCCGCTGCTTTGAGCACGGTTCAGAGTCATGCCGGGTTCGTCCAC